ACTGCTCTCAACCGACTTCCCCATTTCCAACCTCCCTTTCCTCTCCAAGGTCCTGGAATGAGTTGTTGCTTCCCAGCTTTGCTTCTTCCTCTCCCGCCACTCCCTTCATGAACCCCCTCCAATCAGGCTTCCATGCCGCCCACAGCACAAACAACCCTGGTCAAAGTGCCAAATGACATTCTGTCCATCTGCAACCAGGGCTCCCTCTGCCTCCTCCTTGACCTCTGCTTCCTTCGACACCACTGACCACTCTATCCTCATCCTCTCCTCTCATCTCAACCTTCATGGCTCTGTCCTTGATAAGTTCAGATCGTACCTCTCACACCGCCTCCACTTCAACTCCACAAACAGTTTCTCCTCTAGCCCCCGCACTGTATCATTCATGCTCCTCAGGGCTCTGTCCTTGGTCCCCTCCTCTTCAATATCTATATGCTCCCTCTTGGTGACATCATCTGCAGACACCCAACTGTACCTCTCTGCCTCCACCCTCGACTTCAGGACCACTGTTGTCCTGACAGAATGTCTGTCAGACATCAAGTCCTGAATGAGAGCTAACTTTCTTCAGTTGAACATCAACAAGACCAAGGCTCTGCTGATTGGCTCCTGTCAGCGCCTCCACACCTCAGATACTGACAGCATCACCATCCATGAATGCACACTCCATATTTTGTGGAGACCTGTAGCTCAGTGGTTAAAGCACTCGCTTTGAAAGTGAGAGACCTGGGTTTGATTCCCGGCAGGGTGAAACCTTGGGCAAGTTTCCTTACTCCACGCGCCTGATAATAATCCGTCAAAAAAAACAATAATAAATTGGTCACTTCAATCCATGACTGTTTGTGGTTCACTGCTGTGCGCAATTGGCTGCCGCACTTCTCCCACAAATAAACAGTCAATTCATTTTGCAGCCTTGCCCTCTCCTATCTCTCTGACCTGCTGACTCCCTACCAACCTGCCCACTCCCTCTGTTCATCAGGCTCCTGCCTGCTCCATGTCTCCCGTCCGACCTGCCCCACCATCAATGGCTGGGCTTTCAGCCTCTCTGCCCCCACACTCTGGAACTCCATCCCACTATCCCTTCACCTCGCTTCCTCCTTCGCATCCTTCAAGGCCGGTCTCAAGACCCTTTTCTTCGACAGTGCCTTTGGTCTCCCTCCCACCTCTCTGCCTTCCCTCACCCCTACACATCCCCTCCCCCATGCTCAGGCCCAGACATCTGACTGTTCAGCGCTTTGGGACATCCTCCCGAAGTGAAAGGTACTCTATAAATGTAATTTTGTTGTATTCTATGAAGCACTTTTTTGAGACGTCTGGGAGACGTGAAAAACGCTATATTAAATGCAAAGATTATTATTATTACCAAGCCAGTCCGGAGCCTCAGAGTCTTGTTGGACCCTCAACTATCCTTTCTACCTCATATCCGTGCCATGACCCACTCTGCCTTCCCCCACCTCCCCAACATTGCCGGCTCTGGCACTGTCTCACACCACAGGCTGTCAAAACCCTCATACACGCATTCATTACATTGAGGCTTGACTATGCAAATTCCTTGCTTGTCGGCCTCCCAACTCCTCCCTCCATAGCCTGCAGATCATTCAGAAATCTACAGCCCATGTCCTCTCCCGCACCAGGCTCCGTGACCCTATCACCCCTATCCTCACCCGACTCCACTGGCTTTCCATCATACAAAGGATACAGTTCAAAATCCTGGTCCTCACCTTCAAAGCACTCCATGGTCTTCCTCCACCCTACCTCTGCGACCTCCTAACCCCCTACCATCCTGTTCGCTCCCTCCGCTCAGCGGGCTCAGGCCTGCTTGATGTCTTCTGCCTCACCCGCCCTACCATTGGTGGGTGGGCCTTCTGCCGCTCTGCTCCAAGGATCTGGAACTCCATCCCGCAGTCCATCTGTCTCTCACCCTCCCATGCCTCCTTCAAAACTCATCTCAAGATCTTCCTCTTCCACCATGCTTTCGATCACCCTGCTTCCCTCCTGCCCTCCACCCTCCCCAATCCCGACCCCCAGCTCAGGTCGAAAACTCTTGACTGTCCAGCGTCTTGGGATGTCCTCCCAACGTGAAAGGCGCTATACAAATGTAATTTTGTTGCTGTAATAGAACATTCATGGAACCATATTTATGTAATGTTGGCTCAGTCGGGAGGACTTGGTTCTAAGTTGGGGAGGATGGTGCATTGAAACTCCATGACACAACTTAATCTCATAGCCAACACTGACACCACCATTCAAATAAACCCATACAAACAGAATGTAGGAGGTGGAACAGGGAGGAGAGTGCAGGTTTGTAGCGATGATTAGTAGCTAAACAAAAGGCAAAATCCTGCAGATGCTGGAAATCTGAAATAAAAACAGAAGTTGCTAGGGACACACAGCAGGTCAGGCAGCATCTACGGAGAGAGGAAAGTGAGTTAACGTTTCAGGTTGATGAGTTTTCATCAGATTAATGATTAATATCTACTAATTTAAATTGCCTGCTCAGTTAGATGTTAAGATTCCATAACATTATTCAAAAAGGTTCTTTGCGGTGCCATTGCCAGCTATGTATATGGTGTGCTTTATAACAAGTTGGGCTTGTTTGCAGAAGCACCAGATCTTAATAATCTTAATAATAATCCCTCCAAAACCAAAAACAATAATAAAATTGGTCATTTTCAATCTACAACTGTTTGTGGGACATTGCTGTGCACAATTGGCTGCCGCGTTCGCCCACAAGTATACAGTCAATTCACTTTCCAGTGTGTTCTGTGAAGTGCTTTGGGACGTCCTCCCGACGTGAAAAGCGCTATATCAAATGCAAGGATTATTATTATTATTATTATCTTGTTTTGAAGTTTCAAGATACATAATTGTCGGGTTATGTATACAGGGACATCAGAACCAGAAAATTTGGGGATAGGAGTGCAACAACAACAACAAAATTACATTTATAGAGCGCCTTTTATGTCGGGAGGACGTCCCAGAGTGCAGATAGAGACAAAGAGAGAGTGAAAGAAATCACCAGGATAGAGAAAGCTTCATACATACAGGTTTGTTGCAAATAATTAATAACTTACTAATTTCATTAAAATTAATTGTTTATGTTATTTTCCTTAATGGCCTAGTGAGCAAAGGGAAAGGGTAGGAAATTAACTGATCTCAGCTAAAACTGCAGAGCACCTATTGTAAGTCACTCAATCAACAACTATTTGTGGGACAATGCTGTATAACATTGGCTATTGCATTCTGCCTACAAAATGCTGTCAATTACTTTACAGTATATTCTGTGAAGTGCTTTGAGACGCCTCCAAGATGTGATAAGGTGCTATATCAAATGCAAGGATTATTATTATTGGTTCGCCATTCAAATTCCTTCACGGTCTTCCCTCTTCAAATCATACCAATCCCAGCAGCTCCCTTCATTCAACAAGCAATGACCGGCTTTGTGTCCCTCACCAACCCAGCACAGGTCCAAAACTATGTCTGTCCAGCGCCTTGGGATGTCCTCCAGACATGAAAGGCTGTATTCAGATGTAATTTTGTTGTTGTTGTCGTCATCAGATGGCAACCCTCTATTTACCCCTTCCCCACCATGTGCTGACTGGAGCTATTAGTCCTGTTATTGGGGCACCTCTTCTATTTCTCTCCCTCCCCCTCCCTATCGCAGACACTGACAGTCATTTTAGATCCTAGTATTATTGCCAAAGATTACAGTTAATGTTGGATTGAAAGTTTAAGGTGGTGTGATGGTACTATGTGATGTTGTACATACTCCGATAATAATTTTTGCGTTTGATATAACGCCTCACTTGTTAAGAGGACGTCCCAAATCGCTTGAAACGTTGCGAGTGTATATTCTATAAACCAACTAACACAAACCCTCCACACCACTGAGCTCTGGGAAAGTGAAGTGTTCTCACAAATGTAGAAGTGAATCCAAAGATGAGTAGTTTCAGTTCAGAAATGACATCCTGAACCAGAGAAACTTACAGCACATTCGACCCATTGTATCACAGATAGGACTGACTTCAAGATTCTCACACTCATCTTCAAATCCCTTCATGTCCTGGCTCCTCACTTCCCTGACCTGCTTTCTCCCTACTCCACCACCTGCCACCTCTGCTCGTCTGGCTCTGGCCTCCTGCTCGTCCCTCGATTCCTCCACTCCACCATCAGCCAATGTGCTTTCAGCCACTACGCCCCCAAACTTTGGAACTTTTCCTCAATCCCTTCACCTTTCCCCCTCCATCTACATTTTGAGATCATGCCTGAAGACCTTCCTCTTCGACCGTGCCACTGGTCAGGCTTTGCCGCTGTTAATCAGTCTGAGATGCTGCCCTGGATTATGGGTGCTCTAAATGCAAGTTGTTGTTGCTGACCCTTTTGAGAGCAATCCCTTCAGTCTCATTTACATGCCTTTCCCCCTACCCCTGACACTATGAATAATAATACACCTGATAATAATCCCTCAAGAAAAAGTAAAATAATAATTTGGTCAGTCAATCCACGACTGTTTGTGGGACCCTGCTGTGCACAAATGGCTGCCGCATTTCGCCCACAAATATACAGTCAATTCACTTTATAGTATATTCTGCGAAGCGCTTTGAGACGTCTTGAAGATGTGAAAAGCGCTATATCAAATGCAATATTATTATTATGAATGACACTAGGAGAAACTCCATTCACATTTTGAATAGTGCCAGTGGGATCTTTTACTTGAACAGGCAGGTGGCACCTTGATTTCTCTGAATGAAGACACCCCCAGTAATGCAATGTTTGAAGTGTCAGCCTGAACTGTGAATCAAGTCCTGCTGTGGGTCTTAAAACACAATCTCACTCAGAGCCAAAAAGGTTACCATCTGAGCTATACTGACACATGGTTAATATAACAAGACTTGCTACCAGATTCTTTTTTTATATATCTCTGCTCTTTAAAATCTTCCTTTCTATATACAATATTGCTAAAATGCAAGATAGACGATCATCATTACATAAAGTATTTCTATTCATTGCAATCTCAATTCTTTATTGAAGCCATACACAAAACACCAAATATTAAAATCAAAAACTTACATGCTGTGATCAACAAGTAAAAGTAAAGAATCCTCCAAACAGAATCCATAGTTGGTGACCTGCAATTTCCCTTCTCGCTGTACGTACTGAATATGATGATTTGGTTCAAAGGACTATCCATTTATTCACACGAAGGCCAAGTGCCAAACCCCACAGAAACCATAGGGTGACTAGTTTAAATTTTGAAGAAACAGTGTCATTAACTTATATCGTGTGTACATTAACATATCATGAAAAATTCAAAACTGAGACAAAAACAAGTTGGATATATTGCCTGAGATCAAAGACTATTAGTGTCCTTCTCAAGGAAAGTAGTGAGGAATGGGTCCATGCTTGCTGCTGATAGATCAGGCTTCTTAAATACAATTGGGGTATTGGCAATTTCAAAACACTTTAAGGTATGATAAGCAGTGGGTCCTCCGTGGTTCAGTGGTTTATTCAAGCTCCTGAATCTTTCATGTCGAAGTCTAGAAGAAATGGAATATGATTACTCATATCCCTGGCATAGCATTATTCAGCCTGTGGCAGATGCCAAGTGGAGTGTCTGGAAAGATTAACTGGTAGGCTTATGGTTCAAAATTCCTTAAGGTGTGGTAACATTTTCTACATCAACATCGGATTTGTTGATGTACAAAATGTTACTACATCTCAAGTAATTTTGTAATTATTCTACCAGATAGTACCAACATCTCTCATTTCTCAAGCATTTTGGTATTCAACACTTCCCAATTCTACTTTTTCTTGTTATATAGTAAAACTCACATAAGTCATAACATTTTATTTGATTTACACGAAATTTGAGTTGCAGGCAAACTGTACAAGTCGTATAAGATCAGATTTAATCAATAATCTACACTGCATGTGGAATTTAATGCAGCCGATAAGTGCACATGTGGTGACGGGTCAAGACTACATTTCCCGTGACTCAATGTGTCTTGACCCGTCGCCGCATGCACACTTACCGGCAAGTTTTGCAAACGCATTGAATCGCGGGAAATAAAATTCTTCTGTGCATGCGTCAACGGATCAAGACCATGTTTCCCATGATTCAATGCAGCCGGACGGTAAGTACAAATGTGTCAACGGGTTAGGATGTTATTTCCCACGTCGCTTCAAAGCAAATAGTAAGTGCGGAAATATGGAGGATAGAGGAGCGGCGTTACGAGTGATTAATACGAGAGGTGCAAAGAAAACTAAGTAGTTTTGATAGGAAACTGATTGAGCCTCAAGTGCATGTACGACGTAGGGAATTTTACGATTCCTAAGTATAAGACTTATGCGAATTTTACTGTATATAAAATAGAAGGTTGTTCAGATAAAATATCTATTAGCAATATATTATTTTTACAATCCATAAACAGTTCTGACATAAACAATTTCATATTATGTTATAATAAATAATGTTACTTTTTTGGAACGCTCCAGCCCAGAAAAACAATAACCTTTTGCCCAGGGTGTTCTGCTTTGTCCTTTTTCTGATTTCCTCTTTGATGTCTGCGTCTGAAGTGGCCAATTGTGAAGATTGGCCTGAAGATTTATATTGAAGGTATAGCATAGTCTGGAAATTAAAACAAAACAGTTTTGCCTTAATGTGCCCAATTTGGCACCAAATTTAATAAGGGATTTCCAAGCTTTTAAATTACTCATGATAAAATCTGTGTCAGTGGTCTCAGTCTCACTACATCAGGAAATCCATAAAATAAAGGAACAGGGTAATATTATAATATAATCCTTGCATTTGATAAAGATCCTTATCATGTGTCAAGATACCTCAAAGCGTTTCACAGGATTTTACTGTGAAGTGAGGTGATTGTAAGTGAACACAGCAGCTAATTTAAGCAAAGCAATTTCCCACACCAACCATGAACTGAGCAATTGTATTTGAGTGATTCTTGGCCAGGACACCAGAAAAAACTCCCTTCTACTTGATTCGTGCTATGAGATCTTTAACATCCACCTGAACAGGTAGACGGGACAATGGTTTAATATGTTGTCCAAAAGACAGCACCTCCAACAATGTAACATACGCCCCCACCATCACTGCACAAGAGTATCAGCTATGAGTTCAAAGTCCCCATGTGAGGCCTGAACCACAACCTTTTGAATCGGAGGCAAGTGTCCTGCCAGGCTGACACACAATCAGAAGGTGGAAGGGGTGTGGGGGGAGTTCTCCACCAAGATCCTGAGGCGCTGACCCACATTGGTGAAGGTTTTGCAGATCCTGATTCCTCGCTGGTACCTTATCTAAATGGGCGATTCAATCATGTGAGTAATCAGCACTGGACACTGTGGGAACCCAGGATGATTTTCATTCCACTCGCTTTCCTAGGCTATGGAGGCAACAACTTACATTTATATAAGCGCCGTTCACGTCAGGAGGATGTCTCAAAGTGCTTTACAAAGCTACCTAGGTACCTGAAGTAATCAGGATATGGGGGCAAAAAGACCACCGAAAGCACTGTCAAAAACAAATGTCTTAGAACATAAGAATTAGGAGCAGGAATAGGCCATTCGGCGCCTCTAGCCTGCCCCACCATTCAATAAGATCATGGCTGATCTATTCTAACTCCACCTACCCGCCTTATCCCCATATCCCTTTATCCACAAGAAATCTATCAATCTCAGTCTTGAATATGTTCAAGGACTGAGCATCTACAGCCCTTTGGGGTAGAGAATTGCATAAATTCACTACCCTTTGAATGAAGAAGTTTTTCCTCAACTCAGTGCGAAAGGGCTTACCCCTAATTTTAAGACTGTGACCCCTGGTTATAGTTTCTCCAACCAGGGGAAAAAGTCTCCCACTATCTATTCTGTCGTGCCCCTTAATAATCTTATAGGTTTCTATAAGATCACCTCTCATTCTTCTATATTCTAGAGAATATAGGCCTAAATTGCTCAACCTATCCTCATAACTCATCTCCCTCATCCCTGGTACCAACCAAGTGAATCTAAGTTGTAACCCCTCCAAGGCGAGTACATCCTTTCTTAAATAAGGAGACCAAAACTGCACACAATACTCTAGGTGTGGTCTCACCAGTGCCCTATACAGTTGCAGCAAGACTTCCCTACTCTTATATTCTAACCCTTTTGTAACAAATGTCAACATACCATTAGCCTTCCTAATTGTTTGCTGTACCTGCAAACTAACTTTTTGTGACTGGTGTACAAGGACACCCAAGTCCCTCTGAACGCTAACACTATCTAGTTTCTCTCCTTCTAAAAAATAATCTGCTCTACTGCTTTTGCCACCTTGGTGGATGACCTCACATTTCCCTACATTATACTTCATTTGCCACCTATTTGCCCACTCACCTAGCCTATCTATATCTCGTTGCATTTTTTTAATGTCATCCTCGGTGGTTACTCTCTCTCCTAGTTTAGTGTCATCCGCGAATTTGGATACATTAAGTTCGATGTCCTCATCTAGATCGCTGATGTAGATTGTAAATAGTTGAGGCCCAGGCACTGATCCTTATGGCACTCCACTAGTCACATCCCGTCAATCTGAGAAGGACCCGTTTATCCCTACTCTTTGTTTTCTTCCCATTAGCCATTCTTCAATCCATGCTAATATATTCCCCTTAATTCCATGGGCCCTAATCTTGTGGATCAACCTTTTATGTGGCACCTTATCGAATGCCTTTTGGAAATCTACATCCACTGAGTTCCCCCCTATCTAATCTACTTGATATGTCCTCAAAAAAATCTAAAAGATTTGTTAAGCATGACTTCCCTTTTGTAAAGCCATGTTTCCTCTGTATAATCATATTGTGATCCTCCACAACGACATCCTTAATTAAGGATTCTAGAATTTTCCCTACCACCAATATCAGACTGGTCTATAGTTCCCCATCTTTTCTCTCCCACCCTTCTTAAATAGTGGTGTGATGTTTGAGATCTTCCAATCAATGGGAACCGTTCCAGAATCCAAAGAATTTTGGAAGATCAGACACAAGGCCTCCACTATCTCATGAGCTACCTCTTTTAAAACCTAGGATGCAGACCATCAGGTCCAGGGGACTTGTCACTTTTTAATGCCAACAATTTCCCTAGCACCAATTCTTTGCTAATGTAAATTTCCCTAAGTTGCTCCCTATCATTAGCCCCTTGGTTCATCTCTATTTCTGGTAAACTTCTTGTGTCTTCTAATGTGAAGACAGAAGCAAAGTATTTATTTAGGGACTCTGCCATATCCTTATCCCCCATTATAATTCCTCCTGTCTCTGCCTGTAATGGACCCACATTTACTTTTGCTAGCCTATTCCTCTTAATTTGTTTATAAAAACTCTTACAATCTGTCTTGTTCCTAGCTAGCTTGCCCTCATAATCCATTTTCTCACTCTTAATGAGCTTTTTCGTTTTCCTTTGTTGGTCCCTAAAACACTTCCAGTCCTCAGGTTTGCTACTCTTTTTGGCAGTTTTATAGGCCTTTTCTTTTAGTTTTATACTTTCTCTAACTGCTCTAGTTAGACATGGACGAACTGCTTTCCCTGTGGTACTCTTATTCCTCAAGGGAATATGTGACCGCTGAGAATTTTGCACTACATCTTTAAATGTTTGCCACTGTTGGTCTAGATTATCCATTAATCTAATTCCCCAGTCTATTTTAGCTAATTCTGCCCTCATACCTGCAAAGTTAGCTTCATTTAAATTTAAGACCCTTGCTTCGGATTTGACTACATCACACTTTAACTTAATACTAAATTCTATTGTGTTATGATCACTCTGCCCTAGAGGAGCCTTAATATCTATATTACCGACTAGCCCTGTTTCGTTACACAAAACAAGGTCTAGGATGGCCTGTCCCCTAGTATGTTCCTCAGCATACTGCTCCAGAAAGCTATCTCTCATACACTCTATAAACTACTCCTCTACCCTACTTTTGCCGATTTGGTTTTCCCAATCTATGTGAAGATTGAAATCACCCACTATTACTGTATTACCTTTACGACGTGCTCCTCTAATTTCCTGATTAATACCCTGGGCTATGCTGTGATCATTGTTTGGGGGTCTATAAACTACTCCCACTAATGTTTTCTGCCCCTTGTTATTTCGTAATTCTAGCCATACCGTCTCTACATCCTGGTTATCTGATTTGAAAATTTTTCCTCTCTACTGTTTTAATTCCATCCTTTATTAACAAGGCTACCCCCCCACCTCGTTTTCCACATTGTCTATCCTTCCAATAAGCTGAAAACCCCAGAATATTTAACTCCCAACCTAGATCTCCCTGTAACCATGTCTCAGTAATGGCTACCAGATCATACCTATTTGTATCTGTGTCTTTAATTCATCTACCTTATTCCGAATGCTTCGTGCATTCAGATATAGCGATTTTAAAATAGAATTGATCTTAGAAATAATAATAATCCTTGCATTTCATATAGCGCCTTATCACGTCTTCAAAACATCTCAAAGCGCTTCAAATACCTACCTTTCTCTCTGTAGCTTTTTTATTTTCTTCACATTTGCTCGAATTAGTTATCTGTGCTGCAGACATCCCCGTCTCCATTAGTGGGTGAACAGGCATGCTGAACGGGTCGATCAGAATCTCATAGGGGACCATTGGGTGCTTCCAAGATGCTGGGGCACAAATTTGCCAAAGTTCTGGCTGCCCAAACGTACCTTCCAAAGTAGCAAGTAAATATGTATTAAATTGAGAATAACTGAAGTGTTATTGCAATAAATTACAACTGCATAAACGCATGCTGACAAATGAAGCAAAACTTTTTTNAAAGTTGCAGTCATGAACCTGAGATTACCAGATATATGATTTACCTGAGCAAGACTATGAACCAGTAGTTCTATGTGGAGAGATCAGATGCGAGCACTAAGCACACAATTTTCATCTACACAATGGGCTCAGTCCCAATTAGTGTAGATATCTGGCTGCGTCCAATAATCTATACTGTTAAGCGCTCTGAGATGCTACTCTGTGTGGAGGGCGCTATACAAGTGCAAGTTTTTGTTGTTGTATTCAATTCAGGCTTGAAACCCTCGAATTTTCATCTAAAAGCAAGCATACTACCAATAGTCAAGTTGCCAGATATGATTGTAGCCTGGTAATCACAACCATATAACCCTTTTGATATACAGTGGAAGCCAGTTAAGCCAGACATATCAGGACTGACCGCTTTGTCCGGCTTAAGTAGTGTCCGAGGTTAACCAAACGTCCATTACCTCTTCCCGCCCAGCAGAGGAGCGGTAGCTCCTATTGGACAGGAAAGGATCCAATTAGCAGTGGCTCCGAGGTGATTATCAGCTTGAAGTCGCTTGTGACTGGATGGACACGCTAACCATTCACAAGCGACTCCAGCTATCATTCAATTGTGATTTGACTCCTCCCATTCTCTCCCTTGTTTCTCCCCTGTCCCTCCGCCCTGTCAGTAATTGACAGCCCAACTCCAGCCACTTGTGAATGGTTGGAGTCCACGGTCAATCAATCGCAACATAACTCCCCCCATCTCCATCCTGGAGCTACTCGTGACTGAATGGAGCTGCTCAAGTCACAGAAGGCACGGGTGAGTACATTCAGCAGCGACATTTTATCTGGATTAATCGGATTGTACAAATTAACCAGCATATTTAAAACAGGTAAGAATACAAACAAAACAGGGCCGGGCGTTTTGTTTGATTTACCCGACATCCGGTGTTAATCAGCGTCCGTTTAAAGCAGATTCTTCTGTATATACTGTTTATCAGAGAAATATCTTCCTTAAAAAAGTTTAGTTTGTTGTGCGGAAATTTATTTAAAATTCATTGCCATTAAAATATTAAAGACTATGTATTGGTCATTGATACCCAAATTATTATATTTTCAGTAAACATATGATTAATGAGAAATATCTAGAAAACAACATCTAGTATCAATGACTAATTTGAAATGGCACTACAAAATCTAATCATGGATATTTTGTATCATTGTTTGTGAAGCTATATGCAATTCTTTCCTAAATTTAGCAATATTGTATTAATATGACAGGTTCGTTCCACGGAATCACAGAACAGGGTTGGCTCATATACGGGCAGAGACCGTCTGGAATTTGGAGGTGGTTTCTTAGATGACTAGTTGGTGTGGGCTGATGGGAAGGGAAAGGGAATATATAGAGCATTCCAGGAGAAGGAACACCAAATCTGATTGTACACACTGGATAAAGTGCTTTGACCTGTCATTTCTAATGTGGAGAATTAAAGGAACGTCATTAATGTGTGAGCTCAACAAGTTTGGACAATAGCTCGAACCCACACATTGTCAGCCCTGATGTCAGAGGACTACAAAGTTCATCTATATTTAAACATTTGCTGTAAGCAGAATATCATTAAACATTTTTGCTCCAAGATACTCCGAGACTCATCAACCAAGTAGTTTCTCAGTTATGCCCTCAAAAAGCCCATAGTTACCAATAAATGCCGCATCCATGCTCCACAATCGTACAGTGCAATCAGCAGAAGAGGTCAATATCAGCTTTTGCTCATCTATCAGCTGCATGCTGGAACAGAAACAGTTAACAGATAACTCAGCAAGCAGATAAACCAGGAATACAAGTGTTTTAGGATTGTATGCAATATCCTCAAGAAGGTATACAAACCTTGTAACACTGCTTATATGGGCCCTCCAATAGTTAATAGCTGCATGTACACAAAAAGATAAGTGGAACTAGATTAGTACCATTCTGAGCATTTATTACAGTTTTTCGTACAATTTTAGTCAAGAATCCTAAGTATCTCCTTATCATGCTTAAGATTTTCCAAACCAAACTACTAAATTCCACACACGTCTATTTTCTGTTTGCCTGCATGTCCCAGAGAGACATATCCTGCTCACTTATTCCTAAAGAGTTTAACAACATGTTCCATTTATACAGTGTCCTTCACACAAGGTAGTATCTCGCAGTTTAGGTGCAGGTTGGAAACAGCAAAGGCTTGAGACCTCCTAAATGTGCATTGGGATACTGCTGGAGTTCAATCAGCTAAAACCACACAGCTTGCCATTGCAAAACTACCAGTGACTAAAGGAGTCAAGTGCCCAGAATCGCTGCCCCCAGTGACTGGTCTGTTCCTCAACATCCAACTACCTTGGGAGTACTGCAGATCCGCTTGGACTAGGAACCAGATGACAGAGATCACTACTGTAAACTACTTCAGGGGAACACAGACAGAAAGTTGATTGGGCAGAGAAGTGGCAAATGAAATTTAATGCAGACAAATACGAGTTTATATATTTTGGAAGGAAGAATAAAGAAAGCAAGTGTATGTTAGGTGCTGAAATATTAAAAGGAGTGGAAGATCAGAGGGATCAGGTACATAACTCGTTAGAGGTTAGCAAAGCTGCAGAGCTTCAGTAGGAGCCTTCTCTGCAAACCAAAGTAGGCACAAAGTCCCAGATATACCAGTGTGTGTTCATAAGCCTGGATTCCTGGTAATGCCTTCAACCAGTTGTCCCAAGCCTCAAAATTCTCAGCTTTTCATCTGAAACTATCTGCAGTGGAAAGACCTATATCAAACAACTTTTGAAATGCCAATCATCTTGAGCTTCCAGAGGTCTGAGTCCAATCCCACATTACCAGATTTACTCCTCAACTACTGAATCTACATCCTTCTGAAAGGCTCCTTGGTAAATAGCCTGCTATGAAGCAGGCACTGGCTCACGAGTGTTGAGTGACAGGTTAGAGTTGCAGCATTGCAGCACTGAGTGTGAATGGGAAGAGAACTGCATAATGATAATAATACTTACCAGTGGAAGGAAAAATCACATCACCTCATTTAAAACATTCTCTAAGCAATTTTCTTGAATTATAAAAATATAAATATTTTAGTGAACACAAGTTACAAATCGGTTACATTTCATTACTATGATTTTTACATGATTCTGTGAAAAAGCTCACAATGTGGGACATACAATGGTGGAAGCTTGTAAAATGAGGCTTAAATGATTACAAAATATAACCATCAATTCTACAAATGGTCCACAAAATATACAGTCAAATTCACTTTACAGTATATTTGGTGAAGAGCTTTGAGACATCTTACTTTTTGGTGGATCAACTTCTGGTCCAATCAGAGCATAATCCTTGATGTTGTAAACATAAATAAATCCCATGTGACTGGCAGCGTAAAGTAGAGAATCATCTTCAGTTACGGCCAGTTTAGTTATTGAAGATTGTACTTTAGTCTGAAGAGAAATGATGTGTAGCCAGAACATATTAAAAGGACCATATCACAAAGAATGAAGTAAAAAATTATCTTTTAAAAGGAGCAAAAAATGATGAGCTAAACAAGTTATAATTCAACTTTTATAAAGTGCAGCATGAATTGGGTATAATACTAATTGATCAAACTGCTAGCAGAGTGTCATTCAATTAGGTGTAAAAAATGATACCTCAACCCACCAACTCTTCACAAACACATATTTAGGTGCGGATCTCTGACTGCACAGGGCTGCCCACCTGACGTGAAAGCCGCTATTCAAATGTAGTTTGCGGACAGTGCGTTACAAGAGGAATTAACCTCCTGGGTAAAATTGATTTCCCATTTGCAATCTCACAGGAGAAAGAATTTTGAGTGTGATATTTTTCCAAATTAGATTCAACACAATTTCCATTCAGTTTAGTACAAGTCGTGATAAGAGGAAGCCAAATAGGAAAGCACAGTTAGATCTGTGAGATCTGAATCTGAAGTTTGTTATCAGTAATGCTTTCACAGAGCAGAGCGGTGATGTAGAGAGCAACAGCACTGAAAAGTGATGATATACATTTGTTTACTACTTGGCTGAGTTCAGATCTGAACTGCTCCAGAGAGGGATTCAATAAACAAGGCAAACAGGATGCTGGGCTATATTCCAAAATCAGTTGAGTTCAGATCCTCAGGAGTCACACTCAAGCTGTAGAGTATTGTGGTGAGGCTACACCTGGATTACTACATACAGCGCTGGTCAGTGCAACACAAGGGGGTTGGCTCAGGCCTAGAGACAATGTCGACAAGGAAAATCCCTGAATGTTAGAGGGATGAGCAGCGTAAGGTTCTTCTGCTTTGAAAAAGAGATGCCCGAGAGGGCAACTTATGGAGGCATAGATTTTCAATGGGAATGAGAAAGTAAATCTAGAACAACATTTTCAGATACAGAAAGGTAGAACAAGTTCAGGGCAACATCAGAATGGACACCAGGTGTGTTTTTTTACCAGGAGGTTAATTATCGACTGAAATTAACTTCCAGGAAAGATGGTTGAGGCCAGGTTGTTGAACTCAATTAAGAAACAGCTGTGATGGGAGAACAGTCGGCTGGGTATTCTGGAAGGATGAGATCAAAATGGGCTGAAGAGTTTTCTTCATCTGAAGATCTTGTGAGCATGTGACAACCACCTGTGAAGTTTCCACTGGGCCAAGTATAATGCGGTAAATGGTACGATTTTTGAACCCAACCCATTGCCTTATAATGGGGTCCAAATGTACTGAAATGCAGTTTGTTTTAAATGCAGTTCGACATGTCGACTAATTTTAAAAAAAAGCTAGCACTATTTGCTTTTACAGCTTTGCCAATCTCCCCTTCCACCTTTAAAAAAACTGGTCTACATTAACTCCGTCGCTGGCCCTTTTTAAAAGATTTACATTGAAGTGTACTTTTCCTTCCCTTAGTCCTCCTCCAGGATTTATCATCTCATATTTTCCTGCAAAACAATGCATTGAACTGCCCAATCCATTTCTCTTCACAGATGTGAAAATAGCATTATTCTCACCACCTGCATGATATTACACCCCTTTACACCAGTCCACATGATGATTTCTATAAATAGCAATCCTCTCATCATTATTGGATCAGGATCACTGCTTTTATCTATTTAAATAAATGGTTACCCTTCTCTAGTCTGACTTTAAAAAAGGCCCATTTGCCCCGTTCTCCGATTTTCTAGTCTTTAAACAATTTTCAATCCATGTAGCCATATTTTCAACAATAATAATAATATTTTCAGTAATACCATGCACCTTCATTTTCCTCTGTACACAAGACACATAACAGATCATCCACTGATGTTAAATTGATCCCGTGTGGAACTTTTATCTTGAAAAGCCGCATACATCTTTCAGGAATTACTCATGTGCTAGCGACCATGTGACTGGTGATTCAGACTGTAATATTGAGCGACTTACTGCAGTGAAAGAGGCTGCCATCTGTCCACCATTAAGCAGGTTCCAGAAAAAAATCAAACCTGCGGAGAGCATAAAATCCCCACAAATTATAAATGAAATGCAGCATAACCACATCCTGTATACCTACATGGTAGAATTACTTTTAGAAGTTACTTTGCATGAAAGGGGATATGTAAATTAAAGTTCTTATTGTTGTAAAACTTAGTTTTTTTAAAATCCTGCAGTCAAAATTGCAGATATTTGTAAATGGTCTTAAAAAGAGCATTACATTCACAGTAAGTTATTCATTCAAAGTGTACTGGAAAACACAATACATTTCCAGTTCCTGCTAAGAATCTCTGCGATAATTCTAAATGTTTAATGTGATAAATTTCCTTTGTCCTCCCGTTTATGGAATTTGCTGAACGAAGAATATGATCACAGGCACTTTAACAGGCTACAAAAAACAGTCTCTTGAACCTTCTGGTATTTAGAGGATGCACACGCCTTCTGCTCCAGGCAAGACCATAGTTATGGTGATATCTGCAACTCCATACAGGTTATTGACTCACCAGCACACAAGCACAAGGTTTTCTGAGGTTGGGCCTGATACACATCAGTAAAGAAGAGGAGCTTTGCTTTCCACCAAAAAAAACGCTAAACCTGATCAGGGAGTTATTTGAATAGTATTCCAACAACCTGGAAAGTGTTGTTAGAATATTAGCCATTTTTTAAATAAAACAAACAAAAGATTTTTAATGCTCAAGGCTTCAGCTCACTTCACTTGCTTGCAGAGCACATTTTGCAGAATATAGACAAACTGGTCGATAGATTGCCTACCTTGGGGCCCTGTAGAAACAAGGCAAGCTGCAAATTCAGTCTTCAGCACACGAGTCTTCAGGAACACAACGTTATCTACAAATGCTGTACAAAAATAAGAAAAGTAACTCATCAACCAAGACAAAATTGTAGAATAATTTCAATAAAGAGATGAATTGCTAATTGAGACATTTTTGTAAATTCGGTTTCTAAGTGTTCTTGAATAATGACTGGGGAAGAAGTGGTCAAGATTCAACAATGGTTACAATTTAAACCAATTTGAGAAAGTGTTTATCATCAATGGAAATGGTCTTCAAAATATGATCATAAACACAGGTAGCCTTTATTTTAAAAAAATAAACATTGGACTCGGGATCATAATAGCTCAAGTTTTGAATTTGTTTATATATTATATAGAATCTTGGTTATTCACCCTTCTGAAATTAATAAAATGTTCTTCTTCAGATGCGGGAACAATTAATTGCAAAGATCTCTACCTGACAAAGCCAGGCTCCATCACAGCAATCCAAACTTTGACTAACTTTAGCTGCTTGACGTTTAATGGGGATCTTGGCGGTGAGGTTCTTTTTATAAAAAAAATTGGATCTATAATGTCCGAGTCATGGTCTTTAGTCCTTACCTTCTCTATCTTTGCAGTCGACAGGTAAGGGAGTCTGAAGACGGCAACAGATGTGTCCAGAGATCATTCTCCACACAATTATTTCCCCATCATGGCTAGAGGTGGCGAGGAGAGTGGGAGGACACTGAGCAACACACAGAATATCATCCTTGTGCCCATGTTTCTAGGAAGACGCATTAATATGTGTAAAGGTGAGCGTTCACACCCCCATCATAATGCTATATTTAGCACAAAAAATGAATAATGCTGTGGGATCTTTAACATTCATACATTGAAGGTGCTGACTACCCTATTGACAGTATATCTGTGCTCACTTAGGTCATCCTGCACCAATGACTAATTTTTGCTTCCTCCGGGTGTCTGACACATGTGGAAACCCAACACTGTCTTCTCTCCTGTGCATCTGAACTCCTTAACCTCCCCAGGCTTTCCCTCAGACTCACCGAACCAATGCGCAACTTAGGCGTCTGGTTCGATCCGCAGCTTTCCTTTCTACCCCACATCCTATCCCTGACCAGGATTGCTTTTTTCCACCTGTGTCACATTGCCCGCCGCCGTCACAACCAACGCAGTCAAAACCATTCGGCACTTCCCAGCTGGACTATTCCAATGCTTTCCTCGCTGGTCTCCTCAGTTCCACCATAAACACAATATTCAATTAATTCAAAACTCCACTACCTAGATACTCACCCGCACAAAATGCATACACCCATCACGCCAGTCCTTGCCAAGTTCCACTAACTCCCAATTACCGAACGGATCCTCTCACTCGTTTTCAAATCCCTTTATGCCCTCACACCTCTCTACCTATCCGATCTGCTTACCCCAATCCCACCATCTCAGCTCGACTGGCTCCAGCCTCCTGATAGTCCCTTATCCCCTCACCATCGGTGGACATGCCTTAAGCCACTACACCCCATAAACTCTGGAGCTCTCTCCCTCAATCCCTCCACCTTGCCCCCTCCGCCCTCTACATCAATAGAGGTCAGGAATGTTTTTGGACTAGTGCTCCATACAGATATTTTCTACAAAATGGAAGACTGGTTACAATCACCGTCTCTCACTGCAACTGGTGACAATACAGCATCCATTATCTAATGCAAGTGACGTTGGTGAATCAATCACGTGTGTAATCTTCCAGAGATTCATTGGCACCTGAACACCTCTTTCAAAATCTGTTTTTGCTTCACTGCAACTGTCTGACATAAACTGAGATCCAACTATCGCACTGCCATGTAGTGAATAGTCAATTTTCATCAGGGATTGTTGGCCAGGACACCAGGAGAGACCCATCCCCTTCTCATTTTGAATAGTGCCATGTGACCTGAGCAGACAGACAAGACCTTGAATTAACAGGTCATCCAAAGAATGGCACCTCCTACATTGCGGTGCACCCCAGTACTTCCTAAAACTAACATAAGATATATTCTGTTAAACGTTCATGGTGTACCAAGTCAAGAAAGCCCACTTGTGGTGGGATTTTTTAAAAAAATGCTATGTCTGTTGTAAAAGAATTCAAGATTTTTTTTTAAATTCTAATCCCATCAGTTCTATAACTTCATAATTTACAAGTCCTTCATAAATGAAAAATCTGGCAGCAATTAAAATTTATGGTAAAGATTTTGTTGAATCAAAAAAGCACCAAACTAGTAAAGAGAGAGCATTAAACTAATCACGACTCAGATCACTTGCTAACTCTGAGAAGTCCTGTATTTTACCTCTGGATAGATTATGAATGAGAATGCAAACACTTAAAATAGATGCTCTGACACCGTACACATTTCAGTGAAAGAAAATCTCAGATTGATTTATTTTGAGACCAAATACAATCCATATATTAATAAGCACCAGTGAGACATCATGTGCAAAATGAGCTGATGGAATGATGGATGCTCCTTACCAGATCATCCTCCCAATGTGTGTGAGGACGCTGAATGTGGTTAAGGTCAGCGAAAGAATCCTGTACCACAGAAGGTTAAAACAAAAGGTAGATTGTAGATCTAATAATTTAGTATTTATGTTATAAAAAATCCAGTAGCTATAAAAAATATACTAGACTGATTGCTATTTAATAATAATAATAATAATAATAATAATAATCCTTGCATTTGATATAGCGCTTTTCACGTCGGAAGGATGTCCCAAAGCGCTTCACAGAACACACTGTAAAATGAATTGACTGTATATTTGTGGGCGAACGCGGCAGCCAATTGCGCACAGCAATGTCCCACAAACAGTCGTAGATTGAAAATGACCAATTTATTTTTGTTTTCTTGTTTTGGAGGGATTATTATGAGCCTTCATAGTGACTGAAGGCTCAACCATTAATAATAATAATAATAATAATAATCCTTGCATTTGATATAGCGCTTTTCACGTCTGGAGCGGAGGGGAAAGGACATGGGCAGCAGACCTCTGTTAGCTAATTAATTAGTTAATGACTGATAGAGATGCACAGTGGAACAAATTTGTACTTGGGTACGATCTCTCCATTGAAGAATGGCCAGTCAGCACTCGGTGCTCAGACTCATTCATAAAGAGTGGCCATTTGGATAATGTACTGCAGGTGGTTAGTTGGTGTTTAAGCGTTCTGGGCATTACCCTGTGTTAAGGGTGCTACATAAGTGTAAGTTGTTGTGTTTTAAGACAGGAAGACGAAGCTGTTCAGAAACAGATGCAAGCTGTAAATCACATACTTTTTTTTAAACTATTAGGTTAATATGAAAACAATTATGATGTTTTAGTTATAAATATAATTTAAGAAATTACAATGATTCAGGTAATGAATGCTCACACAGTGACTTGAGCAAGGTATAAGAGAATGAATGACATGGCTTGTTAAACCATACTCCAGTTGAAGGAAAACAGACAAACATTAGGAGAGTAGAGAGAGAGAGAGAGGCACAGACAGATAGAAAAAGAAAGTGAACAACTTGGCAGTTTTTTAAAAAAAACTGTACAAGATGTCTTGACAAAATTTTATATTTTGCAAATTAAACCTTTAAACACTTTGAATTTTGTTTCAGAGGAAAATGTTGATAACATTAACACTCACATAATATATGTTAATTCTTCGATCCCATCCAACAGCAATCACGTATCTAAAGAAATTCAAGGCATCTGGTCATGAAAGTGCATTGTTTCTTTTAAAAACAGTGTTGAAACAAATAGTTCAGGAATTTTAAACTTACTTCCTTTTGTGTATCTCTACATACGCACAATCACTGATTTCAGCACACTTGCCAACTGCAATGAGAGCACAGTTTCATTTTTTCTAGTTTAATTTTGTGAAAAAGTTATTACAATACATTAAGACAAGTTGTTGTAAATTTTGCTCTCATTTTCTCCAATGCACTTTAGCAATAATAATACTTACATTTATCACGCTTTGAGCCGTCTCAAAGAGCTTCAAAGTGAATTGACTGTATATTTTGTGGGGGAAACGTGGCAACCAATTGCGTACAGCAGTGGTATTAGAAGGTACTTTACCCTTTATACATGGCAGTTGGATGAATGATAGCATTATATTCCTGAAGATTAGTGATTGGGAGGGATAGAAGGAGAGAAAGTATGCACAAACCCAGTGGTCCAGGCAACAATAACAAGATTCCATTTATAAAGCACCTTTCACATCAGGAGGACGTCCCAAGGCGCTGCACAGTTGGGTCAGGACCCGAGCAGGGGGGGAAATGGTCAGGGTGAGGGGAGGGAAGGAGCGAGGAGGGGGGAAATGGTCAGGGTGAGGGAGGGAAGGGAGGGAGCGAGGAGGGGGAACAGAGTCGAGAGGGGAGCTGAAGGCTCAGTCAAAGAGAAAGGTTTTGAGACCGGCCTTGAAGGAGGAAAGGGAGGAAGCGGCGAAGGCACTGGGGGATAGAGTTCCAGAGCCTAGGGGCTGAGAGGCTGAAGGCCCGACCACCGATGGTCGGGCGATTGGGGCGGGGACGTGGAGCAGACCGGAGCCGGAGGAACGGAGGGTACGGGCAGGTAGGTAGGGGGATAGTAGGTTGGAGAGGTAGGAGGGAGCGAGGCCGTGGATGGCCTTATAGGTGAGGATGAGGATCTTGAAATCAATCCTCTGGGGGATGGGGAGCCAGTGGAGGCGAGCGAGGGTGGGAGTGATGTGGTCCCGAAGCCTGGTGCGGGACAGTACACGAGCTGCAGAGTTCTGAATGACCTGCAGCTTGTGGAGGGAGGTGCCGGGAAGGCCGACGAGGAGAGAGTTCCCATAGTCCAGCCTTGAGGTGACAAAGGCGTGGACCAGGGTTTCAGCAGCGTGAGGGGTGAGGTAGTGCCGGAGTCTGGCGATGTTCCGGAGGTGATGGAAGGCGGTGCCAGTTGTGGTGCGGATGTGAGGGTGAAAGGACAGCTCAGGGTCAAACAAAATGCCGAGGTTCCTGACCGGCTTTGAGAGGTGGAGAGTGCAGCCTTGGATGCTGATGGTGTCGGCGCCTGAGGTGCGGACTCGAGCCAATCAGGAGGGCCTCGGTTTTTCGCACGTTGAGCTGAAGAAAGTTGTCTCTCGTCCAAGACTCGATGTCAGACAGGCAGGCTGTCAGGACATCGGTGGTCGTGGAGTTGAGAGTAGAGGAGGAAAGGTAGAGTTGGGTGTCATCCGCATACATGTGGAAGTTAACTCCATGTCTGCGGATGATGTCACCAAGGGGGAGCATATAGAGGGTGAAGAGGAGGGGACCGAGGACAGAGCCCTGAGGGACACCACATGAGACAGTGCGGGGGGTGGAGGAGAAGCCATTTGTCGAGACAAAGTGAAGACGGTGAGAAAGGTACGACCTAAACCACTCAAGGACAGTGCCTTGAAGGTTGAGGTGGGAGGACAAGCGGTGGAGTAGGATAGCATGGTCGACCGTATCGAATGCTGCCAATAGGTCGAGGAGGACGAGGAGGCAGAGGGAGCCCTGGTCACAGATGGTCAGGATATCATTGGTGACCTTGACCAGGGCAGTTTCTGTGTATCAAAGATAGTTAATCGTCTGGGGTGGAGGGCTCTACTGTTATAGAGATTACGTTTATGTGCGATGGCATCCTCATTTCCCAACAGTCCAGAAAAGCTCCTGCACCTGCTACAATATTGGATCTTTCACTTTACTAAATTATAGAGTGGAAGCCTGTGAAGTCGACACATTTGTGGTTTTGTCTGCCTTAAGAGGCGTCCAAGGTTAACCAAAATACAATTCCCGCCCAGCAGAGGAGAGTTGGCGGCTGATGCCGTGTAATAATATGTGATAACGTTGTTTCGCTTGAAACAATGTTAACTAACCAGTTAAACTAACCAGGTTAAAGTTACAAACCTGTACTCAACAGAATTCAGTTTGGCTGTACAATACCTTCCCGCCCAGTAGAGGAGCAGCGGCACTGCCTCCCTCCCATTGCCATTCCCATTGGACATGAAGAGGACCAATTAGTGGTGGCTCCGAGCTGATTGACAGCCTTGAAGCCGCTTGTGCACGTTTGGGCTCCAGCCCTTCACAAGCGGCTCAGCTGTCAATCAATCGTGATTTGGCTCCTCCCATTCCCTCCCTTGTTCTTCCCTGTTCCGCCCCCCCTCATCGATTGACAGCCCAACTCCAGCCGCTTGTGAATGGTCCGAGTCCGCTGCCAATCAATATTGCTCCCCTCATCTCCATCCTGGCTGGATGGAGCCACTTGACACACAAGAAGGCCTGAGTGAGTATATTCAGCGGTGAGCATCGTGACATTTTGACCAGATTTTTGTCCGAATTAACCGGCATATTTAAAACGGGTAAGAATACAAATGAATCTACCAGGTGATTTACCTGTCATCCAGGGTACCGTAATTATCCTTTCATTTAATAATAATAATAATAATCCTTGCATTTTAAATAGCACTTTTCATGTCGGGAGGACGTCCCCCGCCACTCCGCGCAGGTCATCTCCTCCAACCTTCACTGCGAGGAGATGCTGGATTTCCTTGAATCCAAGATGAAGGGAATCCGCTCCGCGGTCACTTCCCCTCCAATATCCACCCACCACCCACCCCTTCCACACTCCGACTCCTACCCATCCTCCCCTACACACCTTCGTACCCGTTTCCCCATCCTCTGTCACCAAACTCATCCTCTCCCTGAAACCTACCACCTGCTCCCTTGACCCCATCCCCACTCCACTCCTTATCTCCCAGCTCCACCTCCTTGCCCCACATATCACAGACATCGTCAACCTGTCCCTCTCCTCTGGCTCTATTCCCATTCCCTTAAAAACTGCCACCATCACTCCCACCTTAAAAAAACCCTCCCTTGATGCGTCGCAGCTATCAAGCTACCGGCCCATCTCCAACCTCCCCTTCCTATCCAAGGTCCTGGAACGAGTTGTCGCCTCCCAGCTGCGCTCTTTCCTCTCCAACCATTCACTATTCGAACCCCTTCAGTCGGGTTTCCGTGCTGCCCATAGCACAGAAACTGCCCTGGTCAAGGTCACCAATGACATCCTGACCATCTGTGACCAGGGCTCCCTCTGCCTCCTCGACCTATCGGCAGCATTCGATACGGTCGACCATGCTATCCTCCTCCACCGCTTGTCCTCCCACCTAAACCTTCAAGGCCCTGTCCTTGAGTGGTTTAGGTCGTACCTCTCCCACCGTCTTCACTTTGTCTCCACAAATGGTTTTTCCTCCAGCCCCCGCACTGTCTCGTGCGGTGTCCCTCAAGGCTCTGTCCTCGGTCCCCTCCTCTTCACCCTCTATATGCTCCCCCTTGGTGACATCATCCGCAGACATGGGGTTAACTTCCACATGTATGCGGATGACACCCAACTCTACCTTTCCTCCTCTACCCTCAACTCCACGACCACCGATGTCCTGACAGCTGCCTGTCCGACATCGAGTCCTGGACGAGATAACTTTCTCCAGCTCAACGTGCGTAAAACTGAGGCCCTCCTGATTGGCTCGCGTCAGCGCCTCCGCACCTCAGGCGCTGACAGCATCAGCATCCAAGGCTGCACTCTCCACCTCTCAAAGCCAGTCAGGAACCTCGGGGTTCTGTTCGACCCTGAGCTGTCCTTTCTCCCCCATATCCGCGCCACAACTGGCACCGCCTTCCATCACCTCCGGAATGTCGCCAGACTACGGCACTACCTCACCCCTCACGCTGCTGAAACTCTGGTCCACGCCTTTATCACCTCAAGGCTGGACTATGGGAACTCTCTCCTCGCCGGCCTTCCCGGCACCTCCCTCCACAAGCTGCAGGTCATTCAGAACTCTGCAGCTCGTGTACTGTCCCGCACCAGGCTTCGGGACCACATCACTCCCACCCTCGCTCGCCTCCACTGGCTCCCCATCCCCCAGAGGATCGAATTCAAGATCCTCATCCTCACCTACAAGGCCATTCACGGCCTTGCTCCCTCCTACCTCTCCGACCTACTATCCCCCACCTACCTGCCCGTACTCTCCATTCCTCTGGCTCCGGTCTGCTCCACATCCCCCGCCCCAACCGCCCTACTATCGGTGGCCGGGCCTTCAGCCTCTCAGCCCCGAGGCTCTGGAACTCTATCCCCCAGTGCCTTCGCCGCCTCCTCCCTTTCCTCCTTCAAGGCCGGTCTCAAGACCTTTCTCTTTGACCGTGCCTTCAGCTCCCCTCTCGACTCTCTACCCCCTCCTCGCTCCCTCCCTTCCTTCCCCTCACCATTTCACCCCTGCTCGGGTCCTGACCCAACTGTACAGCGCCTTGGGACGTCCTCCCGATGTGAAAGGCGCTCAATAAATGGAATCTTGTTGTTGTTGTGTTGTTGTCCCAAAGCGCTTCACAGATCACACTGTAAAGTGAATTGACTGTATATTTGTGGGCGAACGCGGCAGCCAATTGCGCACAGCAATGTCCCACAAACAGTCGTAGATTGAAAATGACCAATTTATTATTGTTTTTGGTTTTGGAGGGATTATTATTAGGCTCTGTGTGGAGTAAGGAATCTTGCCCAAGGTTTCGCCCTCTGCCTGGAATTGAACTCAGGTCTCTCGCTTGCAAAGCGAGTGCTCTAACCACTGAGCTACAGGACTCCACATATCAGGAGGACGTCTCAAAGTGGAGGCCTGTAGCATATTAGTTAGAGCACACGCCTAGCAACCAGGATTATCTGGGTTCGATTCCCGGACATGGAGAAACGTTAAGCTAGTTTCCTTACTTGACACCCTGTTTACCTAGCAATAAATAGGAACCCGGTTGTTAGTTGACTGGTGGATCGCATTTCTGGGGATAACAATTCCTTCCAAAAAAAAAATAATAATTTGGTCACTCAATCAACGACTGTTTGTGGGACACTGCTGTACGGAATTGGCTGCCGGGTTTTGTCCACAAAATGCATAGTTAATTCACTTTACAGTATATTCTGTGAAGCGCTTTGAGACATCTCAAAGACATGATAAAGTGTTACATCAAATGCAAGGATTATGATTATTATTATAAAGCCTTCACTAGATTTACTGTCAAGTGTAGTAACTGTGTATTTTAAGCAAACGTACTAGTACTTTTATTGTACTCAATCTCTATCCAAATCCTGAAAAAGCCCTGCTGAACCCCTGTTGAAGTAAATAATAGGATTTACCTTTCTTTAATGTTCTGAGACATTGGCCATTATTGTAATTCCAGATCTTCAAACATCCATCTCTCCCTCCAGTTATTAGTCTACCGGGTAAAAAGGATTTGTTTTAATCTCTGTGTTATGCTGCATTGAACTATTCAAAGCTAATTAGCAAATGACAATTATTTACCTCCTTCCACTGTCATCAAAGGTCATGCAGCTAATGGCAGAATCTTTGTGAGCCTCACTGAACTCAAACATTAGGCTTCCTGTATCCAAGTCCCAGACTTTGACCTTCTGCATTAAAATAAAATCAGTATTACACTCAAAGCTGCTTCATTCCAATTCAAGCCCCATACTGTTTACAAGATTTATTTGGGTGAAGAACACCTTTTGGCCCATTTGATCTTATCCCTTCAGAATAACCACCCTATTTTGAGTCTATTCTAACAAAAATCAACAAGTCACCCTATTTTGTCTCTTTTGGAGTGATTGCGTACAGACCGACCCCCATTATAATAAAGGGATTTGAATACAGAAACTCAGACCCCACTTTATAATGTGGCCACTAAAAGAATGGCTGCTGGTCAGCCCTTCCAGATTGTTCGGTCACCATTCAAGTCACACAGCTTGGTGGGAATCCTTTTCGTAAGGATTGCTGCCAGTTACTATGACACCGCTACACGCTGGAAGGTCTTCTGCAATGGTGCTCTGTCCACAGAGTAGCTTACTCCACAGGGTGACCCAGATATAAATGAAACCCATGCTATAACACGGCTTTACAATGACATATTTACCAAGAAACGTGATGCTCCTCCAGCTGATATCCTGTGTGCATTTATCTGATCAACAAGATGCCATCATAAGCACATTGATTTTTGACCCATAATCTTAAAACCATCCAATAATTACAAGGAGTCAACAGTTATACAGGTCACAAAACAGCTGTAAGTAACATTTCTCTACAGCTATTCTAAGCATCTTCAATAGAGGCAGTATACATTAAACATTGGAACTCTTTGATTTACATTATAAAGGTTCTCGGATTTTTCTTGTTTTTAAAAAAATTTAATTCACTATAATTATAGTGAACAAGCACCACAATATCTTGCACTTACAGATCCTTCTGAACAGCTGACCACTTGTTGAAACTCTTTGTTATATCTGCAACACAAAACTGGCTCTTTGTGGGAGGCAAGGAGATTGGAATCAGGTTTGGGTCTGCAAGAGTGGAGGGAAACACAAACAAAAGTGACTTACCAACCAAAGGCCCCAAATTATATCTAGTCTTAGCCCATCAGGCCATTTGGATCTACATTTTAATATCACACAGAAATTGGGAACAATTCTTAAATTCATGCTTAATTTGAAAGAGATAAATTAGTCATTCATTTCATGACTGTTTAAGCGATTTTGTTCTTTGCAAATTGGCTGTCATGTTAGCCTATAAATGCAGCCACTACAATTAGCCATGAAGCACTTTGAGTCATTCACCGTTCTAGCTCCAATGATGATTGTCAGTATTTATCGTCAGTCGCATATTCAGTAAACTTGTCAATAAGTGTAGGAATACTCTCGGTGGCAGTCTACTCTAATATTTACAACAACAGCTTGCATTTACATAGCACCCTTCAAGCGGGATATTGTCTCAGAACACTTAAACATTTACATTTGATAATCCAACTTAGCACTTCACATCAAGTTTAGTGATTGTTGTGGTATATGTCGCAGCTAATTTAAGATGGTAATGTCCCAAAAAGTGCAAGGAGTTGAACGATCAATTTGGGTTGCAGCACATTTTGTAAATGAACACAAATTACTTCAGAAAGCATACAGAACCAGTATTGATGAGACTTACTTCAGCCTTACACGCAGAAGAGCAATGGAATCTGTAGCAATGAAGAGTGCTTTTATCCCAGGTGCATAACAACACGTTGCAAGGTCTCCTCTGATTCCACTGGCTTTTGCATTGACTGTGACCAGGCAGCATTGATCCTCAATGTCCCAGATCTGCAAACAAAAACAAGAGTTTAGAAAGAAAGTTTTAATATGTAAAATAGACAGATAAATGTAAAATAATCAGCAATCAGATAAGGAAACAACAACGATATGCATTTGTACGGGGCAGCATCTGGAGTGCTTAATACACTGGAGCTAGAACGGTGAAAGTAAAACAAATGTATAGGCAGACATTCGTACAAGAGACAGAACAGAATTCTAAATAAAGGGCTCAAAACTTTTCAAGGCATTTAGAATATCAGGGTGATTTTCAATCGGATCCTCTATCCTGACCCATTTATAATAATAAATAATAATAGCATTTGATATAGCTCCTTATCATGTCTCAAAGACATCTCAAAGCGCTTCACAGAATACAATTGAAGCCACTTAAGCCGGACACATCGGAACCAGGTGTTTTGTCCGGCTTAAGAGGCATCCGAGGTTAACCAAAGCTCCCTTACCTTTTCCCACCCAGGAGAAGATCAGTGGCAACCTCCGCCCACTGCCATTCCCATTGGACGGGAAGGGGACCAATTAGTGGAGGCTCCAAGGTGATTGACAGCGTGAAGCCTCTTGTGATTGAAGGGCACGCCACACGTTCACAAGTGCTCCAGCTGTCAATCAAGCATGAACTGACTCCTCCCATTCCCTCTCTTGTTTCTTTCCCATTCATCTGACCCCTTACTGATTGGCAGCCCAAATCCACATGTGAATGGCTGGAGTCTGCTGTCAATCAATCACACTTTGACTCCTCCCATCTCCATCCCAGAGTTGCTTATACCTGAATAATAATCTTTGCATTTGATATAGATATCACGCCTTCAAGATGTCTCAAAGCGCTTCACAGAATATATTGTAAAGTGAATTGACTGTATATTTTGTGGGCAAAACGCAGCAGCCAATTGGACACAGCAGTGTACCACAAACAGTTGTGGATTGAAAGACCAATTTATTATTATTTTTTGAAGGAATTATAACCCCAGGAAAAGTGATCTGCCAATCGACTAACAATCAGATTCCTACTTAATGCTAAGTAAGGAAACTTGCCCAAGATTTCGTCCTGCCGGGAATCGAACTCAGGTTTCTCACTTGCGAGGCAAGTGCTCTAACCATTGAGCTACAGGACTCCAGAATGGAGGAACTCTACACACAGAAGCCACGAGTGACTAGACTCAGCATTTTGTCCGGATTAGCGGGCATATTTAAAACAGGTGGGAATAAAAATGAATCGGGGCCAGGTGTTTTGTCCGATTTGCCTGGCATGCTGGATTAATCAGCGTCCGGCTAAGCAGCTTCCACCGTAAATTGAATTGACTGTATTTTGTGGGCAAAACATTTAAAGTAAATTGCCCCCAACCTTAACGTCCCAGTGTAAATCGTTCCATTTCCAACAACAATTCTCCTCTCAGAGTAACTACTGATTTGTACCACATCTTGGGCAGTGGTTTTACACCTAACAGGACCTGGCCATTGCACAAAAAGAGCCTTCCAATCTGAGTTTTTATATGTCCCATTCAAACACGGGTTCTAGAGGAGACAAAGTGTCATTGCTATTTATCCCTGTGTTATTTGAAATAGGCTGCACTTCACAAGGTTAAATCAAAGATATATGGAATGAATTTAAAAAACTAATAATTTATGAGGCAGGATACACAGGGAGAGATAGGCAATGTACAGAATATGGTTGACCACAGAATTATGTGACGGGCTTACAAACCTTCACAGTATTATCAATGGAGATGGAAAATATTTTTTTCTCAGCAGTATCGATGCACACGAAGAAGATTGGAGCACAGTGACCTCTCATCACACCAGTGGGTTTCCTTCACACAAAAATAGTGTTAATTTCTTGTCAGACCAACCTCAGACTTTTCTTTGAGGAGGTGACATCCTAAATTGAAGGTGAGAAGCTAGGTAGCACACAATAGATTCCTTCACTGATGTTACTGGGCATCAAGAATCAGAAAATAGATTCCTGGCCATTACAGGTTCTAAATTAGCTGAAGGAAAGGAAGCAAAAGGTAGTTGTTAGGGAATTTTGATCCACAATAGGGAAAGGGAAATTAAATCTAGTGCCTTTGATGCTTATATGGGGTCTGTATATTCCTTCTTATTTATTTTTGGTCAGTCTGGTGTGTTGACACATGCAGAAACCCATCACCATGCTTAAGAGTATCCAGACCAAGCTGAGATTTCCATGCATCCTACCAACACATGGAAATCCCAGAGACAGATTGTTGGAATGGAATGCGCACTCTCTCCCTGGAGGGACACATCCTGCTTACCTAATTCCGGAAAATATTAGGCGCTGGTTGGTAAGAGCCAAGGCTTGGGGACCCCAGAGTGTACGTTGGGGTAACTGCTGGAGTCTAACCAGCTAAATCCACATAGCTTGCCACATTGGGACTTACTGTTCTTTATATATTTTAATGACTGGGATTTACGGAAAGTCAGGCAGGTCGTATTCTGGAAAAATGAGTTCAAATGGGCTGAAGCACCTTCTTCATCTGAACCGAACTTATAAAGAATTCCACCATTTTAAAAACCTGGGTCTTCTCTTCCCTCCACCCCTGAATCTTATGCTACCTTACAAGGACAGCTCCAAAAGCCTATCCAACAACTTGGAGCAAGTCATGGCAACCTCCATGTTCATTGTTCAAGACGTTACAGCAGCACATAACATAAGTTTATAATGTAACAATTATTATCTGCATTCCTTCACTATTGAGCGACAAAAACATAGAAAGGAAGACTGAAATATCAATGGAAAAATGTACAAGAATGATTGGAAAGTTTCTATGCAGCAACTAATTAAGGAAGTTATGAAAAGCAATTCATGTCAGTTCTCTACCAGAATCATTATTTCACATCTTACCCAGGAATATAAGGGTTCCACAATCTCACAATCCTGTCCAGCCCTCCAGTCACCACCAGTTTGGATTTTTTACAGAAATCAAAGGTTTTTACACCTTTGTAGACTTGAAATACAGACTGATCACAGTCTAGCCTTTTTTGAGGAACGACAGCAGAGCTGTGACTCTTTTTCCGCTTTCCCTCTTTCCAAGACTCCTTCAATTCCTTCATCTCTTGTTCCAGGTTAGTGGTTCCAGTGGTGCACCCTTCAACAAGGGTTCAGTAAACAAGTCAAATATCACACATAAATAACAGAGGGTAGCAAATAGATGAGAAACACATGGGGGAAAAAGAAAAAATGAAGTTTTGTGTAGAAAATCTGTTAGAAACCAAAGTATTACATCAACTGTTGCCTAAATATAGAACAATGTGTATGAGTGAGCTTATAAAATATTATTTTGAACTTTTAATCTATTTTACTGTAGAACATTCTATTACTTTTATCAGCATACAGGGACAAATTTCCAAAGCTTCAAGAAGCAGGTACAGCCCACATCAATAGCCATACTTCATGGAGCAGAAAGAAACAATAAATGTTCAAACTTTCAGGGCCTGAGATGCAGTTACACACGGTAGTTCCATTAAGCTAATCACATGGTGAGGAGCATATGCTAAAAAGAAAAGCAATGTTGCAAATCATAAAATACAAGTTGCACCTGTGAATATTTTCCTTCACCTCTCTCAATACCCATGTTCAACGTGTTTACAAATGTCTTAGCTAATGGGTTGCTTTGCTCTCCAGAACCTTTAAAAGGTTGCTGTTTCTTACACCAATAATTAAGGTGGGTGTCCTTCAATCAACCTCCCTGTTGTACTCAGGCATACTGTCACCTGCTCCTATTAACTAGCCACGTATCGACAGCAACAACAAATTACACTTGTATAGCATCCTTCATGTTGGAAAGATTTCCCAGGGTGATGGGACAGTCCGAGGTTTTTGGACCTGAGCTGGGAGTTGGGGTGGAGGGCAGGATGGGTGGGAGTGGGAGGGTGGCTGAACGCACGGTTGAAGAGGAAGGTCTTTAGATGGGACTGAAGGAGGCAGAGCGAGGGATTATGGGATAGAGTTCCAGATCATCCAAAACTGCAGCTCGTGTACTCTCACACACCAGGCTCCGTGACCCCACCCTCACCCGACTCCACTGGCTCCCCATCCCCCAGAGGATCGAGTTCAAGACCCTCGTCCTCACCTTTAAGGCCATCCATGTCCTTGCTCCCTCCTACCTCTCTGACCTGCTGACTCCCTACCAATCTGCCCGCTCCCTCCGTTCAGTGGGTTCCGGCCTGCTCCATGTCTCCCGCCCTACCATCGATGGCTGGGCTTTCAGCCTCTCTGCCCCCACGCTCTGGAACTCCATCCCATAGTCCATCCGCCTCGCTTCCTCCCTTGCCTCCTTCAAGCCTGGTCTCAAGAGCTTTCTCTTCGACCGTGCCTTTGGTCTCCCTCCCACCTCTCTGCCTTCCCTCACTCCTACACCACCCCTCCCCCATGCTCGGGCTCCGACATCTGACTGTTCAGCGCTTTGGGACGTTCTCACAACGTAAAAGGTGCTCTATAAATGTAATGTTGTTGTTGTGTGGGGGTAGGGATGCTGAATGCTTGACCACCAATGGTGGGGCGGGAAGTGTGGGGGACCTGTGTCTGCCGAACGGAGAGAGCGGACAGGTTGACATGGGGTTAGGTGGTCGGAGAGGTGCGATGGTTTTGAAATTATCCCCTTTTCCCGAGAGGCCCAGGATTCAGTACAACTTGCTTCTTCCTCTCAGACATACTGGCATGATTATTGGTCCAGATAAGAGTAAATGAGATGGACCAGTTGAGCAGTGGGAAAATTGGAGAAGACAAAAAATATCATGGGCCACTCTGCAGCTCATTCAATGAACATCACAAGAGTTTAAAATGTCTGCATTTTACAAATTGGATGACATTTCGAAACATAAAATCGAGCAGTTAAGCGAAGTCTGTACAATTTCCAACCCTGCACAGATACTGAAACTCTGAATTAAGATACTTCAGAAATATCTGGAATTTGTTACCTATAACCATTGCTGTAGCCTCATGGTTTGAGGTGGAGATAACTGCTTGGATTGAATCATAATACTTCAGCTGAAAGGAGAACATTACAAAAACATTAAACCATGAAATGGAAAGAATAAAATTTAAAGATAAAAAAAATTCTAATATAAAAACAATCTCAAACGTTCAGTCTGAACTCAACTGATGTAATCAGATCTCAGGTTTGATGCCCCATTGACACTGTGGTTTTACGTGGAGTCAAAGCACCAACAGTGTGTTGTAGAACAATGCAAAAAACATAGTATAAATCAGATTCTTGGGGAAAGAAAGTTAACATTTTGAATAAATCTGAATCCATTAGTTCATTTTCTGTAAATAAGAGCTGGAACATCAGGAATATATTCTGCCTGCACACCCCCAGCCCCCACACCTCAACAACATTGACTGCCTCGGTCACTACCTCTACTTCCAAGACCCTAATCCATGCACTTACCACATCTAGGCTTTAAAACGTCAAACTTCTGCTTACACAACTCTTCCCTACACAAGCTGTGAATATACAGACTCTGCAGTCCGTGTTCTTTCCTGCACTAGGCTCCACGAGTCTATCATCCCAATCCTAGCCCAGCTCCACTGACTCCCCATCTCCAGTGGATGGAGCTCAAGATGCTCGTCCTCACCTTCAAATCCTCCATGTCTTGTCCCACCTTACCTGTGACCTCCTCAAACCATACCAACCCAGTCATTCCCTTCTTTCAGCAAGCATCAGCCAGCTTCACATTTCTTGCCAACCCACCTGAACAATAGTGGGTGGCTTTTAGCCACTCTCTGGAACTCCATCCCAGTGTCCCTCCAACTTGTTGCCTCCCTCACCTTTTTCAAGGACATCTCAAGACCTTCCTCTCTGATTGCGCTTTCAGCTATCTTTCCCTTCTCCACCCCCCTTGCCTCCCACCTCCAGCTTTCATGCTATGCTAGGACTTGTCTCCTGACTTGGGGAAAGAAAGTTAACATTTTGAATAAATCTGAATCCATTAGTTCACTGTCTGTAAATAATCCTGATGTGAAAGACACTATAGAAATGTCAATTTGTACTGTAAAAAATTGAATTGCCAAAAAACTCTGCAATTACTCAATCACAGATAATGGCTAGAGAAGTGAACATATGGACCAAGATTCAGAGACAGATAGCAAGACGTTTAGAATTACCTGAGTTACCCAATCTTCATGTACCTTCCAGCGAATGTAAGTCACATTTGATAACAGCGCAGCATTCTCTAAACTGATACTGGACATATCGTCCACTTTAGGGCACCTTTTCCACATCCTATTAAGATATAAAATGATTTTAAAATAGTATTCCAATGAGATGGGGCACACAAGTGAAAGTGAAATCTGAGAGTGCTATGTATTTTTGCAGAGCTGGAAGTAGGTTAGAAGGCACATCGGATGTGGTGAGAAAACATGGAACTAAAAAAATGAAGTTTCTTTGGAGTCAACTATTGGCGCAACAATACAAAGTTGCCCGATGGTTCAATGGTGAATGCAGTATTACACAGTTGAAGAAAATTCCAGGTTCATTCCCCTGTAGTCTTTCTTAGCTTCCATAAATCTCCTGATTAAGAGGTGTGGGGTGGTGGGGGGGGGGGGGGGGGGGGGGTGAACGAGAGAGGAGAGTTGAGAGAGAGAGAGAGAGAGGGGAGGAACTCTGGTCACTCCAAATCTGTACATCTAATAACTATTGTTGTACTGATAATGTTCCCTTCCTCTTGGCTAATTCTCTCCACTCCAGAAGATGCTTTAACTTGTTCTTCCTTCTCTTGCGGTACAGCTTGCACAGTAGTCGATTGCTCTATTGGCTGTTATTTGTTAGGGAGGAGGCGAGGGAATAAGTTCACAGACCCTCTGTCAACAGAAATCGAGAACGGCCCCATGCTGGCTTTCCCCTCCTTGACCCTTGGTTGGTTGCCGAAGCGAATTGAAGCCTCCCCAACAGTTGGCTCAGCTGTGATCAGCAAACTCAGCACAGACAATAAAGAGGTCTCCAGGCATATTGGCTCTGCAACTTAATGAGCAGTTGGGGGCAATTTCTTATAAGTTTGAAAACTATTTTAAATAGAGTACTCAGCATTTCTTGTTACAATAATAAATGGCTATACATTTTCAATACACATTTACTTCCATACTGCATTTCAATTGAGAAAAGAGAAACCCATGATGTACTGGTGAACATTAATGCAGCAGGTTAAATGGTGTTTAAATGCTTGGAATCATTTGACAGTTCATAAATGTAATTATGGATTAACAATTTTTTCATATTTACAATTCAACACCTTTTTTGAAAGTAATTGAAAAACATTCAACCTCTCAACACAAGCAAAAGTGTGAAACACAAAGTTGTATTTAACTTTAAGCTGATTGCAATTTATTATCTTTGGCAATTTGTGCACCAAAAACTATATCAGGGCAAAAGTCTCAGTGATGGTCGTTCCCAATTAGCTGCAGAGAGGGAATGTTTGCCTTAGGTATACTGGTAAAGATTTAATCTATTCAATCGTAAATCCTTCAAAACATATCAAAAGTTTCAGAGGAAAAGGTCCTGTATAATTATCTCCCAAGCCTACAAAAGGGAAAGTCAAGCAAAGCTCTAGAATATGTTCCTAGCCTTATGTCCTTAATCGTTCTTCTTTAATAATAATCCTAGCATTTGATATAGCCCCTTATCACAGCTTCTAGACATCTCAAAGTGCTTCACAGAATATACTGTAAAGTGAATTGACTGCATATTTTGTGGGCAAAACGCAGCAGCCAATTGGACACAGCAGTGTCCCACAAACAGTGGTGGATTGAGAGACCAATTTATTATTATTATGTTAAAGGTAGTAAAATCTAGACCCAGGAGGAATTTCACACTGTGTAAACTTTACAAGAGGGCAGAACCAAGTGTTATTTTAACAGCGCAAATCGAAACGTTAACAGATCTTTCAGTCTAAATTATAACATCACAGGTTTCAGAGGTCACCTGTGAGCATCAACGATCAAGACTACGATGTCCCAGGAATTCACTTAAAAATGCCACAGAGAGAGGGAGAGATAGGTTTTGACTTTTTATTAAATAAAAACTGGTATTTATGGTGATAAAATGACAAGGTTTGTATTCATGGGACACACGGTTACAATGTTCAAGCAATGGGGTAGGGAAACAAAGGCAAGATGTGGTTGGAAGAGGAAAACAAGCTGTGAGAGTAGAGATGTAGGGAGAAATGAATATCCTGAGCTTATGCTTAAAATTACTTTGGGGCATTTGGAAATATTTCTGCAATATTTTCTCTCAGATTGAAAAAAAAGTAAAGAATTAGGGATTATATATTGTCTTTTGGGATGTAAAGAAAAGCAATTTCAAAAAATTAATGCTACTTAAATAGAATAAATCTAGACCCAGGAGGAATTTCACACTGTATAAAACTTTACAAGAGGTCAGAAACTACAGCGCGTTTTTAATGGATTTTTAAATCTGAGACTAACCTCAAAGTTGCTGCTACAGATGACAGGAGTAAAATATTTACACAGCCCTGTAATAAGAAAGAATATAGTCTGAAAAAAACATGCATAAGTGTCCTTATTAGTAAGAATTTCTACTGTAGTAAAACTTTGATCACAGTGAGAGGGAAAACCAAACAAAGGCAATAATAATAATAATAATCCTTGCATTTGATATAGCACCTTATTTCAGGATAGTTGGCAGGAAGATAGACTAAGCAGTACAATTCAAACTTGTATACAGTCTTTCACTTTGAGAAGACGTGTAACTGCGCTCGTCATTGCCAGCTGGGCACCTGAGCTGGGGGCAGAAGCGAAGGAGGTGGGTCAAAGCACAGACAAAGAGGTACTTTCATAGTGCAGGAGCAGAACGATTGAATCCTGGCCCACCGATGGTACAGTGGATAGGGTAGGGGGGCATGAAGCAGGAGAATTTGACACAGAGATGTTACCATGCCACATATGGTGTAGTAGGTCAAGTCAATGATCTTACCTGGTCATCTCCATATAGAATCATGCAATCATCTTCACCTGTACAACTGAAGGCACAAACATTCAGATCACAACATAACTCCTCATTCTCCTTTAGGTATCTGTGACTAATGCTTTACTAGTTCAACTATTTGATCACTAGACCTGGGTCTCAGCAAGGAAAAGTGCATGAGAGAGACTTTAAATACATTTAGTCCAAAATTTCACTTGCAAGACTTTTATCCAGGTAAGAATTGCACAGAATTTTGGAAAATTCTTAAATTCTGTCTTATTTGGAAACTTTTTTTTAAGAATGATGGAAAATCAACTTACAAATTAAGATTGAATTTCCACAATTTTACAGAATCTTAACTTTTAAGACAAGAACAAACAAACAAACAAACCATCCTTATAGAGGCTAAGATGAGATTCACATGTTACAATAAAATTACAAAATAAAATATTCACAAAATCCTTAAAATTTTCAGGAAGTCCCCAAGTGAACTAGTAATTTCACAAAATCACTGAACATTTCAGGTATTTCATAAAATCCCTGGTTTCACAATCTTACTGTAACACATATAGTGCACTAAAAGCAATATCTCATGAAGGGACCTTGTTAGAACAACAAAAATTTGCATTTATTTAGCAGCCCTCTGGCAGGGTAGAATCCCAGAGCACTTACCAGTAGTCTAGTTGCAGTGGTGCAATCTCCAAACCATTGATCTGACAATATGGTGCAAAGGTAGACAGCTCATAAATCTGAATTTCTCGATCTCTATCTCCGAAAGAGGTAAAAGAAAAACACAAAAGATAAGGAGCTTCACACAATACAGAACATGAGCCACTGAAAGTAAAATAAATAGAAAATGACACGTACCCAGTGCTTAGGATGAACTTATTATACTGAGGCATCAGAGTAAAACCTGTTATCCATTTGGACTTCCTGTTACATGGCTGCTCCTGAAAAGTGAAACTCATGTTGTTAGAGATCCTAAGACTCGCAATGGATTTTGACTTTGATAAATATAAAGAAACTACAATTACACAAGCAGAGCAATGGCACGATGACAGTATGCTATCAAGTATAATTTGATTGACAACTCAAACCCATCTCAGTCTAAACAGAGGCCAAGCTTCATTATTTCCTACTCTCTGATCCTGACCCACATTGAAGTAAGGATTTAACCTTCCAATACCTTGCCCTCATAGCCTAACTTTTGTGCAACCAAATAAGCGAGTGTTAGCCTTGTATTAGACTGTGGGGCATCATCACAGCAGAGGCTGGTAATGTCCTTAAATAACATCCATTAAAACAGGGCTAATTGGATAGTAACTGGACAGATCCCAGTTATTAAATAAAGATATTTCTTCTTTAACCCAGAAATATTATTTACTCCAAGTCAGCAGGTTCTCCTGGCCAATAATCCTCTTCATTAATTAGTCATTCATCTTATGGACACTTGTCGGACCATATTCGCGCAAATAATTGATGTATTTACCAAAAAGAGTGACTTAGACGAGACAGGAGCTTGTGAAGGTGATAAAAATGCAAGTTCTCTGAAGTCATTTGCCTAAATGTCTAAATGTGACCCAACTACGAGGAATTTTTAAAATTGCCAGGGAAATTTACGGGACAAATAGCAATCCTAGATGCTTCAGTGTTCATAAAAAAACAAACTTGTGTTTTGTTTTGTGAATCATTATTTTGTGAATCATATTTGGGACACAGCTATGTCCAATTGACTGCCGCATTTCACCCACAAAATGCAGTCAATTCACTTTACAGTATATCTTGTAATGCACTTTGAGAAACTTCAACAACATAAGGAGCTATATCAAATACAACTATTATTATTACAAGTGTACATACAAAAGCTTTCTTGCTTAGCTTCAGCTCTAGCTGGGCTGACCAGAAAGAGATGGTCCCATCCTCTCTGACCACGATGAAGGAATTATCAGATGTAGGGTAGATGTATATGATCGGTTCTCCATGAAAGTTCTCACTGATGCTTGCAGGAAGCAAGAAGGCAACTTGTTTTGATTGTGTGTAGGACTCAGTGATCCGTGTGTACTCCAGTTGCATGTAGTTACAGAATTCATCCTGCCAAAGAACAAGTTTTAATACAAGGCACAGCAAGACATGAAAAAAATCAAACTAGTCTAATAATAATGATAATAATGCTTCCATTTGATTGCAGCGCCTGATCAAGTCTTCGAGACATCTAGTCATTGACTTAGAATGCATTTATTATATTGTGACACAAGAGGTCGTTGACAAAAGCCACATAATGTTCCCCACTTGCTATATTAAAATGATTCACTTAAAATGTCACCATCACTTAAGCAACCCAAGTGTGTGGCAATCTTCCTTCCAATTCCTTTCATCTGATATTTATATTTTTTTCTTGAATGTACTGCAACTGAGCATAAAGGGTGAGGCTAAACACACTCATTTTGATTTGTAAAATAAGTGCTGATGGCAAGATACCTTTTTAAATATAGAAGTGGACCCTCTCTATCTGGGATAACGCCACAAACTGCAAGATCCTATGATGGTTTTACCAAACAAAACAGTTCCCCCAGTGGCAGGTTTATGTGTTGCCAACAACACAGTCTAAACAAGACAGAGGTCATGCCATTTAGAATTGGTTAGAATTGCTCCTGCACATGTATCTCATCGTATACACTATATGGTACGTGGATATCTCAGACCTGCTGCATTCAGCTTTACCTCCAGATGCTGGACAACAAAATGAAGTAGTCCAATATTAGGATGTCTTATTAATTTTGTGTTTTTGCCTGGATCAGATTCCACGTAGAAACCTACAGGTAACCCCCTAGTATTGATGAAGATCCCAACCCCATCTTGGATCCAATCAGGCCTGGACTGTTCAGCACCTTGGGATGCCTTTCTGATATGAAAGGTACTATGGAAATTTGTGTTGTTTTGTAAATGCAAGAAATGTAGTGCCCAATGGAAGAGGCCCAAATACATTGGCGCCTCTTCCAGCTACTGAAACCACAAACTAAATGCACCATTAGACTCAATACTTTAAGAGCAGTGAATGCACAAACCAACTACTTAACACTGAGCATACCCAGGCAATCTGACCACTTGCAGAATAGTCAACTTTCCTGAAGAGTTCTCCTATTTGGTCTTCCCTCTGGAACAATAAACAGTGACATTTTAATCAATCTTTCCATTGTAACTAATCAATACTAATCTGATCTACACATATTGCACTGATAAAGGCAACACACAAAAGAACATTTGCTTACAAAAATGCAGTTAACATAAGAATTTGCAAGGCGAAAGAAGACCAATGTCCATTTAGTTCACCTTCCATCATCCTGGCAGTCGCTTGACATGTTGTGTCCCAAACTATATACTGTATCTCGAGATATTATTTTCTAGCAGAAATCTATCTAATTTGTTTTTGAAACAAATAACATTTTCTGCTTCCCTAGAGAGTTTTACGACACTTTACATTTAAAATGTCCTGTGAAGGGCTTTGAGACATCCTCCTAATGTGAAAGGCGCTATATTAGTTATCAACATGATTGAAAAGGAATTCACAAATTGGTTTGATTATAACAAAGGAAATGGCCATTGTTTCCAGTTTGTTAGGGTTTAGTTGACCTTTAAGAAATCGACCGTGGCTAATGGATTGGCGTCTTAACAAAACAATGGTTTTGAAATTATAGAAAGCTGACAGGTCAGATTTCATGATGCTCTGGAACAAACTGACAGAAACGCAACAGCAAGGCTGCCATGAAGGAAAAGTCAGTTAGTCTTTAGTTGACAGGTAATTTCAACTGTATTTTACCCTGGCTTTAGCTTTATCAAATCCCTCTCCATAATCCACTTACTTCAACTATCAGCCAGAAATTCACCTGGACCCAGTGTCACTCCTCTCAATCTGTGTGCACGGTTTTCTCATAGGTTCAATCAACAACCCCAGACTGGCCCAAAATAGACAAACCAACATTTTGTTTCTCAGTTTTCTAAATAAGAAGTGAAAATACTGGCTCACACGCAGGCACAGAGAGAATAGAAAGGATTGAGCAAAAGCAATCAGATAGAAAACTAAATACAAAAGCCACCCTCTTTAAAGCATGGTTTTCCTTGGAACAAGCATGTAGGTCTCTTTGGGTTTCTTGTCCATCTCTCCTTCTATACATCTTCTCGTTTGAGGTTCAATGCAATCAATGGGTTCACAGACTCAAGTGCACACACACCTGCAAATTCTACGCTTGTTCTTTGAATTTTAACAAACCACTCATTGTGTTTAGTTTACATTTCTGTAACCCCACAGGGTTTTCTCACACCTTGGTGTGAATGGAACATCTTAGAGCCAGCAAAACAATGGTCTTTTCAAATATCTGCCAGCCTTGGTTCCTCCACTTTCATATACAAATCCAGCAGCTAAGACGATGGTCTGAAATAACCATATACATGTTTGATACCGTGTGAGTGGGCAATGTTTGGGAGTTGGTGAGAAATTGATTTGGAACTACTGTATGTTGAAGGAAAGTTCTTGGTGTTAAAACTGTTTTCTTCCTTTCCTTCAGTTACCTCCTCAGGGAATAGGTAATGGCTGTCTCCTTGGACTTTATGTACGACAGCAAATTGATCAGAACAGCAGTGATCCTCAATTAGCTGGTAGAGTCAGAGACATGAAAGGCATCTTACAAATGTAATTTGCTGTTGTATACATGTGTCCGTGTCCATTGTCCCAAGTACAAATACTTACTATTCCATGAGATCCCACACATTTCTTCACTATCCTCGTGAATGCTCCCACATCCAGGGATTTTCTGCCGGCCTTTTCAGATTTCTAAAAAGAACAGAGGAAAGATTTTTTCTTCAAACAATCTCCCCACTTTGTCAATACAAGTCATATCTGTTTCACATTGAGTGTTAAGCGCTCTGAGATGCCGTTCAGTGTGAAGGGCACTATAGAAACGCAAGTTGTTGTTGTAAAACAATCTTCTGAAGATATATTCAAGCTTCCATAGTCTTTCACAAGCATTAACCTATATCCCAGACAACATCCTTAGCAATCTGAATTTCTTTTCACAATGCCACTAACAAAGTTTTCCACTTGCACCACACATGCCTGTGGAAGTCTTTACCAGAAAAGTATTTATCCTTGGTGAAAGAGTAATCACAGAGTTATCCATTACATGGTAAACCAGAGTTGTTGAGCATGGATTAGGCTATAGGAAATTATCCCCATGTAACCACATGTATCTATTCTTTTAAATTATTAAATTGGAGTTTGGTTCGGGTAAGTATACGGGCAGCAGAGTTTTGAATGAGCTGTATTTTTTGAATAGTGGAGCTGGGGAGACTGGCAAGGTCCCTATTAGTACATAGGAGTCCTGTAGCTCAATGGTTAGAGCACTCGCTTTGCAAGCGAGAGACCTGGGTTCGATCCCCGGCAGGCAAAACCTTAGGCAAGTTTACTACCTCCACATGCCTGATAATAATCCCTCAAGAAGAAAAAAATAAGAAATTGGTCACTTAAATCCATGACTGTTTGTGGGACACTGCTGTGCGCAATTGGCTGCTGCGTTTCGCCCACAAATATACAGTCAATTAACTTTACAGCATATTCTGTGAAGTGCTTTGAGACGTCTAGAAGACATGAAAATGACTATATCAAATGCAAGGATAATAATAATAATATTCTATTTATAATGAGAATTATATTGGAAAGTATTCATGGAACGTCCTACACTCTTCAGCCAGAAAGAACCTAAAAACTAATCTTAGTTACTCTTCTTTGTATCGTTTCCAAATAATCTAGAACCATTTAAGTAGTGACCAAAGCTGCAAAAACAGCCTTATAGTCCAAAACTGGCCTTACCAATATTCTATACTATGACAGTTTAAATCATTAAGACTGGCAATTTTTAGAGATGTTTAAATAGGTGGCAATTGTTTATTATTACTAAGTAACTTATTAAACATAGTAATAACTTGGGTTTATAGGCCTATGAGACTAAGTCAACAATTAAATGGGAGCATTTTGATCCATTTTTCCAGCTCAAAATATATATAAAGAAATGTCCTTCTTCTGTTTCAGTAAACATTTTGCCCACAAAATATACAATCAATTTGCTTTGAGACGTCTCAAAGATATGATAAGGCGGTATATCAAATGCAAGGATTATTATTATTAAACCACAGATTGATTGGTGGTTCATCTAATTATGATCAATTAGTTGTAAATCTAATTGGTCATAATTAGACAGATTAGATTTAGGATTTAACTAGTCAAATTTCAGAACTACCTATCATGAAGTAACAAAGATATTTGATCCCATAAAGTACTCTCACCTCGAATGCAGCTTGTAGCCTCTGAAGGTGTTCCAGGGAGAATTGCTTTTCAATCTGAAACCAAAACAGACAGTTATAGTCTCTGTTTCAATAGCCACTTGGAGCTTTCCATATTTTAATTACCCTATTACTATGAGTTACTGCTGAGCTTCCCTTCACTCTAATGGAAACACTACTTTTGACTATTCTGAGCACAACCTGTGGCAGGACTGTATTAAAAAATGAGCAGGAAGAGACATTGATATCCAACAATAGTGAGGACTCATTGTATCATTCAATAAATGTACAGAACAGGCATCTGGCTCGATTTCTTCTGTGGTGACCACATAATTCAAAATAAGTCTGCAGAGTGAGCCCCACTTTGTCTGTCAAGGACAGTGCACACCATATTTGTTGCTGGCTACTCTAGTACAATACTGACATTGTTTCCACGTTTCATTTTCATCACAGCTACTATAGGACACTGTGACAGTGCTGAAATTATACCAATCTTAGCTGTCACCCAGAAAATGTTACCTGTTCATTCCTTAAAGAGATCTTTGAACTTCAGGTAACAAGAAAGGCCACCACTCCAAACTCATTAACTGAATAACTGGCTCAATGAGCTAATACACCTCTTGTCCATACTATTATACTAACTGGAAATATCCTGAGATCAATCCCTGTGGAAGATTAAAGGATGTCAGCCAATAAATAAAGGTCACTCAGATTCTGATCCCAGCAACCCCTGCAAGAACATAAACATTTGTACAATGGAGGGTCTGGTTTGGCTCCAATGAAACTGGCAACAGTCAATACAAGATCACAAATGAACAATGAACAGTTGACTAAAGGTGTGGAGTCCTGTAGCTCAGTGGTTAGAGCACTCGCCTTGCAAGTGAGACACCTGGCTTCAATTCCAGGCAGGGCAAAACCTTGGGCAAGTTTCCTTACTCCACCACCTAATAATAATCCCTCCAAAACAAAACAATAATAAAAATTGGTCATTTTCAATCCACGACTGTTTGTGGGACACTGCTGTGTGCAACTGGCTGCCGCGTTTCGCCCACAAATAGACCGTCAATTCACTTTACAACATATTCTGTGAAGCGCTTTGAGAATCCTAGAAGACATGAAAAGCGCTATATCAAATGCAAGGATTATTATTATATATTATTAAAAGTCCAAGACCATTGATCGGCAACCCAAACACAAGCCAGCAGGTTTGGGGGCAGGGAAAGGAAGAGGAGACAAAATGTTACAAACAACATCTCCAGAAGATGTTCTGAGACCGTCAACTCATCACCCAATATTTAAAAAAAATCCATATCTCATAGAACTTCAAAAGGTAATTTCAGGTCAACTGCAGTGACTACTTCATAGGCAAATGCATCTTATAGCACATCTCTTCTCAATTTAGAACATGCCCATTAATGACTCCTACATGTTCTCAATCAGAAAAACATCTCCTATGGGTAAAGGTGGAGTTTATATGTCCACAATGGGGTCCATCAGATAAACTTGATTATTCACTTCATAGCTGTGGATGGGATTAAATTGTCTGCCACATTTGCCTGCAAAATATACAGTCACGAGACATTACAGTAAACCTTGTGCAGGGCTTGGAGGTTTCCTCCTGACATGAAATGCTCTATGGCAAATGTAAATATTATTATTAAATGCAGCAGCCAATTTGCCCCAACAAGATCCCACAAATAGCCATGAAATGAATAACCAATCTTTCTCGAAGGCTAAGAAACAAAGAAGACTAGAGCACTTTGCTGGTTGTCACAAACACAAGTCACAAAGAAATGAGCAAAGGGGTGAAGAATAAATAACTTTGAATTAAATGATGCGAACATAGCCACCTTTTCAGTATAGCGGCTGAATAACTAAAACACTGTCTCATGTCATACTGAGTTCACTCTTGGCATCAGAATTGATGGAATAAAATAGTTGACTGGGTTTAATAGCTATAAACAAATAAATGATCCCTGGCAACTAGACTAATAAATGGTTACTTCACTAGTTAACTCAAAAAAGGAAATGAACCGCAACACTGACACATCTACAGCATTACACATTGGTCACTATAATGTGAATCAGATGCATCATATGCTTCACGTCCCCCACCTCACCCGCCCCACCATTGGCGAGCGGGCCTTCAGCCACTCTGCCCGCGCCGCATGGAACTCCATCCCTCAGTCTCTCCACCTCGCCCCCTCTCTTGCCTCCTTTAAGACCCATCTCAAGACGTCCTCTTCGACCGTACCTTCGATCACCCTCCTTCCCCCCACCCCCCTGCCTTCCACCATCCCCAATCCTGACCCCAAGCTCAGGTCCAAAACACTGATTGTCCAGTGTCTTGGGACATCCTCTCAATGTGAAAGGCGCTATACAAATGTAATTTTGTTGTTATTTAGCAACTTTCATATCAAAAAACAGCTGAAAGCCTGCATACAGGTTGGATGGGGATCAGAGTTGGGGGAGAAAATAAAAGTAGGTGTCCAAATGTGCGGTCAAAAAGATGGGTCTTAATGGAGATTATTGATAAGAATTTACTTTATTTTGGATTGTTACTATAGTACATCAAATTTAATGCTGAACATAAGTAGAACAGAAGCAAATGAGACAGATTTGAGCGTCAAATGTCTTTTTCTCAGATTCTTAAATGTTAATACTTTGCAGATACCAAAATACCCTGAAATTACGTAAACACTTTACAAGAAGATACCGAAGACTGAAGGACTCAGAGATATTATCCTGGGTGAAGGGGGCTCTATTAATACAAGTTGAAATTGTTGTTGATAAAACCAAACCGTATCTGAGTACATAATGCTACAAATACACAGTCGCTACACTTCACAGTAAAATGCCGTGAAACACTTTGAGACCTCTCGACAACATAATAGTGTTACACTAAATGCAAGAATTATGTTTAATTTTATATTGCTGTCCATAAAATGTCTGAACATGCTACAACAACAACATGCATTTATATAGTGCCCTTCACAGAGGGTAGTGTCTCTTGCATTTCTGTTTTCACTCTATGTAAATTTTTGCGAGTTGATGGTATCTTCTTGTAAAGAGTTTACAAAATTTCAGGGTACATTGATATTTGCTTGAAAGTACAAAGGGTTGGTGTCTTAATGGACCAGTTTTTAAAAATGCTCAAATGATTGGTTCAACAATCGCATATTCATTCATTGAACAAACATGCATACAGAATGTCCTGTGATAAAATGAGTTCACAAAATAACTGTATAATCACAAACTAGAACTATTTGCTGTACGTTAGTGAGGTTGGGAGGGAATGTGCCTTTCAAGATTCATTGCTAGTCTATTTTGAAAGCAAGATTGTTGAGGTTATTCTTCAATTATGTGTAATGAATTTGACTGTAGACCGAACACACAATGTCAGATAGATAGTTCAACATTGATCTGATGGTTGATGCAGATTACAAATCCAGGAAGATGGTTATAAAAGGAATGATGTAATCTGCTGTTGCACAGAGTTCTAAAATTAATCTATCATTCACACTTGGTGGTTATGCTTTACACAACAATGAACTGAAAACAACCAGGACTGGGCTGGTATTCCATAATTCAGCTGCAACACCACCACATTCAGTATGTGATCCGTTGTGGTTAACTAGTTTAAACTTTCAGGCATCTCAGCACATCCTTTCAGGTTATCTTCCTACAGTTGTCATTTGATCTCAACACAGCATAGTCATCAATATTCTGTGTGAATTTCTCATCCATGAATTGCAAAATAGGTCAGCATTCACTGCTCATTTCACTTGCATTGTCTGCCGCTCATTCTCCCCAATTTGTCAGACTTTAATTTGGGTATTTAATATTGCTTTCCTCCAAGCATCATTTCCCAAATTAGCCAACATTCACCCCTGGATTGAATGGGCTGAGCCTCGCTAAGTTCTTTCTGTAGCTGTCCCTCAAGCCATTTTCTGAAGAACATGAAAGGAACAAGGACATGAAATTCAATGCCACCATTTCTATTCCTTTCCCTTTATCAAATACCCTTCCTCATCCTCACAACAATATTTAGTCAATATTTGACCTCCACACTATTTAGCTCCAGGAAATAAAGCAAAAAGTCTGTAGTGTTGTCTACATTGGGACGTCCTCCCGACGTGAAAGGTGCTATACAAATGTAATCTTATTGTTGTATCTTGTTGTACATAATCCACAACTAAATTAATGTTACATTATTTAGGTAATGTTTCCTAGCAAACAATCTCCCAAATAAATTGCCTGTTTTGTGAGACATTGCTGTTCAACAAAACAACTACAGAATTTGGTATTCATTTTAATTTAGCAAATCTAAATATTTCTCTATGTTTTGTTACTTTCAAAATATTTTGTTTACTGAGGAATGCATGGAATTTTGACACCTATATTTCCAGACCATCCATTTGATAATCATTTTTGATCTCATCCTCATCTGTTTCCAATTGAGGTGGATTATATGTGAAAAGCACTGCATAAATGCAAGTTGCTACTCCATTCAGGCTGCACCTGGTATATTGCTGGTTACCACAACATAGTGGCTCACCTAGTCCCCTAGGGGCAATGCACAGAATACAAGCACCGAGGCTGATCTTCAGTTTTAGTTGAATGACCTACTGTATGAGGAATAGCTGGACAAGCTAGGGCTTGAATTCAATCCTTTAAAAGCAATATCTCAGAGGAGACCTTAGAGGTATGCACGGTGCTTAATGGGATAGAAAAAGTACACCCAGAACAATACTTTCCTATAACCCGAATTAAGCTTGGATCAAATCCCCCAAATGATAATATTTAAAAGCTGCGTGCCAGTCCATGAATCCTTGACGATTAAATGATCTGTTAAAATGGTCCCAAATAGTTGAGAATGGCTAATTATTAATAGCTGTGCGTCTGCTGATTTAAGCGGAGCCGATTGATCATTAAACCATGAAAATTAATTTAAAATAAGCCATGGTAATAGATACGGTGCATAAGCATTTTAAAAAAATGCTTTAAAAAAGGATGAGACTTTGGCAATCCTTCACAATTGGAATTAAAGGCTTTGCGTTTTGGGATCAGAAAATCACAATAAAAAAGATTTTCTCTCTGCTGGAGGGCTACTTTTATGAAACAGGTTAGGAACAAGTTATTTATTACATTGTTAATACACGTACATTTAGAAAGTTACATATACATTTGAGACGTTCCACTCTGCTCCCACCCTCTGGAACTCCAACCCGTAGTCCCTCCACTTCACTCCCTCCCTTGCCTCCTTAAAGACCCATCTCAAGACCCTCCTCTTCGACTGTGCTTCCCCCTGCCCTCCACCCTCCCCAATCCTGCCCCCCAGCTTGGGTCCGAAACACTGACTGTCCAACGCCTTGGGACATCCTCCTGATGTGAAAGGCGCTATACAAATGTAATGTTGTTGTTTCGAAGACGCAATACAGAGCTATATCAAAATGCAAGGAATATTATGAAGTACTTCCAATAAGATAAGGTCGCTACCATTACAACATTCTCTATACACTTAACTACAGTTTCATTCTTCTTGAGTCTCCAAACTTTAGTTAAGAGATTGGGGAGAGGCAGGCGTTGGGGGGAGAAGGTCTGATCTCCTTACCTGCATGCTCTTGAGAGTTCTGCTTGAATGATGTTAACCACACTTGTGCTTTGAAGCTTCTAATTCACCTGGCTGCCTGCAGACCAACTAGTCTAGCCTCTCACTACACTCATAAATTATACATACACTCACAACCAGCATGAGCCTTGCAATGACAACCCCCCACACTTGGAAACACACCTCACCTCTGCAAGCATTAACATAAGTGCTTTAAGTGTGTGAATATAGCCACAAAGAAACAGATAGATCATTAATAGTACTCAATAAAATATCACTACATCAGCTTGGTACAGGAATATACTGTACTTTGCTTTTGTGATCTTGAGTTGTACGTGTTTCCCTTGCTTTGCTGAAGACAGCAGCTCATGCAGCATTCCTCTACTTCACTCTAAGTACCTATTCCCCATATGGGAACTCAGGCAAGCTATTCAGTCTTGAAGGGATCATTACCATCAGATCCAGTTCTGCCTTTGAACAACCAGTCCTATACAGTTTCCATCTCGATCATTGGATAGCAAATCAAGAATGAGTACCTGTCGGACATCAAGTCCTGGATGAGGGTAAATTTCCTACAGTTGAACATAAACAAGACTGAGGCGCCACTGATTGGCTCACGGCAGCCCCTCAGCACCTTCAGGCTCTGGCAACACTACAACTCACCAAGCCAGTCAGGAACCTAGGTGTCTTGTTCGACCCTCAACTGTCTTTTCTCCCCCACATTCAAGCCATGGCCCGCTCTGCCTTCCTTCACCTCCGTAACATCGCCCGACTCTGCCTCACTCCTCAGGCCACTGAAACTCTTGTTCATGCCTTCATCACCTCCAGGCTCGACTATGCAAACGCCCTGCTTGTCGGCCTTCCCAACTCCTCCCTCCACAGGCTGCAGATAATCCAGAACTCTGCAGCCCGTGTCCTCTCCCGCACCAAACTCCGTGACCCCATCTCCCCCACTCTCACCTGACTCCATTGGCTCTCTATCTTTCAGAGGATCCAGTTCAAGATCCTGGTCCTCACATACAAAGCCCTCCATGGCCTCGCCTCACCCTACCTCTGCGACCTCCTAACCCTAACCCCTACCAACCCACCGGTTCCCTCCACTAAGCCAGCTCTGGCCTGCTCCACGTCCCCCGACCCAAACGCCCCACCATTGGCGGGAGAGCCTTCAGCAACCTCTGGAATTCCATCCCTCAGTCACTCTGCCTTGCCCCCTCCTTAGCCTCCTTCAAGTCCCGCCTCAAGACCCTCCTCTTCAACCATGCCATCGGCCACCTCCCTTCCCCTCCCCTCCCTTCTCCCCCCCTGACCCCAGCTCGAGTCTGAAATGCTGTACACTGTCCAGCGCCTTGGGACGTCCTCCCAACGTGAAAGGCACTATACAAATGTAATCTTGTTGTTGTGGTTGTTGTTGTTGTGGTTGTGGTAGGATGAATTCTTGCTCTGCCCAGCACAGGGAACACATGTCATTATCATGCTGGGAGGATGTCTCAAAGTGCTTCACACGATTTACTGTCAATTGGACTGACTGTGTACTTGTAGACACATGCAGCAGCACAATTGCTCGCGCCAATGTTCCAAAAATAATATACGGAGAGAATGACCAATTTTATTTGGGGGATTGTTGGGAGATATTCCCTTTTGAATTGAGCCATGAGATCTTTAGCATCCACCTGAACAGGTGGACAGACCTCAGTTTAACGTCTCATCCGAAGGACGGCACCTACGACAATTCAACCCCCCCCACCCCAGCACTGCATTTGAATGTCAACAGACTATGTGAATTCAAGACCTAACGTGATATTTGAGCCCATAATCTTCTGACAAAGGCAAGAGTGTTTCCACTGAGCCAAGTTGTCATGACACAGTCACTACACAGTAAAAGCCTGTTGAGAGTTTTGAGATGTCTTGACAATGCGATAACGTAATATACCAAAAAGCAAGAATTTTTATATACTTTTCCTGCCAAATTTAGACGTGCATCACTTGAAATGGTTATTGGCAAATTTAGCTCCTGGGTTTTACTAAGAACCTCATGTACATCGCTTACACTAGAGAGGAGGGGTGTGGTATCACAAGCACCAAGCTGAGGGGTGTCCTGTGCTCATTTATAGAGTTCCACTGTTTACAAATAGAAGACAAGTGGTGAACTCAACTAGAAACCTGATAGAGTGAGGAGTGTTAAAATTTACCATTTGTCTTCCCGCAGCATGTCTACCTTCCGACCAGAATTGATTGTGGAACTAAAACAATCTTTTACAAATACTGTGAATTGACAAAAATGCAACCTATCCTGTCGAAGTTCTAGCAATAGTCAAAAGCTTTATTTTACGCTTCTGCAGTAATCAGGACATCCTTATCAGGACACATTTGCAATACAATTTACACTTGCATGATTAAACATTAATGTCAAACACAGCAGCTCAATTCCTTTGTACTGGCCAGGTCTTTGACAATCTCTCTATTTACATAGCATGGCTCCTTGATCACAGTAACATTACCTACGCCTGCCTGCCATGGGAGAGCTCCTGTTAGAATGATAAAACAATGAAACTTGACACAATCACTATTTTATATTGAACACTGTTTACACTTATTGGGAGATTGGTATTTTGTCCCTACTATATTCTTCACCTTTATCCACATAAATTAAGGGCTTCAGTTGATAAATTATCATGTTAAAAGTGAATAACAGAGATGTTGAAGCATTAGGAATAACCTGCAGCAATAACCCTAAATTACTAAGCTAGTAAAAAAATACAAAAGTACTTCTGCCGTTTAACCAACTAAAATCCACACAGCACGATCTGGCAAGTTTCCAACTACTTGTCCATCTAGGACCATCCTAAACATTAGGGCTTTGGCTTACAGCGTTATTGAGTGACAAGATTCCCTGTCCCCAGGGATTGATCTGCTCCTCCCAAGTCTTGCTGGTTGATCCACAAACACTCGCAGTCTGGCCTCACTTTCTGGCTTAGTCCCACTCCCTAATACCTTAACACAGTCAGATCCCATTATGCCACCCTTTTGCAGTTTCCAGAAGCAAGGAATGCTTCTGGCACTGGCTGGCGAGCTTCTCGAGTATGGCATTACAGACACAGAAGGCCTCCCAGTATCAGTGACATCCTATGATTGTACTATGGCCATTGCTCCTCTGAATTTTAATAATAATAATCCTTGCATTTGATATTGCGCCTTATCACATCTTCGGGATGTCTCAAAGTGCTTCACAGAATATACTGTAAAGTGAATTGACTGTATATTCTGTGGGCAAAATCTTCCTCTCAAGCTCCAACTATCTATCCTACACATCTTCCTTCTTGCATCCACCTTGTGGATTAGATCATTGGTACGAACAATTCACTGAATCACTCAGCACCTACACTATTCAGAACAGAACACTGGATAGCGATGGAGCAAAAACTCTTATGTCAGTTTAGCTCAGGGTTCAAAGATAATCCTGATCTGTAGCATTCAGTGTTAAAACACAGCAAGCATTTATAATAATAAATCTATTTGTGGAGCCATCCACCCGGCCATCTAGATTCAATCTCCCAGAATCCAGTAACTTTGTTTCTTACTGGGATAATAATAAACACCAACAAGTTCATTAGTAGTCAAAATTTCCAACGATATAACCCATGTCATTCCTGCAGCACACATTACTGAAGAAAATGCACGGTTTACTTTCAGTTGAACGATGTTTCCTGTATTCCACTACCGTCAGAGAATTTAAAGAGCCGCATCAAGACTTAGTTTGTTGACCGTATCCCCTTCCCTTGGCTGCCCAGCCATCTGTGTTTAAACGCTTTTCCTCCCAATATGAAAGGCACTATGTAAATGTAAATTGGATTGTAGCTGAGTTGTATTTCTCCTGATCACATATTTTGGCTACCTTTTCTCTTGGCGGAATCTGTCCAGTTGCTCCAAGCCTCTGAGTATCCACATTTATTGCCAAATTCTGGGTAGGTCCGATTGTGTTCCTCCTGCATTTCAATTTGAATATATCCCTCTCCAGCAATTCTTCCCACTCTGGCCATTCGTCTGGTTTTGCTTGTGAATGAATGCCACTAGATGTAGATCCACAACTGGTTCCTGATATGGCAGTTCTTGCACCCGCTCGAGGAGACATGGTAGTACGGTTAGTCCTGTCTGTGCCAGAACTGCCATAGCGGTAAAGGCTGGGAAAACAATACAAACACGTCAGTGCCGCGAGCAGGAAAACAACTTTCACTAGCCAAGGATTCAAATGTCCAAGTCCCAAAAATCTAGATGTAAAGAACTTGCCTTGATTGTTGAGCTATATATCACCCAAAATTCAGTTTGCCTTGTTTCCTGCTACCTCACTCGGATGGCACAAGTCAACTAAATCCCCTCCAAGGAGTTTCTCCTTCTCCTTTATCTGTAAAAGTTACAATCCTTGTATTTGATATATATTGTCTATCACACCATTAAAACGCCTCAAAGCAGCTCGCAGGATTTTACTGTGAAGGATAGTGACTGCATTTGTAGGCAAACGCAGCAGCCAATTTGCACAAAGCAATGTCTCACAAACAGCCATGAAGTGAATGATTGATTTTATCTGGAAGATTGTTGGCCAAGGCCCTGGGGAAGCTCTTTTCTTTGAATAGTACCAATGGATGCCATGGAACAAGCAGATGGGACTTTGGTTCAATGTCTCAACTGAAGGACGGCACCACCAACAACGCAGTGCTCCCCAACACTACAATGGACTATCAGTCTGGATTCAAAGTCCCGATGTGGGCTTGAACTGACTCTGAGGTGAGAGATCAACCCCATCCATGGAGTACACATGCCTCAATTTTCACTCCTATATGCAGCATCTAGAATTCATCTCATATTAAATTTAATTTGACATTCATCAAATGAATTAATAAAAAAAAACATGAATTGAGGATTACAACCAGAGGGGAAAAAGGCTTCATTTTCCTTTTTTATATAAAAAATACAAGAGTTTAAAACGTTTCACTCCAAATGGCTGTTTATTCCCCATGATAGCATTTAAAAGGGAATTGCATGAATAATTGAACAATGAAAGGCTTGAGAAAAGCAGAGGACAATGGGAATTGAATATTTATCCCGAGTGGGGAAAAGCAAGTATCAGCATAAGCACAATGGGCTAAATGATGTTCTCTGTATTGTAAATGATTGATTTATATACACCACAGGAGAAAGAATTTGCTCTGCTTGTGTGAATTGTGAGGAAAACATAGGGTACGTGACTCTCTAAGAATCAACACTACCATTTTGCTTAAATAGCACAAGCACAAACTCACTTGTGTGGTGCATTCGATTTTCCTGTGTGCGCACATTCACATCTGTACTATTTCCAATGCATTTTTTGCAAATAGAATTGTAGACTGTTTACGGCTCAGAATGAGGCCATCTCAGCTCTTCTGTAAAACAAGTGTACACCAGCACTTTTCCAAGTTTTATCATTAAATAATTCAAGCTGTGTGAATGTTTTCTTTTGAAGTTAAATAGGATACGAAAATAAAATGCAAAATCCTGCAGATGCTGGAAATCTGAAACAAAAACACTCAGTTGAGAATACTCAGCAGGTCAGGCAGCATCAATGAAGAAAGGAAAGGGAGAACTTCTTCATGATAGGCATTCCTAGAAGAGAAGTGGCAGTGAATTAAATATAAACAAAACACAAAACAACAACAACAACATTATATTTATATAGCGCCTTTCACGTTGGGAGAACGTCCCAAGGCACTGGACAAACAGAGTTACGGACCCGAGCTGAAGGTCGGGGTGGTGGGGGGGGGGGGGTGGGAGAGCAGGGGGTGGGGGAAGCAGGGAAATCGAAAGCACGGTCAAAGACGAGGGTCTTGAGGTGGATCTTGAAGATGGCGAGGAAGGGAGCGAGACAGAGTGACTGCAGGATGGAGTCCCAGAGGTGGGGGCAGAGTGACGGAAGCCCCCCACCCCTGCCGAAAATGGGGCGAGCAAGGCGGGGGACGTGAAGCAGGCCAGAGCCCGCTGAGCGGAGGGAGCGAACAGGATGGTAGCGGGTTAGGAGGTCAGAGATGTAGGGGGAAGCAAGACCATGGAGGGCTTTGAATACTGCAGATGGTGGAAATCTGAAACAAAAACAAAAGTCATGGGGAACACTTTCCTTTCTCCATAGATACTGCCTGATCTGTTGAGTGTTCCCAGGATATCAAAATACTTCCTTCCCTAATATATGAGACACAAGATTTTTTAAAAAACTGGGCAGAACCTAACAGTGCCCCCATCGCTGGTTAAGTGAAATCACTGCATGGAAATGACTAGCAGCAGAGAGGAAACAGTGGAAGTTGATGTCTGGTGTCCTGACAACAGCATGTACATACACAACACTGGACACAGAGAAGTTGCTGGCTCATTTACCAATTCTCAAATTGACTAAATCAATATTTTTAATTAAAAAAACAAGACGACCATCTAGCAGCTGGAATCTTCTTACACTCTTATGTGCTAAAAGCACTGATTTTTTTAAAAAAACTGAACACGTAACAGTGCAAGAAGATTCCTTTGTTTAATGATTTAGTACCTGCTCACGCTGCACGCTTCTAACCTCGCTGCGGCTGAGCTTGGACGCACTTTCCTCCCCAGTTGCATGGTCTTTGATCTCTCAGCTCAGCTCCTCGCCTAGTCAACCTACTGCTGGCTCTGTGTGGTCAAGGGGTCAAACTACTTACACCCACAGTTACCAGTGCTGCCTGTCTCATCGCTCCCTTGCAACGGTGTGACTAACGTGCAACCTGACACTATTCTTCCTTGCTAAGTAAGCCCTTCTTAAAGCAACAATTATTTCAATTCCAGAGAAAACTAGTGAAATAAAGGACCTATTTTCAAAAGGCTGATTATTATTAACTGTTTCAAAACTGCAGTCTTTACTTTACCGCAGCATACTTTATCCCCAGTATCCCAGTTTATATGATTTGTCTGTACTGGACATTAAACAGAAATGTAGCTAAGATATATTTTACTATCAAAGCTACTTGATACCGAAATATATATTATATATTAATTATAACAAATCTTGCATTCGATATAGCCCCTTATTACATCTTTGAGTCATTGCAAAGCCTTCACAGAATATACTGTAATGTGAATTAACTGTATATTTTGTGGGGGAAACCATATACAGTATGTCTTTATATATTAATATTAATGTGTAATGCTACATTTTAATTGTAACGTCCTTTTGGGAGGAAAATATTTTAAATCACATGCTAGGATAATCAATACTGTTCATTTTAATTTTTTTTCTTTAAAAATTCTGCAAGTCTTGAACATAACTCATGATAAAAAAAGTTTGCATTTGATATAGCCCCTATACTGTAAAATGAATTGACTGTATATTTTGTGGACGAAACATTAATAATCCTTCAGGAGTGGCTGATGAGTTGTGATGCCAATTGGATTTGTTTGAGAGCAGCAGTGGGTCACAGTGGACTTGCAATCAAACAGTGGGGCAGGTAGTTAGGAATGAGTTGAAGTTTTACTACAATGTGGTCAGATTACGATCGGTTGTTTTTCCAGGTTGGCAAAGTGAAGCAAATGCTCCTTGTACACATTGTACTTCTTATACAATTCACCAGCGTTCAATGGCAAACTTAACCGGATGATATCACAATTACTCAATATCCTTAAAGGGTTGATATCATATTTACTCCTGCCGTGTGAATTTGATTGAAAAAGTGATGAGAGCACTCCATAGTGTATACCTATGTTCCAATCTACAGCCTAAATTTCATAGAAGAGGCCCTATTTATGCTGTTTATATTGCATGTCTGGCAATGAATCCAGTTCATTTTGGCAGCTCTTCAAAAGCAAATGAGCAGAAAGTATTGTGTCTGAGCCCCACTAATTCTGCCAGGAGAGGGAAAGAGGCCAGGGTTGAATAGTGGAGATGTGGGGAATGAATATTCTGCAGGTTTTGCATTCTTGCGTGGAAGATAGAGTGGGGAGAAATCTATGGGGTAGTAAAGGGAGCAGCTTGAGAGAACCCAGGGCACTTTCTCGTTTCATGCTAAATTGTGAATGCATTTGGAAACCGTAGATAAGTGGAATTACCATTAGTTTGGTTTGGAGACTCCTTAAGCATGGGGAATGGGTTTCCAAATGTTTTGGATACCAAAAAAATCCAAAGAAATTCAAGGTAACAACCCTATGTGAATTATCGTAGAAAATATTATTAAATAATTTAGCATTCCCAGTGGTGGCAGTCCATTATCCCCAGTCCAATTAGTGCCTAATATCAGGCAAACTGCAGTGGAGAATAAGCAACACAAACACGGAAATTTTATGTAAGATTTTAAATGGGATTGAGAACGTCATCCCAGAACAATACTTTTAGATGCGCAATGACAGCAGAACAAGGGTCTAGAGTTGCAAAGGACAAATATTTGTTCACCCAGAGGGCAATTAATAACTGGAACAGGTTAGTTCCCAGGAAGGCTGGTTGAGACCAGGATACTGGACATTTAATAAACAACTTCATGCAGCAATGGGATGACAGCAGTGGGTATTCTGGATCCAAGAGAAGATCTCTTGTGATCTTTTGTGAAGAGTTGAAATGGCCTCATTCTGAACTATAAACATTCTACAATTCTATTTGGATAAGTGAATTGTAAATAGTAGATATGGATGGGCACACACAGGAAAATCAAATGCATCACACGAGGGTGAGCTGTGCTTATGCTGCTTTTGATGAAAACCGCTGTCATCACACCCCTCCTCAAAAAACCCACCCTTGATCCCTCTAATCTCTCACACAACTGTCCCATCTCCAACCTACCCTTCCTTGCCAAAGTCCTGGAATGCATTGTTGCAGGTCAACTTCAGTCACAACTCTCCCTCCACTCCCTCCTCAAGCCCCTGAGGTCTGCTTTCCGCCCTGCCCACAGCACAGAGACAACAACAACAACAACAACAAGATTCCATTTATAAAGCGCCTTTCACGTCAGGAGGACGTCCCAAGGCGCTGCACAGTTGGGTCATGACCCGAGCAGGGGGGAAATGGTCAGGGTGAGGGGAGGGAAGGGAGGGAGCGAGGAAATGGTCAGGTTGAGGGGAGGGAAGGGAGGGAGCGAGGAGGGGGAAGAGAGTCGAGAGGGGAGCTGAAGGCACGGTCAAAGAGAAAGGTTTTGAGACCGGCCTTGAAGGAGGAAAGGGAGGAAGCGGCGAAGGCACTGGGGGATGGAGTTCCAGAGCCTGGGGGCTGAGAGGCTGAAGGCCCGACCACCGATGGTAGGGCGTTTGGGGCGGGGGACGTGGAGCAGACCGGAGCCAGAGGAACGGAGGGTACGGGCAGGTAGGTAGGGGGATAGTAGGTTGGAGAGGTAGGAGGGAGCAAGGCCGTGAATGGCCTTGTAGGTGAGGATGAGGATCTTGAAATCAATCCTCTGGGGGATGGGGAGCCAGTGGAGGCGAGCGAGGGTGGGAGTGATGTGGTCCCGAAGCCTGGTGCGGGACAGTACACGAGCTGCAGAGTTCTGAATGACCTGCAGTGTGGAGGGAGGTGGCGGGAAGGCCGGCGAGGAGAGAGTTCCCATAGTCCAGCCTTGAGGTGACAAAGGCGTGAACCAGGGTTTCAGCAGCGTGAGGGGTGAGGTAATGCCGTAGTCTGGCGATGTTCCGGAGGTGATGGAAGGCGGTGCCAGTTGTGGTGCGGATGTGAGGGAGAAAGGACAGCTCAGGGTCGAACAAAACGCTGAGGTTCCTGACTGGCTTTGAGAGGTGGAGAGTGCAGCCTTGGATGCTGATGGTGTCAGCGCCTGAGGTGCGGAGGCGCTGACGTGAGCCAATCAGGAGGGCCTCGGTTTTTCGCACGTTGAGCTGAAGAAAGTTGTCTCTCGTCCAGGACTCGATGTCGGACAGGCAGGCTTGTCAAAGCCACAAACGACATTATCTCAATCTGTGACCAGGGCTCCCTCTGCCTCCTCGTCCTCCTGGATCTCTCTGCTGCGTTCAACATAGTCAACCATGCCATCCTCCTCCATCAGCTCCCCTCCCTCATTAACCTTAGTGGGACTGCACTCGCACGGTTCTAGTTCTACTTAACCAACCGCCTCCACTTCATCTCGGCAAATGGCTTCTCCTCTCACCCTGCCCGCTCACCTGTGGGGTACCCCTGGGCTCCATACTTGTCCCTCTTCTTTTCCTTATGCTCCCTCTGGGCGATGTCATCTGCAGACACGGGGTAAACTTCCACATGTATGCGGATGACACACAAATCTACTTTGCCTCCTCCAGTACCAACTCCAGGTTCGCCGATATTCTATCAGCTTGTCTGGCAGACATCAAGGCCTGGATGAATGTAAACTTCCTGCAGCTGAATATGGACAAGACGGGAGCCATACTCCTTGGCTCCCGTTAATGTCTTTACTCCTGTGGATCTAAACTCTTCAACCTCCCTGGGCTCTCCCTCACACTCACCGAACCAGTGCGCAATCTAGGCATCTGGTTCGACTCCCAACTGTCCTTCCTCCCCCACATCCAGTCCCTGATCAGAACCACTTTCTTCCACCTCTGCCACATTGCCCGCCTCTGACCGTACCTTACCCCAAATGCAATCAAAACCCTCGTGCATGCATTTATCACCTCCCGCTTGGATTACTCCAAGGCACTCCTCGCTGGCCTCCCCAGCTCCACCATTCACGAGATCCAGTTCAATCAAAAGTCTGCTGCCTGCAAACTGACTCGGACCAAACGCCATACCCTCATCTCACCAGTTCTAGCCAGGCTCCACTGGCTCCCCATCACTGAACAGATCGACTTTGAGATCTTCACACTCGTGTTCAACTCCCTACCTGGCATTTCCCTACCTCTCCAACCTCCTTGCTCCCCAATCGCCACCGGGTGCCTCCAGTTGACTGGCACCAGCCTCCTGCTTATCCCTCGCACCCTCCACCCCACCATCAGAGGTCGTGCTTTCAGCCACTACGCCCCAAAATTCTGGAACACTTCGTCAATTCCTCCGCCTTGCCCCCTCTCTCCCCTCTTCAAGTCCCACCTGAAGACTTTCCTGATCGACCATGCTTACAGCCACCTCCCCCTCCCCCCGGATCGGAGTCAGACTCCACCACTGTTAAGCGCTCTGAGACTCTACCCTGCGTCAAGTGGGCTATATAAGTATAAGTTGTTGTTGTTGACATCTTGTGTAACATAAACAGTCCAAATTGACATAAAATTATTTTTTATTTATCATGTATATAATCTATGTAATAAAATTAGACAACTCAGGCAAATCTTTGTGTTGCAAAAACACAACTCTCAATTGATCGTCACAGCCTGCTTCTATTTTTACTTTGTTGTCACACTCACACTCACACAAACACACACATTTTCTTTTCCCAATAAATGACATTACAGCTCTTTGTGTGACCACTTGGTGACGTTTTTGTTGTTTTAGCTCTATCACTCCTAGTGGATCATCTTTTTCCAGTGTCCCTCTAGTTTGTTTTGGATCGGTTGGATAATCGCTCTCTGTCGGTTGTATTGGCTGGAAGGACGTTTGGTTGAGTTCTCTGGTTGTTATTTTTGCAATGTCCCAAGTTCATGGCTTTAAGAAACGGCAGCAACACGTTTTGATCTATGAATAAAATATTTAGTTTTTTTAAAAAAGTCTTGAGATTTATTTGGTTAAATTGTAATGGAGACAACTATTTGCACTTTCATTAGCGTATTTACTGTAGGAAAATCTCTTTAAGTGCTTTACAGGGAGAGTGTGAATCACAGAGTAAGCGGGTAAGGAAGAAAGTAACTGTAAGCACAATTATAGATACAAGACAGGATTTTAGAAGCTTTGAAAACAGTAATAGAAGGTGCTAAGCAGAGATTTGGAGTGAGTTCTATAAAATGGGGTCATAACTGAAAGTACAGCAGCCGATGGTGGAGCAGAGGAACCTATGGATGTGCTTCAAGCCTAAATTTGTAGAATAACGGAAGTGAGATAAAAATGGGGTGAAGGGATTTAAAGTTCTTGAAGTTGATTACTGGGGAGCAGCCAGTAGAGCCTGGCAAAACTGGGGGCGATGAAGACTAGTCTGATGCTGCCAAAAGAAATGTAGCTACAATATAATAATCCTTACATTTGATGTAGCCACTTTTCATGTTGTTGGGACATCTCAAAGTGTTCCCAGTGACTTCTGTTTTTGTTATTATTGGGTTTTTTTGAAGGATTATTAGCAGGCGTGTGGAGTAAGGAAACTTGCCCAAGGTTTCGCCCTATCGGGAATTGAACCCAGATCTCTCGTTTGGAAGGCGAGTGCTCTAACCACTGAGCTGCAGGACTTTTGAATGGGAGAGCTTTAAAGGCAGATGGGACCTCAGTTAAATGTTATCAATAGTGCCCAGGAATACAGTGTAATCCCGCCTGGCCCAGGAACTAGACTCCTGTCCAACACCACAGAGGGTTGACTTGATTCCAACATTCGATTGCCAAACATGTCATTTTGAGAAAGTTCAGCTCCAAGAAGATCCCGTTTACCTTCGCTTTTTTCCCCCAAGGAAGATGGTTCACAGAAGAATCTGTGTATTTTATTTCTTTGGTTGCACATACAGTAAGTAAATTTCAGTCATTTAATCTATTATTATCATATTATTTAATGGGATAGACTCAATATGGAGTCCTGCAGTTTAGTGGATGGAGCACTCGCCTCGCGAGCGAGAGAACCTGGGTTCGATTCCCGGCAGGGTGAAACGTTGAGCGAGTTTCCTTACTCCACACACCTCTGCTTACCTATCAGTAAGTCAGAACCCAGGTGTTAGTCGATTGGGGGATTGCTTTTTCAGCCGGTAATAATCCCTTCAAAAATAATAATAATAATTTGGTCACTCAATCTATGACTGTTTGTGGGACACTGCTGTGCGCAATTGGCTGCCGTGTTTCGCCCACAAAATATAATAATAATAATTCTTGCATTTGATATAGCGCTTTTCACGTCGGGAGGACGTCCCAAAGCGCTTCACAGAACACACTGTAAAGTGAATTGACATTCACATTCACTTTACAGTATATTGTGTGAAGCGCTTTGAGACATCTCAAAGACGTGATAAGTCGCTATATCAAATGCAAGGATTATTATTATAATATTCTGCAATTATACAATAGAATTATTTATATGAGAATCAGACAAACACCTGACAAGTTAAAATATTAAGGGATATGGGGAAAGAGCTGCAAGAGTGGGTTAATGAAGAAAGTGGCTTAAAGAACATCACAGATAATGGTGGTGTGCGGACACCATGGTCCAAATGGCCTGGTTGGGTGCTGAAAATTCCTATACTGTATTTCTATCATGATCTCAATGTGCAGTGGAGCCATACCTTTCTCAGGAAGAGTGTTCAGGTAGTTATCTATTTCTCTAGGTTTCAGGGATTTTATAATTGCAGAAAGATCCACGTGATCCTTCCCAAACTCGGTGCTGTATGTAGTCAGAAGCTTGCTGTTCTTCTGATTATCGATGTGTTTTGGGGTCACAGTGGGCACTATACAAATGCAAAATCCATTTTTGAATAGATGTCAATAATAGAATGTTGCTTTACACATACTTAGACGCAGCCAAACCTGAGCTTGGCTTCACTTGACACCCACACATATGGATCTCCAGCAAGGTTTCTTTTTAGTATGGAAATCAAGCCTGGCTGAAACATATTGCACTGAAACCAATTATAGAGCTCCCAACTGCCGCTCGAGATAAAATCCACCAGGTCAGCAGAGGTTGAGAATCAAACCTGGAACCATCTTGTTCTGTGTGGCCAGATAAATTAATTGGAGGAGTGGCCATGATATTCGCTGCTAAACAGCTATTCTGCCTGGATAAAAGAGGGTCTCAGACACCCAACAGTCTCTGTAATTGGAGAAGATGCCGTGAATTTTCTCCATATAGGAGCTCACAGTCTGTGGGTTCAGGTCTGCCAGCAACAACATACATTTTGTGGTTTTACACAGCTTCAGTAGCTTATGTTTTCTCTCCCAGATTGAATTTAATATAAGGGCAATTCAGCATCCAAATATTCACACATGCTCAGAATTCACATTAAATTGTATTAACATAGCATTGATAAATAACCTATATTTATATATTTTAATTGCAGTTTATTTATTATTTTCATTCACCTCTTTTGTAACTTCCCACTATTTATTGATCCTCCTGTAACCAATGGATCCTGCAATTCAAATCTTATAGAATGGCGGAACAGGCTTGAAGGGCTGAATGGCCTACTCCTGTTTCTATGTTTCTAATAGAGCCTAGCACAGGAGATCCTCTAAAATGAGGAATGGGATAAACAAATTAACAAGTAAAGTGGATGGCATACCTAATTTTGATCAGTACTAATCACTAGCATTATTAAGCATAAGATTTAGCTTTGGGTGTGGATGCTGCATCAGTAAAAACAATACAGGGTTTGCCTCTGTCCAGACTCAGTTATAGAGAAAACAAACCTCATGACTGTGACCCTGATGGTTGATTAAATACAGTGACACTTGTTAATGGAGGGATTGGACTATCTCACCTATTCCTTGAGCAGGGATGTCCCATCTTTTATTACTGGAGTATCGAGAGGAGCACACTGTGTGGTCAGAGCTTTCCTTTGGTTTACGCCGACATTCAGGATCTATAAGTGGAGGGCATGGATTTTCTAATTTAATGTTTGAGGGACGAGGCATTGCATATTTCATCTGGAAACCTAGAAAGAAGCAGGAGAAATTGAAATACCTGTAGTAAAATACCTCTGTAATGCACTGTAATGCCATTTCTCCATTATTTCTGTGGATAAATGTAACATTTTCTAGAACTAAAATTGTATAATTTTTTCCTGGTCTTCCTTTCTTTTTGACCAAAAGTCACATGATCACAAGAGAAGTTCATCCCTTTCTATCTGTCTTTAAATTCCTCTTCAGCAATAACTTAAACACTCAATGAGAATGAAAGGAAAGTGTGCTGCATGTAGTGTACTGGGCAGTGTTAGCTAATGCTGCCCTCTCATGGACATTCCAGATCCAGATTGTAGCTCCACTTCCCACACCTGTTTTATTTGAAGCTTGCCTGGTTTTCCAAAGTCCTTTCTAAGATTTGGAATCCTTGGATTTGCTATAGCGCCTTATCATGTCTTCGAGACGTCTCAAAGCGCTTCACAGAACATACTGTAAAGTGAATTGATTGTATATGTTGTGGGCGAAACACAGCAGCCAATTTACTCCAGATAACTAGCTTTCACATTAAGACTGAATTTAAGAATGATATAAAATACTCAACTATCACAAGTTTTAAAACAATGGTCTTAAAGCTGAGACCGGATGCATTGCCTCAAGACAGGGCTCAAGAGATAATAAGATACTAACACAAAAGTACAATGAGATATTAAAATCAACAAGCATGATGGGTTTAGCACATTTAAGCAACAATAAAATAAACAGTGGGCGTAAAATGTGTGGTATTCCTTGAAGCGCTCCTTAAGGAACATAAGCATGTGGCGCCCTCTGCAGGAATTTCTTTTGTGGTCCAAGTGCCAATATTATCTTGGACCCTTAGGCAAGCGGTTTTATTTTGTAAATTTGAAACCCTGCATTGATCTTCAGGCCATGCTATCCTGGGGCACAACATTCATGTTTAGTGGTCAGCCCAGAGGCTTTGGATATCACTTGATAATCGCTAAAAGTTAAGAAATGCTTTGAGGAATGCTGCAAATTTTACTCCAGTGTTTCATGTTTCGCCCACAAAACATACAGTCAATTCACTTTACCGTACATTCTGTGAAACTCTTTGAGATACCTTGAAGACGTGATAAGGTGCTATATCAAATCAAGGATTATTATTCATGTGCACATTATATTGGGTGGTATTAGCGAGCACCACAAACCTCTGTTACTCTCCAGGAGTGCAGCAGGATTATACACTTGTAATTTCAGTATACGTCTTGCCTTGTTTAGTTTCAATAAAGCAGGCAGATCTGTGTATAGCACTTCTTACCTTGTGGCATTCCCAGGTAATCTTGCTGATAGATTGAACGATATTGAGCAGATATTGTTCTACAGATATCTTCTTGAGAGCGGGGCCTCACGCCATAGTCGCTTTGGCTTGTGTAAGGAATCTGTCTTTCCTTGGGAGCCAGTCTCCAAATCAAAAAAGCCTTAAAAAGCACAGTACTGTCATTAGGTTATAATTTTCTGGTAACTGCAGTATATTATTTGTTTTGGTCTCCTGGGTGTTTGAGCCATGCAGAAACCCATCATCGTGTGTAGGACTATCCAAACAAGATTGAAAGCTTTGCATGTGTATCCCACTCTACGCATGGAAATTTCAATGCCTGGAATAAAACGCGCACTCTCCCTGGAGAGACAGGTCCTGCTTAACTAAATCCAGGCAGTATTAAGTGCAGATTTGTGACAAACAAGGTTTAGGGAACCCAGAGTGTATATTGGGATACTGCTGGAGTTTAACCAGTTAAATCCGCATAGCTTGCCATGAGAGCACTGTGTCCTGCAAGCTTTCCACTGAACTCCCCGAAGGAGGATTGTTACTGGTTAGTCACTTTATATCTGACAAGTGCAGGTTTGAACAATCACAAGGTGTATAGCAGGTGACAGGCACTCCCTGCAAGATTCCAGGTGAGCAGCATAGCTCAGCATGAAATGTGTGAGAGCATTGTCACCATCCTCCTGACCACATGCCTCACAACTGTTCCTTCAGTCAGAATGGGAGCAGCAGCTGCTTATCTCGCTGAATTTCATGCAAGATGGATACTAAGTCATGGATATATGAGCATTTGTTTGTGAGCCTGGATCCCAGGTAATGCCTTCCTGGAGCTGTCATCCCAGGTCTCAGAAGTTTCTCATCAGTTGTCTGACAGACATCGGGCTTCAGCATGATGGGAGGGCTTTTACCGAACAGCTGTGGTATAGTATCCACTTTGATATTCTAAACAAAGTATTCAGCCACTACGCCCCAAAACTCTGGAACACTCTCCCTCGCTCCCTCCGCCTCATCCCCTCTCTCCCCTCTTTCAAATCCCGCCTGAAAACTTTCCTCTTCGACTGTGCTTACAGCCACCTCCCCGCTCCCCCTCGGCTCAGAGTCAGGCTCCGCCACTGTTAAGCGCTCTGAGATGCTACACTGCACGGAGGACGCTATATAAGTGCAAGTTGTTGTTGTAAACATCCAAATCCATTGTTACATATGAGGTTTACTATGCACCGGCTGCTTAATCCAGGTCCTAAGGGAAGAGGCTTTGATAATGAAGCTGCCTCTGCCTCCAGGGTGCTCAGCAACAGTGCAGGATGGAGACCTCCCTTCCTGTAACCACTTCTCCTTTTTACTACAAAACCACCTCACTGCTAGGTCCTGGACTTCACAAATGAGCAGAAGAAATCCCCTGCACTGCATGCTCAGGAGCTCATAACCATGAAGAAGAATTGTTTGGACATGTGTCTTATCCACCATGTGTCTTAACCTGCATTGGGACTTTGCTGTTGCTGAGGCATATACTATAGTTTTCTCATAGGTAATACTAATGCTGCTAACCTGACTCGGATGTGGATTATTCCTTCGGAATCCTGATGATGATCCTGATCGTATAGCCTTTTGTTTGGAATACGGTTTCCAACAGTAGTCAATATTGTACAAGGTGTTACCAATAGGCTCACCAAGATGATATGGGTAAGTATATCCATTAGAAGAACTAGGGCTGCAACAAGACACGGAACAATGCATGAAAATAGTGCTAACATCCATCTACATGTACACATCACAATAAATTGACCCCTTAGAATATAGAAACAATGTGTATATTATGGAAATCTTATCACAGCCACAACAAGAATACAACGGGAATTCATTAAGATAATGGCAGGGCTGAGTTTTATGGAGAGACTTTAAAACTTGTTACTGTCTTTGCTGGATGGAACAGAAAATCTTAAAGGGGAATATAATACAAGATTGAAATAATTATGAATAGTTTTGACAAGATAACACAGGAAGAACTATTCCATTAATGTTTCTATTGATGTTGTTGGAATGTAGAATATTCTGCCACAAGTTAGTTATGAGATCGATCTTAGAAATTATTTTAAAAAGAATTAATTACTTGAAGAATTAAGAAATTTTAACGAGAATGGGAAACAAGCAGGTAGTGGGATTATATTAAATGGCTCACATGGAGAAAACCGCCAGTGTATACATTTTAGACCTAATGACTTGTTTCTATGCTGCATCATTCTATTATTAATCGGCAACTCGATTACAAGACGGCATAAGTTATGGATTATCACCAGAAGAGAAAAGGGGGAGGATGATAGATTATTTTTTTGCAGAGGATAATTTGGAATGAATTAGTATTAGTGACATTTTTATTAATTTAGTTTTAGGAATTTAAGATTCTTTCTATTTTTTCCCCCAGAGTGACGGATGTTGGCACATGGAGCTTTGCAATCTTTTGTACAAAAAGCCCCTGCGGATAATGGATATTTGTTACCCTCAGCATCACTCCTTCCACTCGATCTCAGAGGGAGGGGTGAGGGGTATTATACAGATTCTCTTTAAACCTCAGGGATAACTAACTGACCCAAAACTCTGGATTGTTCATCCATTGCATTTCCAAACCACCTGCAATGTGAATGGAATTGTCAGTTTCTCAGGTCAGTGTGTGTTGTGGGTCAGATCCTGTTAAGAAATGGTCTGGAGTAACACGTGTTAATTTTAAGCTTTTTATTCCATTAGACTGGGGCTGGTTACCAAAGGTCCCAGTGAACAAAAGACAGTCTGCTAACCTCCCATTATCACTTTTAGTTGAAGCTTCCCACTGAGGGTAGTGGATACCTTGGAGCTGAACAAGTTTCCAGCCTTATGTTGCTTTCAGTCAGACTCACCGCAAATTGTGAGCTGCGGAACCTGGTCGAAAAGGAAATGCACGCTCAAATGTTGTTTCATACGGATTCCAGAAGGCCAACCCTCCTACAAAGGACAGCCATTCCATTCAATGAATCATACAAATCAATAGTCTGCTGCAGAAGAAAGCTGCACCTGATGAAATACACTTAGTTGGTTATAATAAATATCTTAAATATTAAATCAAATCCAAGAGTCAGCCTGGCTCGGTTGGTAGCACTGCAGCTTCTGAATCAGAAGATTGTGGGTTCAAACCCTATGTCACAATTTTGAACTCACAATTTAGGGTGACATTCTAATACAGTGCTGGGGGGCTTCTACACTGTTGAAGGTGCCACCCTCAGCTGAGATGTTAAACCAAGGTCCTGTCTGCCTGTTCAGCTGGATGTTAAAGATGTCTTGGTATTATTCAAAAAGGGAAGAGAGTTTCTACTGGTATCTTGACCACCAATGCCCCAGATAAAATTAGTTATTCACATCATTCATGGCTGCTGCTAGCCTACAAAATACAGTCACTACATATTATAGTATGTCCTGTGAAGACCTCTGAGATGTCCTTCCAACGTGAACAGAACTAGATCAAATGGCAGCATTTTTATTATTATTATTATCCATGAAATGAATTCTAGCATATTCCACGGATCTCCTGGAACACAGTGAGAGTTTCAGAGTTTAGTACTACTATCAAATGTAAGGATTATTATTGTTAATAATATTATTATTGACAAGTCAAAGACTTTCATGCTGGACTCCCATCTGCACCTTCTCACCTCAGGCACTGACAGTATCAACCTGCATGGATGCACCTCCACCTCGAAGAAACAGTGTGGAATTGCAATATCTTGTTTTACTCGCAAATGTCCTTTAAACCCCCAACTCTCATCTCATTCAAGGTAAATCTCAAGACCTACCTCTTAACCGTGCTTTCAATCATCTTTCATCTCCCCAGCCCTTGGCTCCTATCCCTGGCTCAGGTGCCAAGCTAATATTGTTAAGCACCTCGTGACATTCCTCCTGAAAGGCACTTGATAAATATAATAAAATAATAATTGCTGCACTTGATATAGCGCCTTATCACTTCCTTGAGATGTCTCTAAGTGCTTCACAGAGTAATAATAATCGTTGCATTTATCACGTCTTCGAGACGCCTCAAGACGTTTCACAGAATATACTGTAAAGTGGAGTGACTGTGTTGTATTCACATTGTTCTTAATAATAATAATAAACTGGGAAGCACTAGGCGGGGCATATGAACAAAGTAATCTAGCGATCCAAGTCTATAGAGCATTACTACCTGGTTTGCAATGTCAGAAAGCAATCAATAATTTATTTTCAGCAACTGGGGGCTTTGTGCAGTATACCCAATTGTTAAGTCAATATTTTGCCCTAGGAGAGGACCAGTGTAACTAAATTGATCAGGCATTAAGGGTTCAAAATTATGAAAGGGTTTAACAGGGTAAATAGTGACAGATTATTTCCCCTTGGTTCCCAAATGCAAAACAAGAGAGACAAAGCTTCACAATTGCTTTACACAAGGTCCTTGGTAAAAATTACTTTGGCTTCAGACTGTAAAAAGATTTCACTCACCTGGTGTTTTTTGCTGCTTCTCAAATGGGCATTGACAGGGAATTTCAGGTTGTCCTGGAACTGAATGAGAAATTGTATTACGCTATACATGGACGTAATGCCTTTATCCAGTTGACAGAAATTAAATTCTGGCATTACGGTTTACCGACCCCAGAGAGGAGCGAGGGGGAGAGAGAGATAAATGTCACAACAACAACTTAACAACAACTTGCATTTATACAGTGCCCTTCATACGGGGCAAAACCTTTCCAAGTTTCATTACTCCACACACATGCCTCTGTTTACCTGGCAGTAAGTAAGAACCTGTTTGTTAGTCAATTGGTAGATCGCTTTCCGGAAGTAATAATCCCTCCAACAAAAAATAAAAATAATGTGATCACTCAATCCATGACTGTTTGCGGGACACTGCCGTGCGCAATTAGCTGCTGCGTTTCGCTCACAAAACACACAGAGACTATACTTTACAGTGTATCCTGTGAAGCGCCTTGAGATGTCTCGACAACGTGATATGGTGCTATATCAAATGCAAGGATTATTATTATCATTATTAATTGTTTTTCGCCCACAAAATATACAGTCAACCCATTTTACAATATGTACATCACTGCAGATTATGTTTTGCGCTATTCAACATTTTCTCCCCCAGAGACATGGTGGTGTGGGTTATTTTTTGGTCGAACTCCATATGGACTTTCTCATTATTATTATTATACACTAGACTTGATTAGTTTACACCATAATTGTTGCCGCTTCACAAATTCTGGGAAATAAATGTACTCAGTGGGGTTATCCCTTCAAATAAAATTTATTTAAAAATGTGATCACTCAATCCACGACTGTGTGTGGGACACTGCTGCTGCGTTTCACCCACAAAATAAACAGTCAATTTCACTTTACAATATATTCTGTGAAGCATTTTGAGATGTCTAGAAGACATGAAAAAGGCTATACCAAATGCAAGAATTATTATTATGATTATTATTCTGTGAAGCGCTTTGAGATGTCTCAATGACATTATAAGGGGCTATATCAAATGCAAGGAATATTATTATTATCCTCCATAACAAATTATAATTTAGAATGTTTCCAATAAAGAAACATCTCAAATTACATTTCAAAAGGTATACCTAAACTTGTGTTACCAGAGCTCAGATGGATAAAGATTATATATGATCATAAAAATATGACAAAGCATGGGATGATAATACATCATTCAGATCAGACCATAAGCCATTCCTTCCACAGTCATTTAAAGTCCACCCTATTATTAACAATACCGATAATAATCATTGCATTTGATGCATTTAATAATCATTGCATGTCAGGAGGATGTTCCAAAGCACTTCATCGGATTATATTAATAATAATAATCCTTGCATTTGATATAGAGTCTTATCAGATCATTGAGACGCCTCCACAAACAGCCATGATGTGAAAGAGCAATTTTGTAAGGGGGATTTATTGGCTAAGACATTGGGAAAAACTCTCTTCTCTTTCCAAATAGTGCCAAGAAGAATCAACAGAAATCCTAATGGGAAATACCAAAAAATAGACAGTGCTGTCCCAGACTCATTTGTTGCCCGAATTGTCTTTGTATCCCTTGTCTTTGTAGTTGTGTGATGTTACACAGAGGAAGAATAGGAGATATCTTTTTGAGTTCTGCACTATGGAGGAGGATTCAATTGTGAATGAAAATATCACTAATACCTTACGCACTTTATTGACAACACAGCAACCGAGGTTCCCAGAGAGCAGTCCCTGAAGCAAAACAGATCATGAGAGACCTGTTGGAACCTCATCAGCCACATCCACCACTGTGATCGCCCTCTGAAACCTCATGATTTAATCTTGATCCTGATTTTCATCAGTACTTAATAGATTCCTTAATAAGCAATCTTAGACACAATAATTCAAACTTCTTACAATAGCCACCAATACAGCACAGCGGCCAGTGGGATCTCTGCCCATACAATATTCATTCACTGCAGTAAATTGTGTGAAGCATTTTGAGGTGTTTTGAATAAAGTGATAAGGTGCTACGCCAAAGGCAAGAATTTGAATACTGCTGGTAACAGTGACACTGATGCAGAAACTAAGGAAATTCCCTACAAATTTTCACCTTTACAAAATAAGTTTTACATGACAAGATTACAGTGATGGATGACTGTAAAGGAAAATAAATCATACTTTTCAACTCACCCAAAGAGGAGTAAACTCCGTATGGTTTGCCTCTACAATGCTTAACTGTCTTCATTTCTTGAGTGCGGTCCATTTGGTTGTATTTTTCATTTTCTGTCACTACATTCATCATTTCTTGTTGGTGTTTCAACTGGTCCCCGAATTGGGGTTTTACATTTTCATTATGAAGCTGAAGTAAAAGGGTAGAGAATAATCACTTTTTCAAATATTAATCCTTGCATTTGATATAGCGCCTTATCACATTGTTGAGACGTCTCAAAGCTCTTCACAGAATATACTGTAAAGTGAATTGACTGTGTATTTTGGGGGCAAAAATGGTTAATACTGTAGCATAAATGGGCAGAAAGTGGTTCAGAGTCCACAAGCTGATGACAGCTCACCTGATTACTGATACAAAGAGGGGAGTAGTCAGCTAGCAGTGGTGAGCTGAGTTCCATCATACAGAGGGAACGATGTGTTTGAGAGCTCAGTTTTCAGGTTATCTGGGCTGTGGGCTGTTGATTGTGACCCTTCCAGCTGGAAGCGAAAGAGGTCAATGCTTTAGTTGCCAAGGGATGCAATGTGGTTGCCTAGCGTAGAGTAAACAAAGAGCTGACAAAGATAATCTATTCAAGCTACCCTTCAGTGTTTAAAGCCGCAGCAAGCATTTGATCGACATGGAATTTATCTATAGTTTGACGACATCAGTTTTCCCCGATCATTTTGGTTCTGTCCCAATTGAATCAGGACCAGATTTGTGCTTTCCGACAGTTACAAGCCTGTTTTTGTTTAAAAAATAAGAAATGGTTGGTGCTCACAGCATGGATCACCTCCCTAATGCATCTATAATAAATAATAATCCTTGCATTTGATATAGTGCTTTTCACATCTTCTAGATGTCTCAAAGCACTTCACAGAATATACTGTAAAGTGAATTGACTGTTTATAATAATAATAACAATAATAATCCTTGCATTTGTTATAGCACTTTTCATGTCTTCTCGACGTCTAAAAGCGCTTCGCAGAAAATACTGTAAAATGAATTGACTGTATATTTGCGGGCGAAACGCGGCAGCCAATTGCGCACAGCAGTGTCCCATCCCACAACCAGTCATGGATTGAGTGACCAAATTATTAGTGCTTTTTTTCTTGAGGGATTATTATTAGATGTGTGGAGTAAGGAAATTTGCCCAAGGTTTCGCCCTGCTGAGAATCAAACCCAGGTCTCTCGCTTGCTCTAACCACTAAGCTACAGGACTCTGCTCTGAGATGTCTTATCTCAAGATTTACGAGCTCTAGCTTGTCTAATCATTGCTTATAGCTCTTGCTTGCCTAATCATTCCACTAAGCTCCTTGTTCCTCTCCTCTGCACTGCCTCTGGGGCTTGAGCAGCCCCTTACTTCACGGTGACCAGAACTATATGCAATCCTGATTAGAGAACTATATAGCTTGAGTATGACTTCTGGGGATCTAAATAATAATAATAATCCTTGCATTAAATATATCGCCTTATCACTTCATCGAGATGTCTCAAAGCGATTCACAGGATATACTCTAAAGTGAATTGAATGTATTTTGTGGGTGAAAAGCATGTTGAAATATATTGATTATCACCTCAGGATACATTGGTATATTTCATACAGCAACCGAATGTTCCAGAAGGTTTGATAGTTAAATGGTTAAAAGTGGCTTTGCTGGACGGGTTGAGGTCAGCTCCTGATTACATTTCATATTTTCCTGGGAAGATATTCTCTGCTCTGAGATAACGAGCAATTGGGCCCTTGAGCATAGGTGTAAGAACAATGGACCACAGAAAGAAAAGGCTGCAGCCTCAGACACCTGCCTATCTCGAGGCTGAGAAACAAGCAGCTGTGGAGGGCTGCCGAGAAGTTTTCCATATCTCTCTCTGTGCAAAGCAGTCTGCAAAGTGTGGGGGCTATCCCTGTGACAAGGGAAGGTGGAGTTAGAAACACGTAAAAGAAAGATGTAACTTTGAAATAGTTGGAGTTGTGCAGAGGGTCAGCGCACTTCCCAGTGGAATCGATATCAATTCTACTGTATCTATGTATATGTACAGGGTTGAGGGAATTTACCTCCAGTAAGAAAGTGACTATTAAAAGTGGGAGGAGGAGTAGTGGGTAATATGCTGTTTCGGTTCTGTTAACAAGGCAGAGAAGTATTAACAGTGGGTTGGTCTGTTTGAAATGCAGAAGTCAGGTTAGGCAGCACGAGTGAGGTGCTGGGCTAAAAACTGATTGTTTCTGTTGAGTTTACAGGAGCCGCTGTAAATTCTGAGTGCATGCTGTTGTTTCTCTGTTATTTGATTTGTATATCCATGTCGTTGTATGCTGCGGACTGTTGTGTTGTTAAATGGTCATGTGGTTTGAATGTAGATTGTTGAAATTTACCATTTGTCTTATATATATATATTTGATATTAAACACTATACTCTTACCATCACCTGTCAAATTATTAACAAGTGGCAACCAGTTTATCCACAGCAATGTCCCACAAACAATCATGGAACGAGTGACCAATATAAAAACTGATTAGGAATATATCTGTCCTTCAGATAAGACATTAAACTGAGGTCCTGTTCACTTGTTCAGGTGGGCACTATTTGAAAAGATAAGGGGAGTTTTCCCCCATGTTGTAGCCACCAGTCACCCAGATAAAACTTGTTCATTCACTGCATGACTGTTCGTGGAATATTGCTGTGTGCAAATTGACTGCAGCAGATGCCCACAAATACACAATCTTTACTTTTGACAGCAATTACCTGTGAATTGCATTCTGATATTTATATCAGATTATTTATTTATTTGTGATTCAAACCTCATTTAATCTTTACCGTTGTAAAATCAGAGAGTTGTTTCACTCACATCAGAAGTTTTCTGCGATGCTTGAAATAAAAGTTTCAGATCAAATATGTCTCACGTTCCTTTTTTTGTTAAATAACAACAACACATTTATATTTGTACAGTGCCTTTCACGTCGGGAGGAGATCCCAAGGCACTGGACAATGAGTGTTTCAGACTCGAGCGGGAGGGTCAGGATCGGAGAGGGTGGAGGGCAGGGGGGCAAGGAGGGTGACCGAAGGCACTATCGAAGAGGAGGGTCTTGACATGGGTCTTGAAGGAGGGAAAGGAGGGGGATAGCGGAGGGACTGTGGAATGGAGATCCAGAGGGTGGGGCTGAGTGGCTGTAGGCCGGCCCGCCAATGGTGGGCGGGTGAGGCGGGGGATGTGAAGCAGGCCGGGAACGCCGCACGAGACATTGCGAGGAGAAACTGTTTGTAGAGTTGAAGTGGAGACAGTGTGAGAGGAAGGATCTGAACCAGTCAATCACAGAACTATGAAGGTTGAGGTGAGAGGAGAGGCGGTGGATGAAGTGGTCGATGGTGTCGAAGCAGCAGAGAGGTCAAGGAGGCCGAGGAGGCAGAGGGAGCCTTGATTGCAGATGGACAGAATGTCATTTGTCACTTTGACCAAAGCTGTTTCTGTGCTGTGGGCGGCACAGAAACCCAATTGGAGGGGTTCATCAAGGGAATGGTGGGAGAGGAAGGAGCAAAGCTGGGAATAGTACAATGTTTGCTGTACTTAAATAGACTGTTACAGCGCAGGAACAGGCCATTCAGCCCAGATAATCTGTGTTTATACCACACCTGAGCAATGTAGCCCAAAATCTTATTTGACTTGTTATTTGCTGCTTACACTGTTTTGATAAACCCAAGTTCACATGAGTTTAATAAAGAGATGTGTTTTGTATTTTCTGTAGTTTTGTTGCTCAGTTAACATGATAGTGATTGGCGCAGTCAGTAATTCAACTAAAATCCAGATTTCTGCCCAAAATCTAATATCCAACTATAAGGGACAAGCTGGAAAATGCACCCAACCTGGTCAAATCTTCTGAGTCTTTCTCTTTGCTCTTTGGGTTAATTGTCTAATAGGTTGACTGGGGTTAGGTTTCCCATGAACTCCATCTTCATACATTATCCATTGGATGTTTGTGTTCTGCCTGTTGCTTTGCTTCTGAGGTGACACTTAAATATTTAATGATCTCTAAATGATCTTTAGAAAGTTTTAACGTACTGGAAAGCCACAAAAAAATTACGAATGCAGCTAATCATATCACACCACGGAGGCCACCATCAATGTGTATCATCAATGTATTTAAGAAAAAACATGAAGCATACATGAGGGAGAAGAGAGTAAAGAGATACAGAATAGGAGAGAGGAATAATTGGGATTCGGGGTGGGGGGGAATGGCATGTGGAGTACAAACATGAGCACTGACTAATTGGACCGAATAGTTTCCATGCCACATCACTCCATGTAACTCTATATTCAACTGGCACCAGCCTCCTGCTTGTCCCTCACGCCCTCTGCTCCACCATTGGAGGTCGCGCATTAAGCCCCTACACCCCAAAATTCTGGAACTCCATCCCACAGTCCCTCTGCCTCGCCTCCTCCCTTGCCTCCTTCAAGACCCATGTTAAGACCCTCCTCTTTGACCGTGCCTTCGTTCACCCTCCTTCCCCACCTGCCCCCCCAACCCCCGATTCATGTCAGAAACGCCTTGGGACAACGTCCCGACATGAAAGGCGCTATAACAAATGTAATTTTGTTGTTGTTGTTGCTACAGAGTGAATAAATAAAGAGCAAGAGATAAATAAATAAGATAAATAGATACATAAATAGATAGAATACATTTGCATTAGAATACATTAGAATGTACAGCACAGAAACAGGCCGTTCAGCCCAACTGGACTATGCCAGTGTTTATGCTCCACATGAGCCTCCTCCTGCCCTTCCTCAACTAAGCCTTCAAGCATAACCTTCTATTCATTTCTCCTCATATACCTATCTGGCTTTCCCTTAAATACATCTATGCTATTTGCCTCAATAACTCCTTGTGGAAGCATGTTCCACATTCCCACTATTCTCTGTGTGAAGAAATTTCTTCTAACTTCCCTATTTGATCTATCTATGACTATTTTATATTGATGGGCCCTGGTTTTGGTCTCCCCCACAAATGGAAACATCTTCCCTATGTCTACTCTATGAAACATTTCATCATTTTAAAGACCTCTATCAGATCACCCCTTACCCTCCTCTTTTCAAGCGAAGAGTCCAAGTATGTTCAGCCTTTCTTGATAGGTATAACCTCTCAGTTCTGGGATCATCCTCGTGAATCTCCTTTGCCACCTCTCCAGTGCCTCTACTTCCCTTTTATAATGCGGGGACCAGAACTGCACACAGTATTCTAAGTGGGGTCTAACGAAGGTTCTATAGCAGTTTAGCATAACTTCCCTATTTTCATTTCTATCCCTCTAGAAATGAACCCCAATGCCTGGTTTGCTTTTTTATGGCCTTATTAACCTGCAATGCTACTTTTAGTGAATTGTGTATGTGTACCCCTAGGTCCCTTTGCTCCTCTACCCCATTTAGGGTTTTATTTTCCAGGGTGTTTGTGACTTCCTTATTCCTTCTACCAAAATGTACCACCTCACGCTTTTCTACATTGAAATGCATTTGCCATTTAAATGCCCACTCAGCAAGTTTATTAATGTCTTGCTGTAATTTGTTGCAGTCCTCCTCTGTATTAACTACTCCCCCCAGTTTGATGTCGTCCACAAATTTTTAAATTGTACGCCTGATTCCCGAATCCAAATCATTATTGTACATTGTGAACAATAATGGTTCCAATACCGATCCTTGTGGAACACCAATGTCCACTCCCTCCCAGTCTGAGTAGCTATCCTTTACCCCTACTATCTGTTTTCTGTTTTGTAGCCAGTTTGCTATCCATTCTGCTATTTTTCCCCTGACTCCACCCCATGTTCTGACCTTATTCATTAATCTATTATGTGGTACCTTATCAAACTCCTTTTAGAAATCTAAATACATCTACCGCATTACCCTTGTCTACTCTTTCTGTTACCGCTTCAAAGAATTCAGTGAGGTTGGTCAACAGATAACAGCTCAGGAGCTGAAGTGCTCTAATTGAGTTCTATTCATAACTCCAGTTTCCCCCTGATTTACGTTGGAGCTCTTGTCCCTGGTTGAAGAAGATCAAAGATTTCTGTGTCGTCGATAGTGTCAGGCTTAGCTTCCTCCTCCTCTCGGGCACTCCTAAGACTGTGTCAGCAAATTCAAAAGGGAATTAGACAGCGATTTAGTGAAGGCATTAATTGAGTGGTACAGTATGAGAGACACAGCAGCATGCAGTTCTTTTACTTTGGCACATTCCATTCCCCTACATTCCTATGTTTCTACAAAATAGCCGTTTCATATATAAGAGTCCAGGCAGTAAATTATCACTATGCTATAGGACCGTGAAATGCATTTACCCAAGCATGATTCTGTCAACCTCACTTCAAGGAGTAGGAGCCTTAATGATTTTTCCACTTCAGAGACTGGAATCAATTATTATATTGCTAGAGGCAGCCCTGTAAAGATCAAACAGCTCAGCACAAGCCAGGGTTAGAACCTAGGATTTCCCTAATTTCAATAGCTCAGTTTCCCGCTGGGGAAATGCTTTACCAAATAACATGTCTATTCTCCTCATGATGGGTGGGGGGGAGGTGGGGAAGGAATGAAGTAAGCAAGGTCTCTGTGGAACTGAGCTGGCTCCAAGGTATCAGAATTGAGTCAATCCTCTATAGCAGTCTCAGTCGTCTGGTCCTTGAGCCAGGTGTGTCCAGGGCGCTACTGATAACAGGCTAGTGAGCTTGTCTTATTATGGGTCTTGAAGTGGCAAACTGAATACTGGGAGCAGGAATTCTTCCCATTTAGCTTCTGTTAACTCTGCAAACCAAGGCAATAATGGTTAGGATGGTCCTTGCTGGACAAACAGCGGGAAAGCTTGCCGGACCGTCAGCAATATCAATGCTATGCGGTTGTATCTGGTTAAACTCCAGCAATACCCCAATTCACACTCTTGGGTCCCCAAGCCTTGGTTCTTGCCAGATTTCACCCAATATTCTCTGGAATTAGGTAAACTGTGTACATTTCTCCAGGGAGACAGTATGCATTTCTATTCCAGACACAGGGAAATTTCCATACATACATATGTGGAACATTCAGTCAGGCCTAGATACTCAGAAGCACGTGCTACACATCCAGTTGACCAAACAAAATCATGCTTTAATAGAAAGGATTCAATACATTTTCTGCAACTTGTCAATTTTGGCTTAATATGGCACTCAGATATAGAATAAATATCAGAAAAAAATTCAAAGCATTGAGAAGAAACATTCACAGCCCCTGTATAAATGAAAGATTGTGGGTAACTGTGCAAAAAAACAATCTTAACTGCCAGTGATCGCCAGTGATGTAGGTAAAAAAGAGGCCCCACCCTATCTATGTGATTGCCTCTAACCACACTGTCTCAGGCGTCCCCTTCGCTCAGCAAACACTGGCCTACTTCACATGCCCTGCCCTATCTGCCCCAGTATCGGCAAGGGTCTTTCAGCCATTCTGCTCCTGCTCTCTAGTACTCCATCTTGAAGTCGCTCTGTCTCACCCCATCTCTCCCCATCCCTCCTCTTCCTCACGGCACATCTCACACTTTTTAGTCTTTCTTCTCACACCACTCTCAACTCCCACCCTGAGCTCATGTGCCTATTCAGTACCATGAAGCGCTTTGAGACTTCCTCCTGATGTGAAAGGCACTGTATAAATGTAAATGATACTGTATTGTATGACATGGCTAAAACATAAGAACATAAGAACATAAGAATTAGGTGCAGGAGTAGGCCATTCGGCCCTTCGTGCCTGCTCCGCCATTCAATAAGATCATGGCTGATCTTCTCACCTAACTCTGATTACCTGCCCTGTCCCCATATCCCTTAATCCCTCTATTTTTCAAGAATCTATCAGTCTCAACCTTGAAGATGTTCAAGGACTGAGCATCTACAGCCTTCTGGGGTAGTGAATTTCATAAGTTCACTACCCTCTGAGTGAAGAAATGTTTCCTCAACTCTGTTCTAAAAGGCTGACCCTTAATTTTAAGACTGTGACCCCTGGTTATAGATTCTCCTACCAGGGGAAACAGACCTTCAGTGTCTACTTTATCAGCCCTTTAAGAATCTTATAAGTTTCAATAAGATCCCCCTAATTCTTCTGTACTCTAGAGAATACAGCCCCAGTTTATTCAGCCTATCCTCATAGGTCAGTCCCCTCATCCCAGGAACTAACCGAGTGAATCTACGCTGCACCCCCTCTAGGGCAAGTATGTCCTTTCTTAAATAAGGAGACCAAAACTGCACACAATACTCTCGGTGCGATCTCACCAAAGCCCTATACAGTTGCAGCAAGACTTCCCTACTCTTATATTCTAAACCTTTCGAAATGAACGCTAACATACCGTTCGCCTTCTTAGTTGCTTGCTGCACCTGCAAACTAACTTTTTGGGACTGGTGTACAAGGACACCCAAATCCCTTTGAATACTAACACTATCTAACTTCTCCCCTTCCAGAAAATAATCTGTTCTTTTATTCTTGCTACCTAGGTGAATAATTTCACACTTGCTAACATTGAATTCCATCTGCCACCTACTTGCCCACTCCCTGCGCCTATCTATATCTTGTTGCAATCTTTTTGCATCATCCTGAGAGCTCACTCTGCTACCTAGTTTAGTATCATCCACGAATTTAGACACATTACATTCAATGTCCTCGTCCAGATCATTGATGTAAATGGTAAATAGCTGAGGCCCAAGCACTGATCCTTGTGGCACTCCACTAGTTACATCCTGCCAATTCGAGAATGATCCGTTTATCACTACTCTCTGCTTTCTACCCGATAGCCACTCTTCTATCCATGTTAATATTTTCCCATTAATCCCGTGGGCCTTGATCTTGAGTAACAGCCTTTTGTGTGGCACCTTGTCAAATGCCTTCCTAAAATCCAAATATACCACATCTACTGGTTCCCGCTTATCCAACCTGCTGGATACATCCTCAAAAAATTCTAAAAGGTTAGTCAAGCATGACTTCCCTTTTGTAAAGCATTTCTCTTTCTCCACTGAACTGGTTTCTGCTGGCAATGCATGAAGACGTATACACAAGCCAGTCTCATCAAAATCAGTCTTTGCAAGCACAAATGCCAGCATCTCTACCCATTCTCCTCACATCCAAATGAGTCAATGATTGTACCTACTAATGCTCATGTACATCTTCCCTTCCAGAATCCTGAAGGAGGAAGGGGCAAAAACAAACAGCACAACAGAAAGAGAAATGTAACGTAGGAAAAAACAATCACAATTCCTTAGGAGCACTTGTGGAAAAATTAAAGTTGCACAATCTCTTAGAGGACACTTTTGAACATGAGCAGTTGTATTTGGGGAAAAAAACTTTGCAGGCTTATGCATATTTATGGGTATTTATAATTACAAATCGTGAAAAAAATAAGTGCTTTTCCAGCTGAATAACGCCGTATGGCTGATTTATCAATTTACAGCAATTCAATGATAAACTCCACATAATCACCTGTGCACACATGTAAACTATTTGTGTTCAGTGCATTTCAATATCAACTCAAAAAACACACACAAGGACTTAGTAAAGTCTGCTTCAAGTATCTTAAAATACTTTATTATGTGACTCTTCCTGTCAAAGTCTGACTCGAGATACCACTTAGAAGAATTATTAGCTGAATCTTGGTTCCATCTTCTTGATGGCAATCATTCTATATATTTAGGCAAGCGCTGTGTAAACTGCAGCAGGTATGACCTTTCATTAACTAGTGGTAGCTGTGGTGAAGGTGGTGAAGATGTTTTCTTTGGAGATTTCCTCTTCACATGTGGTTGTGAATGAGATGAACTACTCTCTTGATCCTTGGGTGAGCCTGGATTTTAAAAATATAAAATAAAGTAAGGTTTACACTTAAGTTTACTTACAAAACAGGGAAACTTCTATCTTGGTTCTGGAAGTTCAAAAAACAACAAAAATATAGACTATCCAATTAACAGACTGATCAGCCATAAAGTCAATGGAGGTATTATGTGAGCTGAATAAACTATGTGTCAGTGCTGGATCTATTATGTGATTTGGGTAAACCATTTTACAGAGGCAATTACAGATGTCTTTAATTATGTAGTTAACCAGTGAGACATTTACACGTGTTTTATAGTAATAATAATACTTGGATTTAAAATAGCGCCTTATCAGGCTTTTGAAATATCTTAAAGCACTTCACAGATTTATTGTAAAGTGGTGTGACTGTATTTGTAAGAGAACATAGCAGCTAATTTGTGCGCAGCAATGTCCCACAATCAGCCATTAAGTGAATGACCAATTTTATTTGGGAGATTATTAGCCAAGATACCAGGAGAAACTCGCTTCTCTTTCCAAACAGTGCCATCTGAACAGGCAGACATTCATTCAAGGTTTAGCACCTCTGACAGTGCAATGTTTCCTGGGCACTGCATTGGAACGTAAGCCTGACAACTTGAATACTTTTAAAGACTAAAAGTGACTGAAGGATTTTTTAAAAAATAGTTTGTCTTTTGCAAGATACCATAGAACAGAATTTGTGAAACAACAGAACCTCACTGCATCCTCAGTTACACATGGGCCACATTGTTACAACACGATCGTTTGGGTCCATAAACTCCGACCCCATATTATAAGAAGGCGAAGTAAAACATGGCTGTCAGCTGCCACTTCCGGGGTCGCCTGATCGCCGCTGACATCACTTCCTTTGAGATATGGCAAGAGCAGAACATAGTGCACATGTGCAGGAATTGACATCAGTAGCCTTTCCTGTGCAATATGCACAACAACAACAAATTACATGGACAGTCAGGGATTTGGAACCAAGCAGCGGATTGGGATCAGAAGGGGTGGAGGACAAGGAGGGTAGGAATAGGAGTTTGACCGAAGGCATAGTCAAAGAGGAGGAACAACACCAGAAGTGTAGGAGTGCTCTGGCATAGCACTAATCCACATTAATCAGACAACAAATTGCATTTATATAGCGCCCCTCACACGAGGTAGTGTCTCGTAACTCTCACCAAACACCATTAGCATGAAAATAGTCAATAGTAACTGCCACAACAGCACATATTTATACAATGACTTTCATGTGAAAGAAATGCCTCAAAGTGCTTCATAGAATAAGATTAACTAAAAGTAAATTGAATGTGATTATGGGGAGACAAACACAGCAGTTATTTTACACCCCAGCAACATCCTATTAACAGCAATGAGTTAAGGAGCCAATTCAGCAGAAATTGGGGGACAAATTTGAAGGAGGAAGGAATATTTGCCAAGGAAATATCAGCCATTGAGGGGGGGCGGGGAGAGAAAGAGAGAAAGAGTGTTTACCTGAATCGCAAGACAGACAGAAGTTAAATTAATGATTAAATACTGTAGTAAACTATGCGGCTTTGTACCTGCAGGAAGTGAGGGGCTTCTGCTGAGGCTTTGCTGAGACGTACTACTCACTCGAAAATTAGACTCGCTTATCTTCTGCAATACCTGCTTGACTTGGCATTTCTCGTCTTCCGTTGTACAAGACAAGTTCACAATCTTTCCGTTCAGTTCTTTAATCTTTGTACTTCGTCCAAGCCAATAGAAGTCATCAGATGAGGAATCACGTTTGAACTCGCAGGTGAAATCCAAACCCAGGCCATCTGTTTTATATCCCCCATTCAGACTGAAGTATGACTGGAGGGCTGTTTTCAAGTTAAACTGATTAAAGGGAGAAAAAAAATCTACTAATGGTTCTATTATAACTAGGCTTCTTACATCATTTTAAATCTATAGAATATACAATAAATGCAGATTAGAAGCTAGCATTGAGGATACATCCAGGATAATAAATGGGCAATATATGAAAGGCAATGTAAACAGTTCTACAGTGCACTCGGTTTAAACAACTCCGATTAAAGCCAAGTCAGTGTACAGTTTTATTGCATTAAAACAACAGTTACATTTTGGAACATGATGCACGTGCTCCAATACAGGACTATCCCAAACTGTTTGGAATATCTGGGTGGGGGGGGAGGGATTTCACTGAAATTTATATTCCAGCAATCCCTATTCCCAATCTTGCCCCTCATTCATGCACATCCACACAGGAAACTTACACAACTCGTTATTCCAACTATCCCTTTCAAGTACAGTACAGTACAAAGGTCCTTATTTTACGTACGTCTCCAGATGTATAAAAGCAGTCACAGGAGAGCAACACTGTAATGCTATGAACAGCAGTAAATGTGGTTTGAAAGCTGTTTCGGCTGAGAGTCCTCACTGCCCAACTACAAGGGTTACATTTTGCAAAGCTCCTTTGGTGCCTCGCTCAGGTTACCTGAAGCAATACTGAGAGACTGAAGCAAGTCCAAAGGGATGCATCTCTTACTAAAAACAGTGTTAGACATCAAGAGACATACTCCTTACTATTAATCAGCTTCTCTATTCATTCACACTGTGTGACATCTTCCCATCATGTTAGTTCACTCCCCATTTTTATGCTGTGCTCATGCATCAGTCAAGTGTTTTAACCACAACTTTTACCACAATAGATGCCTATAACTTGAAATGGAGTCCTGTAGCTCAGTGGTTAGAGCACTTGCTTTGCAAGCGAGAGACCTGAGTTCAATTCCAGGCAGGGCGAAACCTTGGGCAAGTTTCCTTACTCCACACGCCTAATAATAATCCCTCCAAAACCAAAAAAAAAACAATAATAAATTGGTCATTTTCAATCTACGACTGTTTGTGGGACATTGCTGTGCGCAATTGGCTGCCGCGTTCGCCCACAAATATACAGTCAATTCACTTTACAGTATATTCTGTGAAGCGCTTTGGGACGTCCTCCCGACGTGAAAAGCGCTATATCAAATGCAAGGATTATTATTATTATTATTATTATAAATGATGACAAACTCAATGTAGAGATGTGAACAGCACACCATCAGTATTTCACCTAGCTTAATAATAATAATAATCTGTGCATTTGATATAGCGCCTTACCATGTCTTTGAGACGTCTCAAAGTGCTTCACAGAATATACGGTAAAGTGAAATTACTGTATAATATTTAGCTTGTAATTAATTGGCAAGGTTACCAGCTAAAACTTCTCCTTACGTATATTGAGAAGTGCCCTAAATTCCACAGGGTTTTTTTTCACTGGCAAACTTTTTTTTAATTCTGTTAACAGTTTGTCATCCATCTAACCAATAGATGGCAAACTGTTAACAGAATTAACAAAAAGGTTTGCCAATGAATCATTAACTATCCAGTGAATAATTTAGCAACAAAAACAATGATTGCTGGGAACACTCAGCAGGTCAGGCAGCTTCTATGGAGAAAGAAAAGTGGGTCAACATTTCAGGTCCATGACTCTTTGTCAGAACAAAGTCTTCAAGACATCTCAAAGCGCTTCACAGAATATACTGTAAAGTGAATTGACTGTATATTTTGTGGGCGAAATTTACAACAACTTGCATTTATATAGCACCCGTCACATGGGTAGCGTCTCAGAGCCCTTGAATGCAAGCTTACCTCTTAAATAAGTTGGTGTTTCTGCTTACATGGCTGTTTGTGGGACATAACTGTGTGTAAAATGGCTGCCAGGTTCATCTACAAACTTACAATCACTGCTTTACAGAAATTACCAATGCAGCACTGTGAGACGTTTCAATGTCATAGTCACTATTTCAAGTTCAAAGATGATTAAAATTCCTAATTATAATTCTGTAATGTAAAAAAACAGACAATATTTAATACTGAATTAAAGTGAGATATCACTGCCAAGCAAGATGATACGTTATCTGAAAAAAAACTCCAGGATCATGATCCCTTTACAAAAGTAAAGGATTCCTGTGGCTCAGTGGTTAGAGCACTCTGATTCCTGACAGGATGAAACCTTGGAAACCTTGGGCAAGTTTCCTTACTCCACACACCTGATAATAATCCCTCAAGAAAAAAACACAACAATAATAATTTGGTCATTTCAATCCACGACTGTTTGCGGGACACTGCTGTGCGCAATTGGCTGCCGCATTTCGCCCACAAAAAAGTGCAGTCAATTCACTTTACAGTATATTCTGTGAAGCGCTTTGAGACGTCGAGAAGATGTGAAAAAGCGCTATATCAAATTCAAGGATTATTAATATTATTATAAAAGGAATTCAGTCATACCATTACATAAACAACGTTTAGTTACCTGGAGGATGTAACTTGCTCCAACTGCTGTCGATATGGCATCATTCATGCTATCACCTATCTCAAACTGCATTCTGGGGTGACGAATGTTCACAATGACAGCAAAAACTGTTAAGTTGTGAGAACAAGTTATATCAACAAAACATGTAGCACACACACATCTTATCCACATTTTATTGCACATTCTTTGACTACATTGCACTTTTCTGTGAAGGGGAGAAGTACTGTAGGAAGAAAATGGACAAGAAAAGATTGAATTTATTTTCATAATGATCTAATAGAGGGGAGGGATTAGTAGCTCTTTTGGAATATAAACACCTTCAAGATTATATCCTTCTTGATCAGTTCAATAAACAATTAGAGCAATCTTTTCATTACATCCAGGCTTGATTAGGCTAATTCCTTGCTCACTGGATTTCTAAACACTTCCATGCAGGTCATTCAAAACTCTGCAGCTCGTGTCTTCTCCCGCGCTAAGCTCTGTGAACCGATCAACCCCGTCCTCGGCCGGTTTCAATGGCTCCTATCCCCCAGAGGATCAAATTCAAGATTATCATCCGCATTTTTAAAGCCCTCCACGGTCTTGCTCCTCGCTACCTCTACGATCTACTAAAACTTTACCAACCTGTCTGCTCTCTCCGCTCAGGAGGCATTGGCCTGCTCCATGTCCCCACCTTGCCTGCTCCATCATCAGCGGTCAGGCCTTCAGCTTTTCTGCCTCAACATAAACTAAAGAGTTATACTATGGCTCTCCTACTCTATATGCTAATACCACACAAATGCCCTGCTTTTCCAACCGATCTAGAGAGGGGGGAAAAAATAACTATGGACTCAAACTCTTGTAGTAGTCAGTCTGTATTGATATTGCTTTGAAGGCATTAATGCAATTATAGTACAGTAAAGAATAAGCAAATAACAGTCAATAGATAAATGTAGAGAAAGATAGACAATAAATACCTATTGTAGAATCGCCAGCGACCATAACATTGGTAAAAAAGACCATCGGTTTACTTAATATAGTTTCTTGGAAGCTCCTGTGCTCCTTGAGAGAGTTCAAAGTAATTTTCCTGAAAGTTAGTAACAGAAAGTAACAGAATTTCACATTTACAGAAGAATATTCCTTCACGTAATAAACTATGCTCCAGCCAGTTGTGCACATGTCCAGGCAAATCAACTATTGTGCATCATTATAGCGTTAATTGGAATTTTATGGAACCCATACACTGCTTTATAACAGGGCTGAACTGTATTGGATTACAACTGAATATTTCACTTTGGGCCTATGATTAAAGTAAGAGTGTTAAAACATTCAATCTTGGTACTAAAGTTGATAATTGTTTATGGCCGCAAACTCTCAACAAAGTTAATCATGTTTGTGCATAGCAAAATGGTGCTAAATTTGTGCCATCCCAAATGGAAATGAAGACAAACTTGGATAGAGCGTTAACTGATTTAATCGGCCTATTTCTCTGGGGTTGATAAATTTGGTGAGGATGTTTTTAAAAGGAAAAAACATTCAGAGTTTACAATACTTTAATACTGACTCACCTAAAGTATACAACTCACAACTTTCTGCTTTCGTTTAACATGAATTAGTATCAGTATGTATATTTACTCTATTCACCTCTAAGCATTCTCTTATGTGCACCCAAAGTATTAAATTTCGCCACCACTTACAAGGTGAGGTTACATTGCTGTGAAAGGTGGAGCATTGCCACAACTTCACTGCTGACAATTGGAATTACAACAACAACAACAACAAGATTCCATTTATAGAGCGCCTTTCACGTCAGGAGGACGTCCCAAGGCGCTGCACAGTTGGGTCATGACCCGAGCAGGGGGAAATGGTCAGGGTGAGGGGAGGGAAGGGAGGGAGAGAGGAGGGGGGAAATGGTCAGGGTGAGGGGAGGGAAGGGAGGGAGCGAGGAGGGGGAAGAGAGTCGAGAGGGGAGCTGAAGGCACGGTCAAAGAGAAAGGTTTTGAGACCGGCCTTGAAGGAGGAAAGGGAGGAAGCAAGGCGAAGGCACTGGGGGATGGAGTTCCAGAGTCTCGGGGCTGAGAGGCTGAAGGCCCGACCACCGATAGTAGGGCGGTTGGGGCGGGGGACGTGGAGCAGACCGGAGCCAGAGGAACGGAGGGTACGGGCAGGTAGGTAGGGGGATAGTAGGTTGGAGAGGTAGGAGGGAGCAAGGCCGTGAATGGCCTTGTAGGTGAGGATGAGGATCTTGAAATCAATCCTCTGGGGGATGGGGAGCCAGTGGAGGCGAGCGAGGGTAGGAGTGATGTGGTCCCGAAGCCTGGTGCGGGACAGTACACGAGCTGCAGAGTTCTGAATGACCTGCAGCTTGTGGAGGGAGGTGCCGGGAAGGCCGGCGAGGAGAGAGTTCCCATAGTCCAGCCTTGAGGTGACAAAGGCGTGAACCAGGGTTTCAGCGGCGTGAGGGGTGAGGTAGTGCCGTAATCTGGCGATATTCCGGAGGTGATGGAAGGCGGTGCCAGTTGTGGTGCGGATGTGAGGGAGAAAGGACAGCTCAGGGTCGAACAAAACGCCGAGGTTCCTGACTGGCTTTGAGAGGTGGAGGGTTAGGAAGCATTTTAGAAATTCTTATTTGTCTTACAGAGTGAGATAACGAAAGGTGTGGTCAAGGAGAAAGGTCTTGACATGGAATTTGAAGGAGGTGAGGCAACGGATTCCATAGGTGGGGGCAGACAGGCTGAAAGCCCATTTGACAATGGTGGGGCAGGGGATGTGAAGCAAGTCAGTGCCTGCTGAGCAGAAGGAACGAGCAAGTTGGCAGGTTTTAAGGGGGTCACAGAAATAGGATGGGGTAAGACCGTGGAGTGATTTAAAAGTGAGGATGAGGATCTTGAGCTCGATCCTCTGGGGGTGGGGAGCCAGTGAACCTGGGCGAGGATAGGAGCAATAGGCTCACGGAGCCTGTGCAAGACAACTTAGAAGCCAACCATTTTTCTTGCCTTGCTCATAAGATAGCAGCTGAGCCATTGGACCCAGCCGACTGCAAAACAACGAGGTTTCCCTGTGTTCGAACCGTTAATTGCTGTGGGTTTTCTTCCTAATGTATTTATGAGTGATATAAAAATCACCTCAATAGCCAGGCTTTAGTGTAGCACTTTAGTGTAGTCAATAGCATTCTCAACCCAAATTTATACTGCAATCGCTCCGAGATGCTATCCTGTGTATAGGACGCTGTATAAAAGAAAATTATTGTTGTTGTAATCACTATTAAAAGCACACAGTGTAGAGTAAGTAAGCTTCAAACCTAAACCAGTGGTATGTATTTCTGATATTAGGTGCAAAGTGGACTCGGCGAAGATGCTTTTAAATTTATTGATTGATCGATCACTTCCAGCCACTATGACCAACTGAAGATAGGGAGAAAAAAATCAGCCAGAGCTCCCATTGCTGATCCCTATCCACAACCCATGATAGAGTCAGGTGAGAGCAGGATTAGTGAGATTGCCACATACTCACATTAACAAAGGTACTTGAGCAAGATACCTGAGGGCAAGTAATCTCCTCCCATCCCAATGGAATTTATAGAACATTACGGTAGGAAACAGCCCGATGTTTATACACCACATGAGCCTCCCCCCATGCTAATCTCCCCCTCTCTCCGCACACACCTCTCCATGTTATGTATGCAGCAATAGAAAAGTCAACAGGAGAAAATAATGGAATGATATCGATTACTGTGAGGGTAAAGTCACAACATATGTGTTTATTAGCAGATTGGGATTGGATTTCCTCCCAGGTCCACTATCTGAATGTCCTGTGAAAAGAAATTAACCCTAAACCATTATTTTTGTTACTGATACTATTTCCCTAGGGGAGAGGGAAAGATATTACTCCTACAATTACTGTGTGTGTGTACCTGTTGCAGCTCTTACCTCTGGATGCAGTTGGCCAGGTTAAATCGCTGCCCTTCCAAACTGATTTGTCCATTGGAAATCACGTTGTATCCGGCACCTGTTTCTTGGCTGATTTGAATATTTTTCCCCTTGAGAATGAAGTGCGATCGCTGCAAACTCAGCAGCAATTCCATAGGCAATACCATAATCTCACAGTCAATAGCAGTGGCAGAAATCGTCTTCAAGTCAGTGACTGAGGCTGCAGACATGTCAATTTCACTCTTTCACAAACCAGGAGAAATCACCTATGCAGAGCAGAGCAGATCAGCACCATACACACTAGGTCCGGGTTCACAAGAATTGCCTGGAGAGGCAGGTGTTGTAAATTGGAGAAACTCTGCTGTGCATCTAAAATCTAGATTGTTTTGAGATTAAAGGTGCTTCGCAAAGCCGAGGAATGACAGTGACTCATTGATCGTTGCTAAAAAAAAGTTTCTGACTCGCCCTTTGTGTCAGACAATGCTTGTTAAAACCAGATCAACCGGGTGAATCGTGGCTTTCTAGTTGTTTCAGAATAAAGCATCGGCTTGCAAGAGGCATTTTGCCTTTGGGAAAGGGCAGGGAGGAACCTTTCACTTCTTTCCTTTAGTGGAATGTACAAATGGGGTAGCGTCAATAGTCTATTGTAGGACGAGGAACCTTTTCTATGGAGGAATGGGCTGGAATGGGGCCAAGTTACAGTTGCGAATAGTATACTTTTTTATGCTCACACTTGAATGACCTAAGCATGTTTGAGTTGATAATGTATTTAAACCCACTCCTTCCACAGCCACAGAATGCCCACCTCAAGGTCAAACACTTGCAGCAGGATTTGTAGATACTGAATCCTTCAACTGGACAAGTGTCATCCTGATCCTTGTGAACTCCACTTCACTTCATTCCGATCCGCCCAGACTGCCTTGGAATGAAGTTCCCATGGCCTGTTTTCATATCTTTTTAGTTACCGTCGTTTCAACATTTCCAAAATCCTGTTTTTGAATTTTAGATTCTTGGGCAAGTTTCCTTACTCCACGCGTCTCTGTTTACCTAGCACCCTCTCTAACCTCTTGGGGGGAAAATATTTTATAGATACTCCCAGAATATCCCCCCTGTTTAATCCTGGGCTTCTTCACTCTCACTTCATAATATCCTTTCTCCCCCCACCCCCCCTCCCCAGCTCAGGTGACCAGTCCGCTGAGTGAAGTGCTTTGAGATGTCCTATGGATGTGAAAAACGTTGTGTTGTAGTATGTGTCTACAGAGACGGGTTCAGACATTGTGAACATTGACAGTACTTTACAGTATATTCTGTGAAGTGCTTTGAAACGTCTCAAAGATGTGTTAAGGTGCTATATCAAATGCAAGGATCATTATATTATCTTACACTTTGCACTCTGGGGCTCTAAATATTGTGTCAATATGTCATTGCAGACAGATCTTATATTTACAGACTCCTATAAAATATTTCATTATACAGTATACTGTCAGTATACTGAAAAGAATCTACATTTTGTGTTTGCTTAAAGCTTAATTAACTAAGAAATTGTTTATTGTAATAGGGTGTGTTTATTTGTGACGGGGTTGCAAAAAGTAAATTCTTTAGGAATGACTAGAGGACTGTGGGCTTGTGTAGACAGCACTGTTTTGATGGCTGTGTTTGTAAAGTATCCTGCAGTAGCTACTCTACAATTCATATATTATTTCTCAATCCTATTCAGATCTGTATTCGGTATTGTTACCTACAGTATTTGCTGTTGGCTTAATTGAACTTTAGGCATTTGTCTGTAGGTGAAGAATGTTTTGCAGGTGCAAAGTCTGTTTCATTCTCTTAACAACAACAACAAGATTCCATTTATAAAGCGCCTTTCACGTCAGGAGGACGTCCCAAGGCGCTGCACAGTTGGGTCATGACCCGAGCAGGGGGGAGATGGTCAGGGTGAGGGGAGGGAAGGGAGGGAGCGAGGAGGGGGGAAATGGTCAGGGTGAGGGGAGGGAAGGGAGGGAGCGAGGAGGGGGAAGAGAGTCGAGAGGGGAGCTGAAGGCTCGGTCAAAGAGAAAACAAGAAAACAATCTCTCGTAGCATGGTTGTCCTACTGACACTGGTGACAATGGGAGATATCGGAAGCATTCGTTAAAGAAAAAAGGAAAAAAGGTAATGGCTGAAAACTGTCACACCTGAAATTGATTTTCTTTCCCTATTTATTTTGAAAATTCCAAAGCAATGCTCACAATTGTACAAAGCAACAAGCAGCGATGTTTTGAAATTAAGGTGTGTGCTGTCCCTCCCCAAAGCTGAACTATTTCTGGGTCAGCCAGGTGTCTGACACGTGCGGAAACTCATCACCATCCTTAAGAATAGCCAAACGAAGCTGAGAATTCCATGCATCCTACCTACACATGGAAATTCCAGAGATAGATGTTGGAATGGAACAGGCGCTCTCTCCCTTGAGAAACTGGGGGGAGTGAGGGAGAATAATTCCGGAAATTATTAGGTATAGGTTGGCAGGAGCCAAGGTTTGGGGACCCCCAGAGTATGATTGGGGCACTGCCGGAGTCTAACCGGCTAAAACTTCATAGCTTATCATCCCCCAAAATATTGGTCACTCAATCCACAACTGTTTGTGGTACATTGCTGTGCGCAATTGGCTGCCAGGTTTTGCCCACAAAATACCCAGTCCATCCACTTCATAATAGATTCTGTGAAGCTCCTTGAGATGTCTCAATGACGTGATAAGGCGCTATTTCAAATGCAACGTTTATTATTATTATGACGTGCGTTATGAGGCAGAGTAGAGATCAACGGGTAGAGAGACTGAGTGGGAGGTAAAGGCAACATTCATAAACCTAAAGCCCACTCCCCGCTCCCCCTATTACCTCCGCTACTACTTTTGGAGACGCTATGTTTTGAAAAACCCCGACCATCAAAATTATCCATTTTGATTTTTCTCCCAGGTTGCTCGCAGCAGGGAGATTAATCCCTAATTCCTGGAGACTCCAGGACAATTCTGGAGGGTTGACAACCCTTGTGAGGAGAAATATTGTTTGCTGTCTGAAATTTGTGCTCTTATGTGTGGAGAATTACAGTTTGTGACATTGCACAGGTTAACCAGTGTGGAGTGCCATTGCCTCCTGGCTTGCAGATGTGTGTAAAACCTTATAAGTGTGCGTGTGGAGGGAAGGGAAATGGTTTGTGATAATCATATGATCTGCCCTAGAAATAGATTTGCTGTGAGCTGTATTTGCACAGTAGCAGGTGGGCCAAAAGATTTTACAAGGGATTTGAGTTAGCAGTGAATTACTGAAATTTACCACTGGGAGTGGGACACCCTCAACAAGAGTAATATGTTGCAAATGTAATGCAACGTTTCGCCCACATAAAATACAGTCAATTCACTTTACAGTGTATTCTGTGAAGCGCATTGAGCGTGTTTCGAAGACGTGATAAGGCGTTATATCAAATGCAAGGATTATTATTAGGATTATAAATCAGGCTGCAATGTTTCACAATATCTAGTGAAGTGGTATAACACTTGCCCAAATAAACAGCAACAACAACAACAATAACAACATAGCGCCTTTCACGTCGGGAGGAAGTCCCAAGATGCTGGACAGACAAAGTTACAGGCCCGAGCTGGGTGTCGGAATGGGGGAGGGTGGAGGGCAGGGGGGGCAGCAGAGAGATCGAAAGGACGGTCGAAGAGGAGGGTCTTGAGGTGGGTCTTGAAGGTGGTGAGAGAAGGGGTTAGACAGAGGGATTGCAGGATGGAGTTCCAAGGAGGCGCTGAGAAGGCAATCAGGAGAGCCTCAGTCTTGTTGACATTCAACTGAAGAAAGTTAGCTCTCATCCAGGAGTCAAGGGTGGAGGCAGAAAGGTACAGTTGTCATCCGCATACATGTGGAAGTTGACCCCATGTTTGCAGATGATGTCACCAATAGGGAATATATAGATATTGAAGAGGAGGGGACCATGGACAGAACGCTGAGGAACGGTCGGGGGCTAGAGCAGAAGCCATTTGAGGAGATGAAGTGCAGGCAGTGTGAGAGGTATGATTTGAACCAATCAAGGAGGTTGAGGTGAGAGGCGAAACATGAATTTGTATCACGGAAACCTAAAGATTGCTACTTGTGGTTTGCTTGAGTTTGGCTAGCTAAACTAGACCTGCCCCTATACAGCAACTTGTAAACTAAAAAGCAAATTACTAAGGCATCTGAAGTACGCTTTGAAGAATAAAATTAACGATGAAGCTACAAAAAATTATTCACTGCAGAGTTCTGCAGTAATGTGGTAACTTGTTTTTAAAAAAGTATCCTTTGTCCACATGCCTCTACAGTAGCAGTAAGTAGGAACTCAATTGTTAATCGATTGGCAGATCACTTTCCAGGGGTAAAAAAAATTGGTCGCTCAATCCACAATTGTCTGTGGGACACTGCTGTGTGCAATTGGCTGCCGTGTTTCGCCCACAAAAGACAGTCAATCCACTTTACATTATATTCTGTGAAACCCTTTGAGACGTCTCAATGATGTGATAAGGCCCTTTTATCAATTGGAAGGATTATTATACAGAAAGAAGTCCTTCTGTTGTTTCAAAGACAGAGATCACAGTGACAGTTAGGTCTTTAGGACAACAACAAAATTACATTTGTATAGCACATATTGGTTATCACAGGTCTAACACCTTGTATTGCACATTTCAGCAGAGACTGTGAATTCAAAGTAGCAATGTGGAATTTAAGCCCACAATTTTCTCAGTCACAGGTGAGAGTCCTACAAACTGAGCCAGGCCAATGCACGATAATTAATATAATTGTATCTCTTTACAAGATATTGTACCAGTATTCGGGGCAGTATACTGTGTAATCCCTCCAGCAGAGTTTTCTGGTCCAGGAGCAGAAACACGGACTAATTTTGGCCTCCCTAATCTGAGATCTGTTTTACTGTTGAGTGAGGTTAAGCCTGCTCACCCCATTAACCAAATTAGACTGAATACATTCCACTTAGGGAACGAGGGATGTTCCCCAAGACAAGTCCCTGTTCCCCTCAAACTCTTCTAGGCCCCAATCTGTTAAAGGACAATGCAGACTTGAACCATGTCTTCACAACCATCCGAGCAAATCAGGTGACTGGATCACCTCTCCAGCCAAGCAGACCCGGCCTGAGCCTAGTGACCAAGTACTCAAGTGAGCTTTGCATTCCAGTATACTCCACTTCTTCCAATCGGTGCAGATCAAACTCTTCAGTTGGGAATTACTGCAATATTGATCCCAACCAACAGAGGGTTGGATAGCATAGCTGTTGCCAGGAGCTCAATCCTTCCCCTAATAAAGTTATGGGTGATATTCGGCGGTGACTGTATTTCACAAGCAAACCTCAACAGAAGAACTTTGATGGCATTTGTTAATTCAAGGAGTGACTGATAAGAACAGATCCTACACTTTATCTTTGCCAAATGGCCTCCAGATATTGTCCCAGTTCACATCAAGGAACTGAGCACAGGATAGAATCATAGAATTATACAGCACAGTAGAAGGAGGCTATTCGGCTCATCGTGTCTGTGCCGGCTCTTTAAAAAGAGCTATCCAAATCAATCCCACTCCCCCGCTCTTTCCCCATAGGCCTGCAAACTTGTCCTCCCCAAATAATTATCTACTTTTCTCTTAAAAGTTGTTATCGAGTCGGCTTCCACCACCCTTTCAGGCAATGCATTCCAGATCCAATCAACTCAGATAGGATTCAAACCAGTTCTTTATCTTCTAGTACTGCACCCAGCAGTGCTATTGGGGGAGCTGAAGAGATGGATTTGTGGAGATGCTATTTAAACTATAGTATTCTTATGTGGCGGGTTCAAAATGGTCATAACCTGATACAAATAAAAGTGTTTTGATTGATGAAAAGTAAAAAGTGTATGAAATATAAGATATTTTCATGGGAATGTTGTTTTCACATCTGGTATAGATTGTAATGCCCAGGATTAAATGTAAATTGAATCAAGAATTTTAAATTGAATTTACAAGCAATCTAAAGACAGTTGGCATCTGGTTAAAGTTATGTTGTCAAATCTAAAGGATGGTCATAATTTGGCTATTGTAGAGTTAATGCACATGATCGTAAAGAACATCAGGAGTAGTTAAAGTGACTAGAGAAAGCCCTACTATACCTTACTAACCAGCCCACTTCCTCTGCTCCACGGGCACTAACCTGCCCCGCCTGCCCACCATTGGCTGTTGGGCTTCAGCCTTTCTGCCCCCATCCTACGGAACGCCATCCCAGAATATGTTCGCCTCACCCCCACCCCCGTCTCCTTCAAGACCCATCCCAAGATCTTCCTCTTTGACTGGTTCTTCAGTCATTCTCTCACCCCCAACTCTCTATCCTACATTCATCTTGATTCCAACCCCAAGCCTAGGTGCAAACCCTTCACTGTCCATCGCCTTGGGACGTCCTCCCACCGTGAACGGCGCAATATAAATGCAATTTGTTGTTGCTGAATTGTGAATTGAATTTGTCCAAATTAAAGACATGACATTTGAATTGACATTGCTGCATTAATGCTGTGTGCTTCCTCTTTTACTTTGGCTACTTATGTTCCTCTGCTAAGCCACTGTGAGCCTTACCACTATGTGGTTGCCTTGTTCTGTTCCATAATGTATTATTGTTCTCATAGTATGGTCTGAAGCTGATTTTACGCTGTAAGTGCCCCGAGACCCTATCCCACGTGAAAGGCACTGTTTAAATGCAAGTTGTTTTGTTGTATACTGGAATAATGAATCTGGTTCTCATCAAATCATATTGCAATAATAAAAAGATTCACCCAGCATGTCTAAAATTTCTAAATGATTTTGATCAGATAAAAAGAAACACTGAGACAGTTAACAATAGAGCATTATTGGAGGGTTATAATAAAAATAAAATAATCCTTGCATTTGATACAGCACTTTTCACGTCTTCTAGAGGTCTCAAAGCGCTTCACAGAATATACTGTAAAGTGAATTGACTGTATATTTGTGGGGGAATCAGACAGGAAAAAAAGGAAGGTTTGAGGTTTTGTTTTTGCATAAAGGATTGTTAGAATGTGGAAGGTCTTACCACAAATGATTGGTAAATTTCAGGCTAAAACTGTATTTCGAAAGGTATTACCCACTTCCACCCTTTCTCACGTAGACGCTGTGAATCCTTCATTCACGCTTCTGTTACTTCCCATCTGAACTTTTCAAATGCACTCTTTAGCTCCACCGTCGACAAACTCCAGATGATTCAAAACTTTGTCGCCTGCATCCTCACCTGCACCAAGCTCCACACGTCTGTCATCCCAGTCCTCGCCAGGTTCCACTGTCTCCCACCCGATAAACATCAAGGTCATCACACTCATGTATAAACCCTTCCCCAATATTTCCCTATCTATATGATCTTCTTCTCCCCATTTCTCTACTGGCCTCCTCCCACTCAGTTAACTTGGGTTTCCTTACCTAAACCAAGATGGTCCAACTGCTGGTCTGCGGGCCGATTTCATCTGGCCTCACTCCATTTCCTCTGGTCCACCCTCCATAACACGTAAATGTTGTGTTGTTATATTTCTCAAAGGAAAACACAAAAATATTGCTTATGCAGCCTGCGAACGTTTCTCAAATAGAGCATCTGGCCCTCAGCAGCCAAAAAGTGGAACTACCTTGAGTCCTAAACCATTTCCACACCACCATGGGTAGTTGATCCTTCAGAAATTAACTCCTTACCTCTGAAACTCCCTCCCTGTCTCCCTCTACTTCACTGCCTCTTTAAGTCCTGCCTAAAATCTACTTCTTCGGTCTTGCCTACCGTCATCTTCCCCAACCCCTTGTTCGGTGTTCAGCCCTCTCTTTGTGAAGCACTTAGATTTCTAAATGATTTTGATCAGATAAACAGAAACACTGAGCTGCGACTACGTGTATAGAGCTACATAAATGCAACTTGTTGTTGCTAAATTAGATAGATACATAAGGGAAAAGAATACAAAAAAAATGGACAGGGACTGGAGCAATGGCTTCTTTGGAGAGCAAACAGCATTAGACCATGTGGACTGAATAGCCTCCTTCTATACTGCAAACTTTCTATCATTCGATGAGTTCATGAAGCAGCTCAATTTTTTTCATTCTAGAACTCTCTCGAGCCTGTACGAGACACAACAAGCAGGTAGCTCACAGCCCCATTCTGAAATTCTACCAAAGCACCTACTGCCATATGCTCCAATAACCCATTGGTAGTACAATCCTCTACCAACTGAGCCTAATGGGACGATCCCACTATCTGTTTATTCTGGGTACATATTTGCCTATGTTTCTTGTCACAAATACATTAACTCAAATCAAACTGTCAGTCTAAAAATTAATAACCTACAAGAATAACGGTTGAATTGTATTGGTATATTTCGTAAAACACAAGAAACAACACAATGGATTTAATTTTTGTCCATGAGTATTTTTATTTTATCAAAAAGCTGAAAACAGATATATAAGATAAATGAGCCCAGGTTAAATGTTAGCACTTGTTATAGTTTCACAATACAGGGAAAACCCGTAATAATGCAATCACGAAGTCCAGTCTCTCACCGACTACATTATAAGTGAGGTTGTGAACAAAATGGCCGACTTTTGGCTTGTCTGGCAATTCTGTCAATTCCCGCACAAAGTGAACGGCAACACGTCCTGCACATAATCCACAGAAAGTGATGTAAATCAGAGGCAACCTGACAACTTGAACGTCAGCCATGTTTTGAAGTCGGTGGCCAGATGGCAGCTGTGCCACAGTAGACATGGCTGTAAGCGAGGCCGTGCTATAGTAAAAAGCAATATAACGGGCATCTCTGTAGTAAGTTAAAAGGTTGCTATTGAAAAACAGTACAATATTTGCTGCAAGTTTAGGGAATAAGAAGTAGGGCAGCAGAGGCTTTTGAGGCTGTCTGAATGTAATACAGAAAATCAACTCCGCAGAAGTAATTTAGGACGTAGTTGATTAACCCAGCGCTTGCCATGATAAACAGGAATGCCATTAAACGTTTTCCAAATATGAAACCAGGAAGGCTGTGGAAAAATTACACAAAATAGAATTAAAGAAATGAACCAACATCATAGAAACATAGAAAGTTTACAGAACATGGCCCTGCTCTCTGGAACTAGTGCCCCTGGACTGTCTCCTGTCTTGGGACGTCCTTCCGATGTGCAAGGCGCTATATAAATGTAATATTGTTGTTGTTGCTCCCTGAAGCTCCATCCCGGAGTCCCTCCAATTCGTTCCCTTCCCTCTCCTTGTTCAAGGTTTGTCTCGAGACAGTGAGACAAAATGAATGACCAATTTTATTTGGGGAGGGATTGTTGCCCAGGACACTGGGACAATCTGTTCAACTCAACAGGTAAACAGGCCTTAGCTTCAAGTCTCCACCGAAAGATGGCACCTCCAACAACACATCTCAATCTCACCCCCGGCACTTATTATAGTGTCAGCCTGTGAGTTCAAAGTCACAACGTGGGTCTTGAATCCACAATCCTCTGACTCAGAGGCGAGAGTTCTACCGACTAAGCCAGGCAGATCCTTGCATTTGATAAGAGTCTTTCAGGTCAGGAGGGAGGATGTGTCAAAGCACTCACAGTGATGTAAATTTGTGTATTTTGTAGGATAATGTGACAGCCAATTTGCATGTAGCAATGTCCCACAGATAAATTACAAAGAGAGTTTGGAATGGGGAGAAAAATACATTTTAAGGATGTGTTTGTGAAACCAGGGCGTGGCCATTACCTTTGATTGCTTTCTCCTAAATACCCGATAAAGTATTTGTGCCTCACCACCAAATACAACAATCCAGCGAAGGCGGCAGGAGCTGCCAAACAGGAAAACGAAACACAAGATTACATGAGTTTCGGATGAAGAAAAATCCCTACGTATCACAGAACTGTTTTGTTTATTGCAACTCTTTTTTTAAAAATTGTCACAGTGTGCTGACTGTAATCATTACATGGATCATTCTATATAATGGAAAACTATCTCTGGAAGTCCCATGTGTAGGTGGAATGCACCCAACTCTGTTTGGTTTGGATATTCTTAAGTACGGTGTAGGATTTCACCATATGTCAGACACCCGCTGACCAAAACAAAAGGGGGGAAAAAAACAATGCTCACTTCTCACTTTGAGCCTCTCTCCTACAGTTGTGATTGTAACTTCCTGTGACCATAGACTGAGATACGAGTAGTCTATACATGTCTGACAACTGTGAACTTTAAAACTTCAACACATCATTTATATTTCATGTCAAACTTGATAAAAAGTGGTTTGTGATGGATGAAAAGGATGTAAACATTTAGGAGAACAGCTAGTTTTTTAAATGGGTCCAGTGTCCCCACTCCCTTTCCTGGAAACCTTCCAGTTGTTAATTATCCTGTGGGTAAAGAAAAATGTAATGGTGATATTGGCCTTTGCAATTCTAAACCTATGTCCTCTTGTTTTACTATCTTGGTGCATCCTGAAGTATTATTCTGGGTTTATTCATTTAAAATTTTATGCACCTCTATGAGTCCCCTTTGAGTCATCCTCTCTTACGATTGAAGAGCTCTTGGCTTGTCTAATCATTGTTAATAGCTCATTCTTCTAACACTGCAGATCATCCGCGTTGCTCTTATCTGCACTGCCTTTAAAGCCTGGGCAGTCCCCTTATGATCCAGTGACTAAAACTGTGTGCAGTACTATAAGTGCGGTCTAACTATGATGTCTGGACGTCTAAACGCAATTGATTTAGCAATATATTCCAGCATCCTGTTTGTCTTATTTGTTGCTGCTTCAGATTGATCTGACAAAGTAAGCACTGAGTCAATTACTACACTTAGATCTCTTTTTGCATCTACCCCTTGACAACTTCTGTGTCTCCTCATACCTCAAAACACCACTCATTTATCAGTTTCATTCTTTTCACTGTGAAAGCACGTAGGAAGATCGATCTATTACTGACTTTTATCAACATCTTGGGATCTGTCGGGAATTTCCACTGTGTCAGGTACTAAAGCCAAGCCTTCATGAACATAAACTCCTTGAACATCAGAATTTGTTCAGTTTTCCAAACAAATATTGTAATATTACAAATGCAATAACAGTAAATATAGTTAGCACTCTCATCCAGGTTATTACATAGCATACATAACATATTATATACAACATGAAAAAGGTCATGTGGATAAACTGGTCTGTGCCAGTGTTTATACTCCATATCAGCCCCCACCCCTCCTATTGCCTTCACCTATACCCCTTTATTCCCTTCTCCCCCATGTATGCATATTTTCTCTTAAATACCCTGATATTTTTTGCTTCAAACCACAGCTATTATTCCTGAAACTGTAGATACCAAGTATATCAATGCAGGAATACAAACACTACAAATGACTTGCTTAAATTCTTCACATAAAAGTCTTTTATATATAAATAATCAACATTACCCTGGGTGCAGAAAACTCCAGCGCTCCACAGTAAGACGATGAATGTGGGATAAACCTCAATGCAGTTGTGGCTTTAAAAAAAGGTGGAAAATAATTAATAATAATTCACCATTGTTTCAAAGACAAACTACTCAGAACGCTGTAGGACTGATTGTTTTGGGGAAGAGAATTCTTCTCTGAAGGAAGTGTTGCATATATATAGCGCCCTTCATACGGGACAGCATCTTGGAGCGCTTAATAGCCTAATTGTGCTCCGTCACTGTCAAGCGCTCTGTGTCACTGTTCTGCATGAGGAACACTATATAAATTCAAGTTGTTGTTAGCAGAATGGATGTAATATCTTAGAGACATTTTTTCCTCATTGTGAATGCAATACCTGTAATTTCACCCATCCAGACACAAACAAAATGTTGCAATGTGATTTATGACACTTTTTGGTGAGTAATAATTCTAATAATAATCCTTACGTTTGATATAGCGCCTTATTAAGTCATTGAGACATCTCAAAGTGCTTCATAGGAATATTAAGAGGAAAACTGAAATGAAAATCTCCTGAATTGAAAAATATTACTCAACACAACAAAAAACAGTGAAGTGAAATCCAATTGAATAAGAAACACCTTACAAAAGGGTATTGAGAATTGATTGTCAGATCATTTTGAAGAACATCTACAAGTGGTGCAGCACATTGGAAAGATGTTCAGAGCGGGAACTAGAATGGGGCCTCTGAAGAGACAGCGAAGCCCCATGCAGACAGACACATTAAGATTGAGTGATAATTTCTCAAAGTATTTATTTCAGTCTATTCAAATGTGGAACATGTACTATAGAAAACAGAGAGCTCAGGTTTACCGGGCGAATGAGTTTATAAGGAAGTGAAGGGGGTTTTCAGTCAAGTCATCATGTCTGCACACCTGACCAGCTTTTGTTGCCCTCAGATATAGACCAACAAGACACCCTTTTGTCCTCCTATTCAAAGTGAACTTGGGAGTTGTCTTTACAACCCACAGTTCAGATACACGAATATACAAAACTCAGCCACATGCTAATCAGTTAGCCTGAAACCATTAGTGATAGTGGATTCCAGGAAGCAACTACATGTTAACGAGATTCTGTAAACATCAGGGCACAACATGAACACAACCACTGAACATAAGGTACCTTTACCCGCATTCCCCCTTAAAGACCGCAAGAGATCTGAGCGGCCAGTCTCAGTGTGATGAACCATCCATGTTACCATGGCTGTTTTAATAATAATAATCCTTGCATTTGATATAGAACTTATCATGTCAAAAGGCAAAATACTGTGAGAACGAAAGGTCACCGATCCTAAATATTAACTCTCTTTCCTCTCTCCATAGATGCTGCCTGACCTGCTGAGTGTTCCCAGCAACTTCTGTTTTTATTATTATATTTTATACCTTATCACATCGTTGAAACGTCTCAAAGCGCTTCACACAATATACTGAAAAGTATATTCTGTGATGCTGTGAATTGAGTGACCAAATTATTATTTGTTTTATAGGTATTATTATCCCCGGAAAGTGATCTGCCAATCGACTAACAACTGGGTTCCTACTTACTGCCAGATAAACAGAGGAGTGTGGAGTAAGGAAACTTGCCTAAGGTTTTGGTGACATACTGTGATGGCATAGGACTGCAGCAATATATTCCATCTCAGCAATCAGGGATTTTTTCTCCTGCATCTGACCCAACTGCACTAGGAGACTGCAGTCAGTCAGAGCTGTGAATTTCACCCCAAAATATACAGGCGCAAACAATGCAGAGGCCGTACGACAGCTGTGCACTCTTTCTCCAACTCTGAGTAAAGAGTTTCCAGGATGGGGCGCTCTTCCCCAGTTTTCTGGCCATTATTGATGCGTGAGGAATAAAATGTGCTACAAAAACAATTACTCTTCTCAGCCACTCATGGGAGGAGCAGGCACTGGCAATAAGTTGGAGAGCTTTATATGATATAGATAACTAAGACCTGCTTAAGCCACATCAAATGCACACTTGATGGCTCAGTTAGTAAATGCACAGGATGGCTTGGTGCTCATCATGAGAAGATCTCATGTTCATTCCATGTTTTGTACTGTATTTATCACTTAGCAGTCTCAGTCATGGCAATATCACACCTGGTCTACATACAAAGACTCAAGGGGAGGGGAGGATATTAATCAGAATCCTAACTCTTGATAATTATCCATCAACTCTTCCTGCAATGTGCATACGCACTGAATAAAGTCAGGATTGTACCCAGTTGGCACTGCCCATTCTCAATAGCCCTCGACATTCACCGACTAAACCATGAAGGAAACCTATAACAACACTGTCAGATTTGCCAAGGCAACCTGACAAGTGGACACAGGTTCAGAAGTGTGAAAGTTAAATTTAGGACAGATGCCAGGAAGTATTTCTTTACTCAGAGGATAATCAACAGCTGGAATGAAACAGCTGGTTACCATGAAAGGTATTTGAGGCCAGGACATTGGACTCTTTTGTTTCATGTTGTCATGGGGAATCAGCGAGGTGGCTATTTTGGAAGGATGAGATCTGTGAGCTGAAGGAACCACTTCATCCACACCTCTCTTGTGAAGTGTCAGAAGGCTGTTGTCACCAGCAGAATTTTACTTCATCACAAATCTCCATCTTTAGGAGAGATGGAAGAAGAAAAACAAAATAGACAAAAGTGGGAAATATTTGAGTATTACTAATGGATGCAGGTCCTGATGTGACAAAGAAAAGAGACTTCTTATTTCAATTAACCATTTAGAAAATGGGTATAAAACGCATGAAAAACACAGACTGTTATAACAAGATCCAGCCAAGTCTTGCACCATTATTTTAATGTGGTAATGTGCAGTTGAACAAGACCTTAATGTATCCGTGTGCATTGTGATGATCTGCAGTTTTTTGCTACAAAGGAAATCCCTTTCTTGAGGTTTCCTGCCTATGTTCTGCTTTTGAGAAGAATTCTCTGGATGGTTCTTGTTTATGGTACAATACATTACATTTATGCAGTGCCTTTCACATTGGGAGGGTGCGTCAAAGTGTTTGACACTCTTGCCTGGGGGTGGTAACCAAGGTTGGGGATAGGAAAGATGACCGAAAGCGCAGTCAAAGAGGTACGTCTTGAGACGGTCCTTAAACAGGGCAAGCGAGCGAGCAAGTTGGAGGGAATCCAAAATGAAGTTCCAGAGAGCAGGGCAGAACGGCTAAAAGCTCATTGTTGCCACCAATTTGGTTACAAATGATCATGTAACAAACACAAATTGGGGCACTGGTGACACAGTGAGTTTGTGTCTTTTCATCACTGGGAACTGGCTTTAAATATACCCATGAGTGAAAGCCTTTTATTTCTCTTCTGGCTCTATGGATCCTATGGGTTTGTGTAGACATAGGCCTTGTGCAGGGAGTAGTATAGTGGTCGAGAAGTCCCGTAGTATTGTGGTTAGTGCGGTTGCCTTGCAAGTGAGAAGACCCAGGTTTAATTCCCAGGCAGGCAAGTTTCCTTACTTCAAATGCCTCTGTCTACCTAGCAATAAGTAGGAACACAGTTGTTAGTCTACTGGTGGATTGCATTCCAGGGATAGCAGTTGGCTTGGTCTTCTTGGATATTCCTTGACACCAGGTTACACTGCTTATTCTACACTGAGGACGTCCTCCCGACGTGAAAGGCACTCTATAAATGTAATTTTGTTGTTGTTGTTATCTTAGAGTGTGGTTGCTGTGTGGGCAGGAGCTTCTACGCTAGGAATAAATTCATACACCCAAGTGTTCAAACTATGTGAATGGCCATCTTCAGATACAAAATGCTGCCATGATAGGGAGTGTGGGTCCAGATCATCAAATTAACAACATTAGCAATCTCAGCGAGCGAGGTAAGGTGATAATGATGGCCTGTGTGGACAGAAAACCCACTCTGGGGCAGCAGGTACTGGCTTTTAAGCAACCCTGTGGCTGTCTGCTACACAACAAAACAACAAAATTACATTTGTAAAGTGCCTTTCACATCGGGAGGATGTCCCAAGGCACTGAAAAAGTCGGGGATCAGGACCCAAGCGTGGGGGGAGCAGGGTTAGGATGAGGAAAGGCAAAGGGATGAGGGAGGGTGGGAGGGGGGCTGATGACACAGTTGAAAAGGAGGGTCTTGAGTTGTGCCTTGAAGGAGGCAAGGGAGGGAACAAGGCAAAAGGATTGTGGGATGGAGTTCCAAAGGGTGGAGGCAGAGAGGCTGAAAGCCCGGCCGCCAATGGTAAGGCAGGTCGGGCGGGAGACCTGGAGCAGGCTGGAGCCTACTGAGCAGAGGGAGTGGACAGGTTGATAGGTGGTCAGCAAGTCAGAGAGGTAGGAGGGCCTTGAAAATGAGAATTTTGACTTCTATCCTCTGAGGGAAGGGGAGCCAGTGGAGCCGGGCGAGGATGGGGTTAATGGGGTCATGGGGCCTGGTGCGGAGAGGACACAAGCTGCACAGTTCTCGATGATCTGCAGTTTGTGGAGGGAAGAGTTGGGGAGGCCGACAAGGAGGGAGTTTCCATAGTCGGAGGCTGGAAGAGAAACCGTTGGTGGAGACAAATTGGAGATTGTGTGAGAGATAGTGGGGAGTCCTGTAGCTCAGTGGTTAGAGCACTTGCATTGCAAGTGAGAGACCTGGGTTCAATTCCAGACAGGGCGAAACCTTGGGCAAGTTTCCTTACTCCACACAGAGCCTAATAATAATCCCTCCAAAAAAACAAAACAATAATAAATTGGTCATTTTCAATCCACGACTGTTTGTGGGACACTGCTGTGTGCACTTGGCTGCTACGTTTCGCCCACAAAATATATACTGTCAATTCACTTTACAGCATATTCTGTGAAGCGCTTTGAGACATCGAGAAGACGTGAAAAGCTCTATATCAAATGCAAGGATTATTATTATAGATAAGACCTGAACCATTGAAGGACAAAACCTTGAAGGTTGAGGTGAGAGGAGAGGTGGTGGAGGAGGATGGAGTGGGCCACGGTATCAAAGGCAGCAGAGAGGTCGAGGAGGACGAGGAGGCAGAGTGAGCCCTGGTCACAGATGGACAGGATGTCGTTTGTGACCTTGACCTGAGCAGTTTCCATAATGTGAGCACTTTACTTTTGCACTTTAATATCTGCCCTTGCTTACTGTTTTATTAGCTGCCGGGATCGTGGGCAGTATATAGGTTTACCACCAAAATCTATATTCACTGAGTCTAAATTGCTATCAACTGTTCTCTAGAATATTAAACCAAATATTGCCACTTAAACCTTGAATAACAAATGCTATCGTCAGCCATATAAAAGCACATTTGGTATCAGTATTACACTACACGTTTTGCTCACAAAATACACAGTCACTCCACTTTACAGTATACCCGGTGAAGCGATTTGAGGCGTCTCGACGACGTGAAAGACACTTTATCAAATGCATGTATTAATATCATTCTTATTATTAATAAATGATTTGCATCACAACTTAAATCCATCGATGTCTGTCAGTAACTGAGTGAATGAGAGCGGAGGGGAGGAGGTGGGGTGGCTATGGATCTCACCCAGGTCCTGAACTGGACACATTGCATAATAAAGAGTTCACACACAGTATTTTTATATTATTTTCATTGCTTTAAATAGGTGATGTGTTTGTGATGTTGGAACAATGCCAAACAGACAGACAGACAGACAGACACAGAAAAACTTATCAATTTCAGTGACTTACTTTGCAATACTGACCCGGTCAAAACCTGAGCGTTGGCTGCTTTTTGCTGTCATCATTTTGGACTCGATTTCCACTTTGTAAGCAAAGAAAACTGCAACCAACACAAAGACAACTCTCAGACCTGCCCGATGGGCGATGCCACCGCATTGCCAGAATCTCTGCTTTGCGCACATTACAGTCATTTATTTCTCTCTCTCTCTCTCTTCTCCACAAAAAGCCTCTATTGCCAAGTGTTTTATTTCCATCACTAGTCAAGTGGACAAACGTGCAAACAGGAGCTGGTTCTCACCGTTCTGGAGGGCGCTGAGCAGAGTCACGATTCCCAGAAGGACCACATCGTCCTGAATGTCCGAATCCATCGTTTCCAAAATCCACTGCTTCGTGACTTCAATTGATCAGTTAGTGAGGCGATTGAAATGTCAAAAGGAAGTGGCTTGCTTCTTATCTCCTCATCACTGTACTTCCGACTTGTTTTGTTGGCACCTACCACAGAAAACGATATTGTCATTGCTGTGCAATTGGTTCAGTAAAGTTCTGCTTACTGGATCTTTGAACCAATGCCTTTGTTTTTATGTGTCACTGAACTTCTTTTTTTTTTGCATCAGCCAAGTTTCTGGCATATTGTTTAAAAGTTAGCAAACCACACATATAGGTTTACCACTGTATGGAAATCGCCTATCAGTCAAGGAATAGGGTGCATATAGTACCGTAGTAACTGGTTGGATTAGACTCTTGCTGGCTCAATTCAAGAGCTTTTCGCCTGTTAAAAGAGCACAGCTTGCAATTGAGAGCATTTCTAGGCAAGCATTCCGCTAGATGTCTAGCTGGGACCATCTTATCCGTTAGGGCAACCAAATAAAGTTTGCTTTTTGTAGTGGCCCCTGGGACACTTTGGGGACTTCAAGAAGTGGCCCACAGAACATCTGCACCAGTCCAGGTAAGTCTCTGCTAAATCAATACCTTGTTTCCAGTAGCTACCGGGCCATGATACGCACAGAGCGGCCATCAATGAAGAAAAATTCAATAAACAAAAATGTATTGGGTTGGTCACCATGTCATTCTGGAAATAATTTACACCCCTCTCCTGAAGATGGATAAGTCAAATTAGCATATTTTAATACTGTTAAAAGTGATGCTTAGTTAACTTGAAGAGTTAATAATAATAATAATCCCTGCATTTGATATAATGCCTTATCACGTTATTGAGACGTCTCAAGGCGCTTCACAGAATATATTGTAAAGTGGATTGACTGTGTATTTGTGGGCAAAATTAATGTTAGTATTGGAGAGATCCACACTATTTCCAATTCCCTGCTCTTCCCCATTAAGTTAAGGTGCTCTAATTTCTGTTCTTTCCCACATGTTGTCTCCTCCCTCATGATCTAATGTTTCCTTTCACCCTTATGTAAATTTAAATGGAGTGTATATTGTGTGTAGGCCAATATTATTCCATAATCAAATTCAAATTAATCCCCAGTAATTCAAATTAATGTAACAATTCTCTATTCTTGGCACATTGTCAATTTGCCTATATGGTAAAATTCTTATTTTAAATCGAAGTTTATTTCCATCTAGGTTGTCATTTCTCTTTGAATCAAGTCATTAGTTTAATCCCAACTGCTTTGTAATTTAGGCAAGATTGTTAAGCACATTGGTACATCCTCCCAACATGAAAGGCTTTATAGCATGGAAACAATTTGGGGAAACTATTTTAATAAAAGAAGATGATTGCCCACAAAATACACACTCAATTCACTTTACAGTATATTCTGTGAAGCGCTTTGAAACATCTCAACGACGTGTTAAGGTGCAATATCAAATGTAAGGATTATTAATATTACAGTATTATGAGCTGTTATAAGGACACAAACTAATCATTCACACAGTTTAAAGGATTTGGTTAACAAATAATGCAATGGTTTCTATTTTTATAACAACAACAACAACTTGCATTCATATAGCGCCTTTCACGTAGGGCAGCATCTCAGAGCATTTAACAATGTGAGTGGGGAATAATATCACGAGACTTTCCAGATAAATTATGATGATTTTGCTCCTATTATTTCAGATACATTTTTACCAGAATTGCCTTCGGATTTATTTACAAAAAGATCAATTAGTTGTTTAGCCGAAACATTGATAAATAAAAAGGGTTTCATGTGATCCCATGCCTACTACTGAAATAAATAGCTATTCAACAACAACAAAATTACATTTGTTTAGCACCTTTCACTTCAGGAGGACGTCCCAAGGCGCTGGACAGTCAGTGTTTCAGACCTGAGTTGGGAGTCAGGATCAGGGAGGGCGGAAGGCAGGGGGGAAGGGAGGGTGATTGAAGGCACGGTTGAAGAGGAGGGACTTGATATGGGTTTTGAAGGAGGCAAGGGAGGGGGCGAGGCGGAGGGACTGCTGGATGGAGTTCCAGAGGATGGGGGCAGAATGGCTGAAGGCCTATCCACTAATAGTGGAGTGGCGAAGCGGGGGATATGAAGCAGGCTGGAGCCTGAGGGAGTGGGCAGATTGGTAGGGGGTTAGAAGGTCACAGAGGTGGGGGATAGCAAAGCTATTGGCACAACTTGTCAGCTTACTTGACTATCTTCTGGTCCCTAAAGTAATTTTGAATATGGACTGGAAGATTTGCAAATTGTTAGATAACATCAAAGTGATAATATTCATAAAGACATTCATTATGTCTCCTCAGGGCCATATGAGGTTCTAGATTTTCATATTGACTAATAGACCTGGGACCTTTTGTGGAGCAAATGTATACAGTGTTAAGATGTAGATGAACAGTTGATGGGAATGGGAAATGCCTGCAGAAAATGTTGCTGACTCTGTTGCAAAGTAAACTTCTTTTACATTTTGAGAATATGTAAGAATCCACCACAGTTCTCTGATTTACATAATTGTATAGCAACAATTTTAAATCTTCATATTTTAAACCTCTGGGCTCATTTAACACAGACATGTTTTGGATGTCTTTTTTTTCCATGTGACTGAGCCACTTTCTGTAGTTCGTAAAAGAAGTTATAGAAAATATTATTATTATATAGTGTATAACATTTTGACACAGGCTGTCAGAGATCATATGATTTCCAGCCATGTTATATAATAACAAGTATTGCGTAACAATAATTATCATTAAATTGATTATTAATTATTAAAGCGCTCTGGGACCGCTACCCTGCATGAGGGGGGCTATATAAATACAAGTTGTTGTAATAATATAAAAACCTTTACATTTAGTACACTGTCTTTCACATTGGGAGAATGTCTCAAATATACAGGATATATTGTAGACTGTGTTTCGTTGGCAAATGTAGCAGCCAATTTGCACACAGCAATGTCCTACAAACAGCCATGAAGTGAATGACCCTTTTTTTTATTTGGGGGAGTGTTGGCCTGGATACACGGAGAAACTTGCACCTCTTTTCAAATAAGGTCACGGGATCTTTAATGACCTGAACAGACAGACAGCACCTTGGTTTAATGTCTCATCTGAAGGATAGCACCTCAAAACATGCAGCACACCCCCAAGATTGCATGGGCGTATCAGTTTGGTCTGTATGAGTTCCAACTCCTGACGTGAAGCTTGAACTCACAACCTTCTGACTCAGGCGAGTGTGCTATCAACTGATCATGGCTGACACAGAAGTCTAGACTCAGGTGGAATTTCCCTACTTCGCTCCCTCAATCTACCTCCCCCCACCCCCGCTCACCCTCCCTGCAGTTTCCCAATAAAAAAATCTTTATGGTCAAAAAGTTTTCCCACCCAAAGATAATTTTTGCTACAAAGAAATGTTACATTTGTTTTAAATCCAAGTTAAATGTTATTATATAATTATAAATTCTTATATTTGGTGCAGTGCTTCCAGGAGGACATCTCAAGGCTCTTCAACAGGATATACTGCAAAGTGGAGTGAGAGTGTGTTTTTGTGAGAAAATGTAAGGATTATTATTAAATGGAATGCAGCTTAAGAGTGTTTGGTGCTGAAATTCCGAGTCCTCAATATAAATTAAATTTTGACCCTTTGGTTCTTGACACTTTATGGTTTGCATTTTAAACCCAAGAATTCAGTTTGTTTTGACTTTTGAGAGGTTGGAATCTCTTGTATACAAAACATATTTAATAAATAAAATAACAAAAACAAATCCAAGGGTTATTAAAACGATTCATTATTAATATGACTCACTTTATACACATACTTGTTTTTATTTTAATAATCAATATGGGATATAAATCTCATACTAGTTATTTACAGCTATTTATTAGTTAGTTAGACAAACAAGGGTTCAAAACAAAAATATATGAAAAGCAAAAAGGGTGCAATGCACAAAAGTGGCACAATGTTAAAAAAGCGTCACACATAAAATAGATTCATATAAAAAATGGTTCATTACATAATGAATAATACGTAACACAGTCCTCGGCATTCAAGGTCCAGAAAGACCATCTCCCACTATTACGGGACCCAAACCCTCAGATCTTGTATTGGGGACCCAGAACCCAACCCCCAGCATTGGGATCTGAGACATTGAGGGCCCCAAAATCTCAACCATTGTATGCCAGTAAAGCAGGTTCTATAGTCTTGGGGCCACAATACTGACGACTATTCTCCTTGGGGGGAGGTAAGTGGAGTCTGTGTTCAGCTGTCATTGTGACATGCTTGGCAACAGAATATTGGAATCGGCTCAACCCTCTGTGGTGGGCTTATTAGTCCGGTTCCTGAGCCAGGTAGATCTACAATCCTCTAGGGCACTGTTGATAGCAGCCCAGCTTGTCTTATCAATAGGACTTGGAGGGGCAGACCATTCCCTGCGGACAGGGATTCTTCCCACACACCAACCCAAAGCCAGCCTGGGTTATCAGCAGGATCTGGAAGAGTCATCCCATTCAGCTCCTGTTAACACTGAGAGCCAAAGCACTAACAGGTAGGGCGATCCTAGCTGGATAAGGAGCGGAAAAGCTTGCCAGACAGCAATATTAATGGCAAGCTACGTGGTTTTAGCTGGTTAGCCTCCAGCAGTTACCCCAAAGTACACTCTGGGGTCCTTGGCTCTTGTCAACCTGCGCCTAATCCAGAATTAGGTAAGCAGGATGTGTCCCTCAAGGGAGAGAGTGCGCATTCCATTCCAACAATCTATCTCTGGGATTTCCATGTGTAGGTGGGATGCATGGAAATCTCACCTTGGTTGGGATACTCTTAAGCACAGTGATGGGATTCTGCATGTGTCAGATACCCCGTTGACCAAAACAAAATCCAAAGCCAAAGCCCTAATTGTGGTCCCAGCTGGACAAGCAGTGGAATAGTCTGCCAGGCTCTGCTCTCAATGGCGAGCTATGTGGTTTTAGCTGATTAGACTACAGCAGTACCCCAACACACATTCTGGGGTCCCGAAGACCGTATCTGTATGTCAGCCTGGATCCGTTGGTAGCACTCTCACCTCTCTGATTCAGAAGGTTGTGGTTCAAGCCCCACATCATTACTTTAGTACT